TTCCTTTTGGTTGTTGGATCCTCAGAAAGAGTTTCTTGTTTTTCCTCATTTGTTGCACTCAGGATTCTGAATGGTTTTCACCCTTTGCTTCTCACCTGTCTTTAGCAATTGTGAATGTTTCTTCCATCATCCACCCAGGCCTTTTATTTTTGCTACAGAAATGGTCTTTTCGCATTCTTCCATAATAATGCCTCTGGTCTCAGTCCACAATGCCTCTGGTCTCGGTTCAATAATACAAATCTGTTATTTATGTGGACTTTATATTCTGTAGGAATGTTATTTAAGTTGTATTTTACTACTGTGGTTCTTTTAGATAACTAACAGAAGCATAGTAATAAAGTGCTCCTTGTCTTGTTTTGGAAGAAAGAACACAATTTCAACATCTTCTACTTCCAGTTACATAGTCTAGTGGATTTCTGTACTGGCCATCTGATGATGCCCATGTGTACAGTCATCTGAACAGTTCCTTGAAGTATGTATTTGAAATAAGCAGATGATTGGCTTCACAAAATTCTAAGTCATCCTGTTGCTTTATTTCTGACCCCTAGGCCAAATCCTCCCCAGATATTTGATTCTGCATTGTTTCCTACTTTTGCATTTCAGTGGTCCATGATGATCAGCATGTAGTGTTTTGGGGTCACCTCCCTTATTTCTTTATGATACTATCCAAGAAGTCACCATACACAAGAGGTTACCAAGCAACAACCCTGGTATGGCAGGCCAATTTGAGTAATAATTGTCTTATGAAAACTCTTTGTTTTCATAATTCATTCATGGTCTGTTGAATTTTACTCTGTGGGCATTTATCAATTTTCCATGGTTACACTGTGGACAACTAATCACCCATCTCGTTCAATAAAATGCTATTAAGTTTAACAATATAATCAGTATTATCTATACAGGGTGGGGCTTCATGAATTTCAGTATTCCATGCACTGTGAACTTTAGACTGCTTCTTGATCCAAGAAAGCCACTTTGAATGTCAGGAAGAACACTGAAAAGGAATTGACCGAAGTCTTACAAAAGAAGTGTGCATGTGACAGGGCTATTGCATACACTTATTAATGTTTGTGGGTATGTGATAAAGAGCCAGGTAAAATCATGTTGCCCCAGTGTCCCTCACCAATAAGCTGGAATCAGGGAAGGAAGAATGTAGTAATAGAGGTTAGAGTCTTCCATCCAAATGGGAGTGGGATGCAATCACCTAAGTTGAACCCTTGCATCTACTGGCCTTTACTAGTGTATTCTAGCCAGTATTTATTTTATTTATTTATTAAAACATTTTTATGCCGCCCCATTCGCCGAAGCCTCGGGGCGGCTTACAACATAGATAAAACAATAAGTTAAAATCCATATAAAATAATCTTAATTAAAACACACATTATAAAATAAGCCGCCCTGGCCAGATAAAATTCAATTGTATTTAGCATTTAAAATGTTGCTTAAATAAAAAGGTCTTAGCCTGGCGCCGAAAAACAAATAACGACGGCGCCAGGCGGACCTCTCTGGGGAGCGCATTCCATAACTTAGGCGCCACCGCTGAGAAAGCCCTTCTCCGAGTAGCCACCCTCCTAATTTCTCTCACGGAGGGCCCCCGGAGAAGGGCCTCTCCCACCGATCTCAGGGGGCGACTGGACAAATATGGATGTAAGCGCTCCTTCAGGTGACCAGGACCCAAGCTGTTTAGGGCTTTATAGGTCATTACCAACACCTTGAATTGGGCCCGGACTTCAATGGGGAGCCAGTGAAGCTGACGGAGAATTGGCATCATGTGAACATAACGTCCAGTCCCCGTCCAGTACTGATGAGTATTACTGTCTGCACTTGAACATTCACCCTTTCATTTCTCTCTTCTCTTACATTCACCCACACCTGTTCTCCCCTGCAGAGGAAGGCAGGATGCACTCCAACAGAGCAAAGCTCAGGGAACCGAGGTTCCATTTAGATGCCAGGAAGCACTTCCTGACAGTTAGGACCCCTAGGGTATGGAATGGGCTTCCAAGGGAAGTGGTTGAGGCCCATCGGTGAGGGTGTTCAAAGATAGGCTGGACATGCACATGGTGGGCATGTCATGAGCGGAACCAGCTGGAGCCGGGGTCAGACTAGATGGCCTGGGAGGCCCCTTCTGACTTGCTCTGTTTCTGTGTTTCTTCTTGCTAATTCTTGGTGGAGAGTCTAAAAGGCAGAATGAGTCAGAGTAGGAGGGAGGGACAACCTGTAATGGTTGTTACGCATAAGGGGCAATAGGAAATGTTATTGGAGGAACTTTTGAGCCCTCCAGACAATGAAATAGGACAGAAAACTGCAGGAGCCTAAGTGGTACAAGACTTGTCATGAAGTTGATTAACCACATGTAAAATAGATAACTGTGCAAGTGTTTGTGGACTTCTTCTTGGCTCGACTGCAAAACTGGGCCAAGTATGAGAGGAAGTCCACAAATGCTAGAGGGATGGATTCCTCTAGAGTTCATACCAACCCATCATTGCTCATGGTATCTGCCTGGATTGCTTAAGTTGTGAATTGGAGGTGTCACTTTACAGTGGTTCAAGTCATACTTGCATGTTCAGTTCCAGAGAATAATATTGCATCAAAGTCCCATGGCTGGTGAATTGTGGGCTGTCCAGTACTGTTTTATACAAAGCCATTGGGAGTGATTATCAGGAGATTTAGGGCAAAGTATCACCAGTATACAGATGGCACCAAGATCTCTTTTGCTGAGATATGAACTGGGAGAGGTTGTGCATATGTGTGAAAAGGATGTTGTAATGGCTTGAATGAGGGCTAATAAACATAATCCCAGTGACAGAGATCCTATGGCTTGGGAGTTTTCAGGTCTGGTAATTGGGCTGTTTGCTTGCTCTGGATGAGGTTGGATTCCCTCTGAAGGAGCATGTATGTACTCTGGGGGTGATTCTGGATCCATCTTTGACACTGGAGACCTAGGTGACCTTGGGGGCCCAGAGGGCCCACTACCATTTTTGCTTTGTATACCAATTATATCCATTCCTGGATAGATATAACCTAGCCATAGTGATCCTCATGAATAGAATACTGTGATGCTTTATTTCATTTTCATTCTGCCCAATAGTTGAGATTCTTTTAACAAACATTTAAAAGATGCAAGCAACAAAAATTAACCCAAAAGAACAAAACCACAGCAATTGCAACTGTATCAGCATAGAGGTGTAGCAGTGGTACAGTATAAAATGCAAGATTAAAACTAAAATTAAAAAGTTAAACAGTTAAAATGCTGGGAAAATAAACAGTTTTCACCTGGTGCCAAAAAGAATGGGGTCTTCTCATGAAGCTGATTGGTGGGAAGGTTAGGACAGATAAAAGGAAGTACTTCTTCACAAAGCAGTACTTCACAAAGCAGTTATATACAGATAACTATATAATTCATTGTCAAGGGAAGAGATGATGTCTGCCAATCTGGAAAGCTTTAAAAAGAGATTGAATAGATTCACAAGAGAAGAGGTGATCAGTGGCCATTAGCCTTGCTGGCTATGTGCTACCTCCTTTACCAGAGGTGGCATGCCTGCATACACCACTTGCTGAAGAGCTTTGGCAGGAGGAGGTCTTGCACCCATCCTGCTTGAGGGATTCTGTAGCAGCCGGTTTGCCACTGTGTGTGTGCATGCGGAATGGTGGACTAGATCATGCATGACTTTTCGTACGTTCTAAATACAAAGTAAGTGCCAGGCACACCTCTTCGAGAAGCTTAGAGCTGGGGTGCCACAACTGAAAATGCCCTTTTCCTAGTAGCTACCTGCTGCAGGGGCAGCAGCTGAGCTGTAGAGGTGAGGCTGTCACCACCAGCAGCTATTTTTGGGAGCGAAGACCAAGGCAGGGTAAGATGACTGCTTGTCTTTCCAGCCAGGCCAGTCCTGATGGAAAGGCAGGTAAGAATTTTTAAAAATGTTACCTGTAACATAAATGGGAAGGAGGCATTCCTTGTGCTCAATGCAGACAATATTAGTTAGCAATTTCTTATGTGAATGAGATTTACTATACTTTGTATAGTTAAAGGTCCTCTGATAATTTAATAACTCATACAAGACAGGTACAAAGGTCTTAGATAAGGATATTTCATAATTATTGCAGCCACCAGCTATTTCTGAAATACTCAGCAAACCAGTGTTTTAAACTTGCCTGACTCATTTTATTGCTACCCCACCAGATTTTTCTTAGCTTATGCTCAACAGGCAAACACAGAAGCATGTCAGTTTTCAAGATGTGGAACAGATCTAATTTCCTTGCCACTTAACAGATTACGTATTTTCCTGTTTATTTTTAATTTATACTATTTATATATCACAAGCAAAATATTCCTAAGCTGTTTCCATATAAATATCAAAATAATACTTAAAATCACATTTTAATTTTCATAATTTAAAAAACCAATTATAATATTTTTAAATGCAATGCAGCACAATTACAGTAATAATATAGAGCAGTACAGGAGCAGTAAAATGGAACAGAGTGGTTAATGCAGTTGCAGGCCAGGGAACACCCTGGATGAACTGATGCATTTTTGGGAAGCATTTGAAAAGTAACACCACTTCTGACTCTTAAATTGCACGGGGAAGTTTCTCACGTGGTGGGTGCCACTACTGAGAAGGCCTGCGTTGAGGAATTACATGGTGACATTCTGACAACTTTGAAATGCCCGGCAAAACTTCCTCCCATGTTCTTAATGGTCAGTTAGGTGGGTGTATATAGAAAGGAAGATGCTCTGCCTGGTCCTAAGTTGAGGCTTGTATTACAGAAGTATGAGCATGGGTCGATCGCTAACAGGCAGCCCAGGCTGTTCTTTTAGCACAGGTCTTACGTAAACATAATACAATGTCCCAGGAAGACTACTAGCTCCTCCGCCCTGCACCAGCTATGGCTTCTAAATCAGGCTCAAGGACAACCCCACATAGCTGTGTTTCTTTCGGAGCCGGAAACCTGATGCGGGTCTCGACTACCTCTGCGCCTGCGCAGTGCCAGTTTCCTCTGACGAAGCTCTTCGGCGCCATGATCCTGGCCGTCAGGTCGTGGGTGGAGTGCGCGTGCGTGGCGGCCCGGCAGCTGAAGGGGCAGTAACCGACTTGGTGGTCTCCCTTTGCCACGTACGGCGGCGAGGACGGTAGTATCCCCGGTAAGTGGCGGAACAGAGTTCGAGCTTTGGGCTGGCTGGCTGGTGGAGGAGGCCCGCATGCCTCGGCCTTTGTACGGCGGAGGAGCTGGAGTCAGTGCTGAGGGGAGCCTCTGCCTGTGTTTGAATGGGAGCGGCCGGGCCAGAGGGTCTGCGGGGAGGAAGCAGGCGGCTGGCCGAGGCCACCGCGCCTCCCTTTTCTGTGACAAGGTTTCCCTCTGGGTTGCTGCCACGTCTTACACCCCGTTTCTCCCTCGCTCTAGGAACTCCTCTTCTAGAGGGGCGGAGAAGCCACACTGGCCCTTTGCAGCAAAAACAAGGCAACAGACTTGTCGTCCTTTAAAAGGCTGCATGTAGAAAAGTGTCTCACTTTTTGTAATAACCCTCGGCGGACCAAAAACCACTTGGCAAAAAGCACCTCCTTTTTTTTGGCTAAACTCCCATCTTCTCCTTTCCTCATCCTGGCCTGGACACCCGAAAATGGGCCGGTGATGATTAATTCCTGCCTCTGTAGGTGTCAGTCGTTAGGGAAGGGCTGTGAAATAAGCAACTCTCCTCTCAGTGCTTCATCTTTTTGTACTGCTCAGAGTGTCACCGTATAGATACAACATGGTCTTTGTAGTTTCTGTGAGCCTTGGAGGAACCTAAGTAAATTGTCCAAGGTCACCAAGAAGCTAGGGGATAGTTCTGCATTCAGTCTGGCTTGCTGAGTGAGTGTATTTATTATAATACCAGTAAGAGATGTAAACACTTGCACCTTTCCCTTATGTTAACATTCTCAAGAATCCAAGCTGCCTTCAGCTGCCAAGGAATTCTTATTAGTTTAATTGTGTAGATTTAAAAAAATATTCTCTGTTACTGTCAGTGGGAGTGAGCCAGCAATTCTAACTGTTCAAAGCTTGATTACTCTTGTGGTAAAGTTGATGTGCAGTGGTGTCACATATTTAGTATTAATGATGCAAAGATGCAAATATGGTTTCGAGGTTTTTTTAAAAGATGACACCAATGAATCAAATACATTAAGAAGTGCATAACATCCAAGTAAAAAACATCCATGTATTTCTTACGTAGAGTAAAGCTTTTTAAAAGAGGGGTTTTTTGTTTTGGTTTTTGTTACTGTAAAATATCTTTCTGGACCAAATTATGTTTTTTAATTAGCCATTTCAAGAATTTATTTCTAATGAGGAAATAAATTGGCTGAAATCTGTTTTTTTTTTTTTTTTGCAGTTGTGAAAGATATAGCAGTCTTAGTTGGTGAAGTATAAGTGCAAGAGAAGTTCATTTTGTAAATATGAAATGTTTTTTAAATTGATCTTAGGGGCAGGTTAAGTCTGATTTCTGCCACCTCTGTCATACAAGCTGGGGTTGAATTCCATACTTGTTTATAGAGTCTGCCCTTGGGGTTGTTACATTGCAACTTACTTTTCACAACTTAAAGATATTTGTCAACAGAAAACAAAAAGGTTAAATTACCAGTTGGATTTAAATATATTTGCTGGAATGCTGTGGACATAGTATATCTTGACTTCATCAAAGCTTTTGACAAAGTACTCCATGATATCCTGATTAGCAAACTAGCTAAAAGTGGGCTTGATGGAACATTGAACAGGTGGCTACAGAATCAAACTTTAGAAGTGCTCATCAGTGGCACCTTCTCAAACTGGTAGAGTTAACAACCTTGTGGAGTACCGCAGGGTCAGTCTGGGCCCCAGTGTTCTTCATGTTGAATGAGAAAGTGCAGGGAACGATTATCAGATTTGTATAAGACACAAAACTGGGTGGGATGGCTAATACCCTGGAAGACAGAAAGAAGATTCAAGGTGATCTTGATAAGTTGGAAAGAACGGAATGAAATTCAATAGTGACCAATGCCAAGTTCTTCACTTAGGAAAAAGAAACCAAATGCAGCATTATAAAATGGGAAATACTTGGCTCAGCGGTACTGCAAGTGAGAACATCTTGGAATTGTCATTGATCACAAACTGAATATGAGTCAACAATGTGATATGGCTGCAAAAAGAGCAAGTAATATTTTAGGCTGCATTAATAGAAGTTTAACTTCCAAATCCTGAAAGGTACTAGTTTTCCCTGTGAGGCTCAGCATTGGTTAGGCTTCTTTGTCCAGTTCAGGGCTTCACAGTTTAAGAAAGATGTAGACAAGCTAGAGAGGCTTCAGAGGCATGCAACAAAGATGTTCCAGGGACTGGAAACAAGGGAGAGATTGAAAGAACTGGGCATGTTTAGCTTTGAGAAGAGAAGGCTGAGGGAGATATGATAGCTCTCTGCAAGTACTTGAAAGGCTGTCACAAAGAAGGACAGGATCTCTCTTTGATCATCCCAGAATGCAGGACATGGAATAACGTGCTCAAGTTACAGGAAGCCAGATTGTGGCTAGTTATCAGGAAAATATTTCTGACTGTTAAAGCAGTATGACAATGCAACCCGTTACCTAGGGAAGTTATGGGCTCTCCCACACACTAGAGGCATTCACTGAGAAGGAGGTTGGATTTGATGGCCTTCTGGCCCCTTCCATCTGTACAATTCTATGATTCTATGAAGTTCTTCTTAGTTCTTCTCTGAAGTAACCAGTGTAATGGTCTTTTCCAAGTTACATTTCAATTTATTTATTTAAAAGTTTTGTATTCCGCCCTTTACAGTGTCTTGTTGCTGTTGTTGTTAGTCGCAAAGTCGTGTCCAACCCATCGCAACCCCATGGACAACATTCCTCCAGGCCTTCCTGTCCTCCACCATCCCCCGGAGTCCACTCAAGCTCACACCAACTGCTTCAGTGACTCCATCTAGCCACCTCATTCTCTGCCGTCCCATTCTTCTTTTGCCATCTATTGTTCCCAGCATTAGGCTCTTCTCCAGTGAGTCCTTCCTTCTCATTGGGTGGCCATAGTATTTGAATTTCATCTTCAGTATCTGGCCTTCTAAAGAGCAGTCAGGGTTGATCTCCTCTAGGACTGACCAGTTTGATCGCCTTGCAGTCCAAGGGACTTGCAGGAGTCTTCTCCAGCACTACAGTTCAAAGGCCTCAGTCCTTTGGCACTCAGCCTTCCTTATGGTCCAGCTTTCACAACCATACATTGCAATTGGGAAAACCATAGCCTTGACTATACGGACTTTTGTTGGCAGGGTAATGTCTTCTTTTTAGTATGCTGTCTAGATTTGCCATAGCTTTCCTCCCCAGGAGCAAGCGTCTTTTAATTTCTTGGCTGCAGTCCCTGTCTACAGTGATCTTGGACTCCAGGAAAATAAAATCTGTCACTACCTCCATTTCTTCCCCATCTGTTTGTCTGGAAGTGAGAGGACCAGATGCCATGATATTAGTTTTCTTAATGTTGAGTTTCAAAAATTTTGCACTCTCCTCCTTCACCCACATCAACAGACTCTTTAGTTCCTCTTCACTTTCTGCCATGAGAGTGGTATCATCTGCATTTCTGAGGTTGTCGATATTTCTCCCAGCAATCTTAATTCCAGCTGGTGATTCATCTAGCCCCGCCTTTCTCATGATGTGCTCTGCATATAAGTTAAATAGGCAGGGTGACAGTATTTAGCCTTGCCGAACTCCTTTCTCAATTTTGAACCAATCAGTGGTTCCGTGTCCAGTTCTGACTGTTGCTTCTTGACCTGCATATAGGTTTCTCAAGAGACAAGATGGTCTGGTACTCCAATCTCTTTAAGAACTTGCCACAATTGGTTGTGATCCACACAATCAAAGGCTTTAACATAGTCTATGAAGCAAAAGTAGATTTTTCTGGAACTCCCTAGCTTTCTCCATGATCCAGCATATGTTCACAATTTGATTTCTAGTTCCTCTCCCTCTTTGAATCCTGCCTGTACTTCTGGTAGTTCTCAGTCCACATACTGCTGAAGCCTAGCTTGTAGGATTTTGAGCATAACTTTGCTAGCATGTGAAATGAGTGCAGTGGTGTGGTAATTTGAACATTCTTTGGCATTGGCCTTCTTTGGGATCAGAATGTAAACTGACCTTTTCCAATCCTGTGGCCACTGTTGAGTTTTCCAATTTTGCTGGCATATTGAGTGTATTTTACTGCATCGTCTTTTAAGATTTTGAATAGCTCAGCTGGAATACTGTCACCTCCACGAGCTTTGTTGTTGCTCGGACTTCCTAAGGCCCATTTGACTTCACATTCCAGAATGTCTGGCTCGAGGTCAGTGACCACCCCATCGTGGTTATCAGGGACATTAAGCTCTTTCTTGTATAGTTCTTCTGTGCAATCTTGCCACCTCTTCTTAATTTCTTCTGCCTCTGTTAGGTCCCTGCCATTTTGGTCCTTTATCATGCCCATCTTTGCATGAAACAATCTCTGGTCCTCCCTATTCTATTTTTTCCTTCTATTTCTTTGCACTGTTCATTTAAGAAGGCATTCTTATTTCTTCTAGCTATTCTCTGGAATTCTGCATTCAACTGGGTGTATCTTTCTCCCTTGCCTTTCACTTCCCTTCTTTCCTCAGCTATTTGTAAAGCTTCCTCAGACAACCATTTTGCTTTCTTGCATTTCTTTTTCTTTGGGATGGCTTTAGTTGCTACCTCTTGTACAATGATACGAACCTCCATCCACAGTTCTTCAGGCACTCTGTCTATCAGATCTAATTTCTTAAATCTATTTGTCACCTCTACTGTATATTCATCATGGATATGATTTAGGTCATACCTGCGTGGCCTAGTGCATTTCCCTACTTTCTTCAGTTTAAGCCTAAATTTTGCAACAAGAAGCTCATGATCTGAGCCACAGTCAGCTCCTGGTCTAGTTTTTACTGACTGTATAGAGCTTCTCCATCTTTGGCTGCAGAGCACATAGTCAGTCTGATTTCTGTGTTGACCGTCTGGTGATGTCCGTGTGTAGAGTTGTCTCTTGGGTTGTTGGAAAAGAGTGTTTGCTATGACCATCATATTCTCTTGACAAAATTCTACCAGCCTGTGCTCTGCTTCATTTTGTACTCCAAGGCCAAACTTGCCTGTTATTCCGGTTATCTTTTGGCTTTCTACTTTAGCATTCCAGTTCCCCATGATGATAAGGACATCATTTTTTTGGTGTTAATTCTAGAAGGTGTTGTAGGCCTTCATAGAACTGGTCAACTTCAGCCTCTTCAGCACCAGTGGTTGGGGCATAGACTTGGACTATTGTAATGTTGAATGGTTTTCCTTGGATTTGAATTGAGATCGTTCTGTCATTTTGGAGATTGTATCCCAGTACTGCTTTTCCTACTCTTTTATTGACTATGAATGCTACTCCATTTCTTCTGAGGGATTCTTGCCCGCAGTAGTATACCTGATTGTTATCTGAATTAAATTCATCCAATTCTGTCCATTTAGTTCACTGATTCCTAAGATGTCGATGTTCAGTCTTGTCATCTCTTGTTTGACCACATCCAGCTTGCCTTGATTCATGGATCTTACATTCCAGGTTCCTATGGAGTATAGATCTTTGCAGAATCGGACTTTCCTTTCACCACCAGGTACACCTGCAACTGAGTGTCCTTTCAGCTTTGACCCAGTCGCTACATTCTTTCTGGAACTACTAGTACTAGCCCTCTGCTCTTCCCCAGTAGCATATTGGACACCTTCCGACCTGAGGGGCTCATCTTCTGACATCATGTCTTCTTGCCTTCTGGTACTGTCCATGGGGTTTTCATGGCAAATATACTGGAGTGGGTTGCCATTTTCTTCTCCAGTGGATCACGTTTTGTCAGAGCTCTCTGCTATGACCTGTCCGTCTTGGGTGGCCCTGCATGGCATAACTCATAGCTTCATTGAGCTACACAAGCCCCTTCACCACGTCAAGGCAGTGATTCATGAAGGAGTACAGTGTCTTAGGGCTATGATAACATAAGACACAGCATCACAATAATTTATACAATCAACATTAAAAGCAATACTAACTTTTAACATGTTGGGAAAATAAAAAGGTTTGGCCTGGGGCTTAAATGAAAAAGCATCAGTGCCAGGCGCACCTCTCTGGGGAGCCCACTCCATACCCCATTCCAATTTTACTGCCTCATTAAGTTAGTGCTTTTTTTAATGGACAATATAGGCTTTCCTTCTGATTCAAGGAAAGATATGCATGGGCAGGAGAAAACCACAGGTGTAAGTACAGTTTGCTTGGCTGTGTTTTTATGTTGAAAAAACATGAAGTATAAATATGAGAAATGTAATTTCTATTGGATGGGGGTTGTAGAGTACAGCAAAATGCAGTAATCTCCTCAGAAAACATGTTATCCAAAACTTCAGCAATTTAAGTGTATATGTTTGACGTATGAATTATATTCTAGAAATCACTTGTTTTAATGGACTCTCTGGGCTGGTTGTATATGCTGAGCTTATTTCTGAACTGAAGAAATCCCTTAGATCTTAGTATCATCCACAGTATGCATAATTCATAATAACAGATTGCTTTTCAGTACTCCATAAGGTAAGTTGCCTTTTGTTTAAATTGGTATATGTGCTTGTAATGAAGGCCTCTAACTTCTGGCAGTGACTAAGCTATCTTGGTGTTCTGATGCAGATTCTACATGTGGCTGCCTATTATATTTCACTAATCAGCACTGTATGGCGAGACATCTGATCTCCAGCTGAAAGTAGAAGGATAAATCTGCCCAGCTATTCAATAAACTTTGTGAGAGAGGTAAATTTCAAAGCAGATACCTCATTGGAAATGAATATTATGATAAAGGAAGTAAAAAGTGTCCTAAAGTTAAAAGTGATGATGTTTTGTTTAAAATTATTTTTATTACTATATTCTGTTCTTCATGTTACAGATGGAATTTTGAAATATGTTCAGCTATGATAATTCAGATAAGCACATGTAATTTAATCTGTTAAAACAGCTGAAACCATATGTTAAACTATATAATAATTATTATTATTACATCGCATTTACTACATTTATAACCTGCCTTTTTTTCTCTTTTCTGAGGAACCCAAGGCAGTTTACATAGCTGCATTTTATGCTCACAACAGCAACCTGGTGAGGTAGGTTGGGCTGAAAGACTGCAACTGGCTCAAAGTCACCCATTGACCTTCATGGCTGTGTGGGGACTAGAACCCAGATCTCCAGTCCAACATTCTAACTACCAGACTGGCTATATCTGTTGTAAGCTGGAATTGTCTCTGAGTCACTTTGAATGAGCATAAAGTTAGAAAGGGCAAGACAGACGAGAATAGGCTGTATTAGCACATCTTTATATTAGCATTTGAACATCCATTGTAAATTATTTAAACGTTTCAAGATGCATCTTAGTGTAATCTCCTTATTGGGCAAATCAAAATGTCACAAAAATATGCAATTTTTTGAGATTGCTTCATCCGGTAATATACTTTTTCCTGTTACATCTTGCTTGATGAAGAGAGATACAGAGATCTTGAAAGCTTGCACTTTGTTGTTACCTTCTGGTTAGTCCCTTAAAATATATGGTAATGAACTTGACCAACATATCTCACTTTTTATCTAAGAATGATATAATTGATTCTACTAACAGATGTTAGCATTCTGTCTTGGACATTTTAGGCATAACAGTTCTGCAAACTGGCAATGTCTATCATTTCACAACCCTGCTCCCAATGTCCAAAATGGTGAAATTGTTAAGTTTTAAAAACTGTTTTTCATAATAGACGTAGGGCATTTGTGGTTATTTTCTCTCTGTCATATCCTTATGCTCAAGATATTTTTTCCAGGTTTTTTTGTGTGCTTCCCTTCTTTTAGATCTAATAAGAGTCTTGTGTTTTAGATACAATAAATAAATATAACTATTTGTTTCATGGTCGATATTGATATCCTTTTTTTTCATTCCCAGTAGCTCTGTAAAAAGGCCAGAGGTAACCATGAATGGTCAACTGGACTTGAGTGGAAAGCTTATAATTAAAGCTCAGATGGGTGATGATATTAGGAGAATTCCGATTCACAATGAGGATATCACCTATGATGAGTTAGTGCTGATGATGCAGAGAGTTTTCAGGGGAAAGCTTCTCAGTAATGATGAAGTCACAATAAAATACAAAGATGAAGGTAGGATTTTTTCCCAGACTTTTAATATTATTTAATGATGCAGAAATGTTCTTATGTTTCTTTAGTTCTTTTGGTTATGGGAACATTTTTCTTCTTTTTCTGGCCTATGCAGAATTTAAGGTTGGGAACTAGTTCAGAACAGCTACCTTGAATGACCTAAGTAACTGGTAACCTTTAGAGAGACAGGTAGACATTAAGGTTGTCTTTCTCAGCACTGGAGAGGAGTAAAGTTTTGCTGCACTTGACTTACAAACCATAGGAGTAGCATTCAGTGGGAGGTAGGTAGATACAAGGAACACCTCAGGCAGGATGGAGTCTAGTATTAACAGGAGGAAGTAGGGAGCTGCAGTTGTCATAATTGGAACCTGGAAGTAGCCCTGAGATCACTTACAGGTTTCTGTATTGGAGGCTCCCTTTGTAGAGTTGGGATAGGGGATAGTGAAGGTGTACCATCCCAGACACCTGGCTTGTACCTCCTAAGCTGTGCCAGTCTCTTAATAAGTACCTGTTCTGGCCTGCATATATAGTTTTCATAGTATGAAACAAGTCTTTGCTGTAATAGCACTGAACTCTTATACCTGAATTCTCTAATATCTAAAACTAAACTAAAAACTAAACAAAGTGTTTATAGCTTCTATATATTTGTTAGCTTCTATATATGCATTGAAACACTGAATAGATTGTATTGATATCTTTAATATGCAACTATAAAGATAAGATGAATGTTGAATAAGCTTGGTCATTTTTTGTAGGTCATTGCCTGGTAGAACTACTACAGTGTATTTTCATAGCACTGTGTAATGAAAACTTGTAATGCTTACAATGCAAGCCTAATGGTATGTGTTCTTGAGGTACTGACTGACATTTCAGTAACTCCTTCCACTTCTAGTGCTACTTGCAGTCTAAAATACACAGACACTTTTTACCATCATTCACTGGTGAAACCTTACTGTAATGGCTTCAGTAACTCAACATTGGAATCTTCTCTTCTGCTCAAAACTTAATTCAGGATTGTAGTTGTACTGAAATTTGTTCAGGTGTGATCTGCCCTTCTTCCTAGGCAATTCTGATGTTACCTGAAATAAGAGGTAGAACAAGTCTGCCCTGTTTCTGCAGTCTAACCCAGGGCACTGTGTACAGTTGCATTTGCTGCAATATAAAGTGAAAGAGCAAAACAGCATGTTGCCATCCATTTCCCTAAGTAGATTCTGTATGAGCAGGACCCAAGTATGTCTACTATTTTTATTCTTGAAGATGATAGACATCTTAAGGTTGAGAAGACCTTTTGGCTCCTACCTTGATTCTTCATGAAATTGACTTGCTTGTAATTACTCTTCTAGGAAAAACCTACGTGTTTTTCTGCTTGGAATTTTCTGGAAAAAGTAGATGTGTTTTATGCAGGTATTGTGGGAAGGTGATTATAGATTTTCCTGGGAACTCAAAATGATAGTAGATAGTTGCACATCAGTATATGGGGGCAATTGGTGGAACAAGGCACCCAGCATTGCTAAGTAGATTCTGAAAATGCTTTAGATCTCAGATTCCAGTCAACGTGTTGTTTACATTTTGTTTATAACTCCTATACAATGATGTAATACAGATGAATGTATCTGATACTGTTAGGACAGGAAAGGCTAAATAATGCCAGATATTGTCCGTTGAATGTGCAATCAAAACTTAGAAGAATCACAAATAAGTTTCTTGGTGCCTGTATATTAGTAATTTATTACTTGAAATGGTAATTTAACTTAATGTTAAACAAACAGCAGCAGATTTTTGGTTTGCAGATATTAATTTTAAATTCAGGGCAGATGGAAGGTGATTGTGTTTACACCATTATTGTTTTCAGTGCATAAATTAAAAATTATATCTTTAGGAACATAGCATAGACTCGGTGTGCTTATTCTGTTTTGTCCACTTTAAACTAATTTAAAAAGATCTGCTGTATAATTTAAGGGAGTTTATGGTTCCTTCCATGTGCTTAGATATGATTCCTAATTCTCCTTAACAGATGGGGATCTTATAACAATCTTTGATAGCTCGGACCTTTCCTTTGCAATTCAGTGCAGCAGGATACTGAAACTGACACTGTTTGGTGAGTAGAAATGCTTTTCGAAGCAATGGCAGTTGATGTATTTAAGGGATTTCCCCCCTCATTCTTGGCTGTTCCCTTTGTAATAAACTTTACTTAATTTCTTCCTCTGGCAATTCAGAGAAGTATGAGTCTCACCACTTATACCTGCTGCTCTAGAGAAGTGCATTCAATTTTAATGGACCAAATTGTGATCAGTGTGTAGAATTGGTTAGAATAAGGCCATGAGAGCAACAAAACATTTTCAGTTAAACTCTTACAGTAAAGCAGTGTCTTATGGTATCAACATTTGTGCCTTGAAAACTCACTGTAGTAATATCTTTATTCAGTTAATGGGCAGCCAAGGCCTTTAGAATCCAATCAGGTAAAATACCTCCGGCGAGAACTGATAGAACTTCGCAACAAAGTGAATCGTTTGCTGGATTGCTTAGAGCCACCTGCTGAACCAGGCCTTTCAACCAGTCTCCCTGAAAATGGTAAGTTGGAAAACTGGTACTGTCAAGTATTACTTGAACTTTTTTGACATTGTCCATGAGTGTGTGCATGTGTGCCACAAATGGACATGTAGCAAGAAAGCTGCAATTTCTTTTGAACTGGTATTTTGCTTGCCACATGAGTTCATGAGGACATTTCTTTTAAAAAAGTGTTTAAATTCTGTTGCTATTTCTGTAGCTTTTGATACAGGTTTGGTTAAAAATCAAGCTGAATAGAAAACAAATGCATTGTAGTAAAAGCAGGGAATAGATAATTTTAAGAAATATAATTTTAATAAAGTTGTGGTGCTTGTCATGTAACATTTAAGTGCCCTTAAAATTGACAATTTAAATGTCTTTGAAATGTTGGCTGCTGTAATACACTAAGATCGAATAGTTTTAAGTAACCTAACCAACCTCCCCATACATGCCACATCATATGCTCCTTGGGAGAGGTCAGGAATAGTGGTTGGGCTTGTCTGTTTCATCTTCTGTGGAGCAAGGGTAGGACTGAATTAGGTGATGTCGGTGTTCTCAACCTAGGTTTCTGAGCTGTCAAGTGTGGTAGGATGTGTTTAATCAGGATGGAAAACCTTTGGTTTGTGGATTCAGTTTGGCTCATCAGGCTTTCCCTAAAAGACCTCACCCCTTATGGGAGATTTTCCTATCCTCCAGACTCTTTCTATCCGTTTGTGAAATACTGGAACTATGGAGTGCTGTTGAGCAATTTTATGATAGCTAGCTTTTTTTTCAAATAGGGTTTTTGACAGAAACATACAGATATGTGTGCATTTTTGTCTTTTAGAAACCTTTAGCACTATCAAAAATCCCATTTGAAAGAAGAAGCCTGAGTTTTGACAGTTATCAGAACTCCATGCTTCTGTAGAAGGGGTGGCTGTGGAGTCCTCTGGTTACCCATGGGATGCCTGAAGAGTAAAGACTGGGAGGAATCCATAATGAAGGTTTTGTTTGTCTGTGCAGTGTGTGTTGTTTCACAAACTGCCTATTCTGCATATTTGCAGGTTTTGTTGTGGTGTCATGTGAACTTGCCCAGCTTGTTATCAGTAGCTGCTAAAACTCTCTGGAAGTTATCTTGCAAAAGCATATTGAAGTGCTATTAAGTAAATACTTAAATAATGTTACTTTGTACTCAGATGGCTTCTTTCAGTGTATCTGAATGGAGGTTCTGTTAGCATTGTCAGCTAAGGATAAAGTAACTGCATGCATGCACATTGGCCAAGTTAGACTTCAGTTAGATTTTCTTGTTTTTGTTTTTAATTTGAACATTACTTAGGTTTAGAAAATTGGTTCTATAGCTTGGTAATTCTCTTCCTGGAAAAATGATCTTCTGAAAATCATGAATGAAATTGCTTGCTTACATATCAATCATCTTGGTAGATGCAAATAGCATATATTTGTTATCTCTTGCCATGTAGTATGCCTGTTCATTTTAAAGAATGTTTATCCACTGCTCCGGCAAAAATGTCTCAGAGCTGCTTCCATGCAATCACTGAAAGCAAGGCAGCCCATGTTTATGGGAGGGAAGGGGACATGGCTGATGAAATGGCCCTGGTTCCTTTCTCCCTCTGTATGGCCTGCTGGAACACTTGCTGGTAGTGATAGTTGAAGGAGAGGGAGCTTTACTTATCCCAAATTAATTGGCAGTAGAAGATGGTGGAATTTCTGATGGGGACATTAAGGATGCCAAACAAGGTCTGGTCCTTAAAATGAACTTTGTCATACTAGTCAATCAAGCCCTCTAAAATTTTCCTTATATCTTTCAGATGTTGCAGAGGGTAGGGAAGACAAGCCTGCTACTACTGACTCCACTGTCAAACCTTCTACTCAAGTTATAGCAGCAAGTATGTCTGCTTTTGATCCATTAAAAAATCAAGATGAAATCAACAAAAATGTCATGTCAGCATTTGGGTTGGCAGATGATCAGGTGTCAGGTAAGAATATGTATTTATTGAAACCCTTGTTGAAATTTCAGCCTTTCAGAATTGGTCACATGTAATAAGGATCTTATAGAATGAATATGCAAATTGAGTTATTGTATATAAAAATATTTGCTAAAATTATGCCACTGTCTCTTGCCAAAAACAAAGCCTTAATTATTCCCAGGACAGAATCTTGTTAGTTTTTAAATGGCATTAAACCAGACCCAAGGATAATACACATTCTTTGATTGAAATAATGCATGTATGATGTGGCCGTACTGAATGGTACACCATCTTTGCATATTTATCAGTAGTGTAGTACTGCTTTCAACTATCTTCCTGTCAGCTGTAGGTGAGTAAGTAATATGTTACACATCCTATTGCTCATATTCTGAAGATTTCTGTTTAATATGGTACTACTAAGGTATATCAATATTTGGAGATAAGTTATTGTCTGAAGTATGTACTATATGGGCATAAAATATTGTTGCTGAATGTGTTAATGTACTATATCATTCATAACTTGTGGCTAGATATAGCCAACAGATTTGAATTCTGAGATTATCGCATTTTCAATAGTCTTATAAGATTCAGCCCTTTCAGTTGTACAAATAGAAGGGGAATGCAGTGTATCTAAAACTGTAAGAAACTATAAACCAGAAAGTAGAATTAATTTCTGAAAGTAAAGTTTTCATTTTTTAGATTCTTAACAAACTTAATATTCAGGGTTAGCAATGCCAGTCTGGGAAAGTCAATTGTGTGTGAGTGTAAGGGAGACCTATAATGTGAAATGGCAAATCCACGAAGCTTCAATATATGACTCATAAGTTCATGCTGAAGAAACATGTTTTTACCAAATAGCTAAGAGAGAGACAAAGCTGCAACTTCCTGGCAAACACTGCCTTCCTGAGGTGTTTTGTATGGCAGAATGTGTTTCTTATTTTTGTGCTAGGTAAAATCACTCTCTTTATTTTGACTAAAAAGTATATTCTCAAGAGAAAATTGAATTCTGACCATACTTTCATAGTTGCATTGGCATGGCTTGCTTGATGTAAAATTAGACATGTGCAAGGGAAATAAAGCCTATTACAGCTGTCCCCATAGATTGTACTTCTGAATGATGAAAATTGATCTTTCAGGAAGCAGTCAGATGAAGATGACCCATTTATGACAGCTGTTGCTTAGCTTGAGTTTGCTGTGTGCTCATGAATGACCTTGGGTTGTGTACGTTAGGCCTCCTGGATCTGTGAGGTTTAAATATACTGGCAGTGTTGTATTCTGTGGCTGTATATAGATAATTACTGAAAAACAACAGGAGTGACATTAAGCTTGATCTAACACCAAAAACTGAAGAAGTGTAACATAATATAATAGTGATGGCAGAGGCAGAAACACCTGCCTGCAGGAGGAAAATCCTCTTTGCTCTCCTTTCCTGCTTCCTAATCATAGTACAAAAATTGTTTTAAAATGGCAAAGAAATGCTATTGTGGATCTTGTAGCCTTGTGCTATTTTAGAAGGAAGAAGCAACATAATATTAATAGGGATTAGTGGCTACGCATATATTTTTCCCTGTGTGCTGCTGTAAAAGCTACTTTGGTGTAATTGTGGGATAATAACTAAGTTACTCAATACTACTGATTTGCTGGATTCGATCCAGACCTAGCTGCTCTTAGTGTGGACTCATTAAATGAAACTTACTCATAGGTACTTTAAGTCCTATTGATTTCAGTGGCTGTACTCCAGGACTGGGCAACATGTAGGCTTAAAACATCTGGAGAATCAGATGGTTATTCCTGATCCACTTCAGCCAATAACACAATCCAATAACATAGCAGCAATTTTGGTTGTGTTGTGATATTCTCCAGGTATTCCCTTAAAATACTACAAAACTCTTTAATATCAGTTTGACCAAAGACTATAGAAGAAATAAAATGAACCATACACCCTCCTATATCCAAGTCTCTGAAAAGTTAACATCTGGATACCGTTGACTAACTTAGAACCTAGGTATCACTTAGATGCATGACTGGAGGGAGTCTTTGCATTTGTAACTAGATGCATGCTTATTGGACACAATGTTCTTACATAGCTGAGAAGATGTACTGTAGTCTAATGAAAGTGGGGAAAGGAAGTAATTTTCAAGACACGCTGTTAAAGTATCTATTTTTGTACAGGAGCCACGTATAACTTGAAAGAAATAAAATTAGTTTTGCCCAGAGACTGGATCCTATATAAAATATGTAATCTAGAAACTGAAAAATTGGTCAAACCAAATAGCAGTTAAGATGACAGACAGAAAAAGCTGGAAAAGTTTTTGTTCAATTAATTAATTAATTAAAGCATTTATACCCTGCCCTTTACCAAGGTTTCAGGATGGCAGTACAATAGTAAGCATTTATTTGTTACTGTTTTATTTCTACGTTGTAAGCCATCCCGAGATGTCGATGCATGCGGTAATGGCATATAAAAGTATAATATAATAAACTTATATTCAGGAAAGTTTGTCGCCTTTGATAGACGTAGTCAGAATTAATTAAGAATCATAGCAATTTGTGCAGCTATGTTTGTGTTGCTGTCAGAAATTGACTCATTTTATAAGCACTTGGCTCTTCTAAATTCAAGACTGTCACTTCCTTTATGGATTCAAATCCATCCTATGAATTCTAGACTACATAGCAGATTATTATGTTCTTGTATATCCAGTATTCTTAAATACTGAAAGATGATACATAAGTAATTTCTTCTGTTGTTTGAAAAGTTTAAGTGTCTGCATCGTTTTACGCTGCTTCTCTTTCTCAGGACCCCCCAGTGCCCCTGTAGAAGAACGTTCAGGAACACCTGATAGCATTGCTTCCTCATCCTCTGCAGCTCATCCACCTGGTGTTCAATCACAGCAGCCATATGTAGGTGCTCAGCCACAAACTGGTCAAATAGAAGGTGAGTGATATCTGCACTTAATTATTCAGCTTACAATATATTCATCTTTCTTGCCCAATCTCTTGATATGGTCCTACTTAAAATTTCTGCTTCTTCAACTTTACTATTCTATTCCATTAAGATGAGCTACAGAGATCCTTCTCAGGGAAGCTCCTGCTAAAAAAGTAAAGGGGGTGGTAAACAGGAGAAGGTACTTTTCACTGGTGGCACTTCTCTGGAATATGCTCCCCAGAGAGGTAGGCCTGGTACCACCTTTAGTATTCTTTCAATGCCAGGTGACAACTTTTTATTCATATTTTAAAAACTGTTGGGAAATTTTATATTTTTATATCTTAATATTGTATTGCTGCTGCTGCATTGCATTGTATGGTTATTTTTAATATGGAGCTATTGCTGTTGGTATTTCTTAGTGTTGTTTTTAGTCTTCCATTTTATTGTTCTACATAGGGGTATACATGTTTGTAAACAGCCCAGAGAGCCTTCTGGGCTATTGGGGCTGAATATAAATGCAATAAATGAATGAATATTCCCAGCTGTCTTCTCTTGCTTTCTTAAATTACTCAGCCCATGATCTTTCCCTACTATTCCTTTCTTGAACATGTTCATGTGTCCTTTGTCTCTCCACCTGCAGATCTCTCTCAGATGCACATACTTTGTCAAAGCTATGGCCTGTTTTATTCCATAATTGTTTGCTCCCCAGTGCATCCTAGACTAAAAGTACCTGTGACTACATTTACTCATATCAGTCACTCGTCAAGCATGTCTTTCCTGTCATCTCCCCTTGCCTTTGCCTCTGTCAAAGATTGTAAGCACCTTCAGGGAAGGGACCTGTCTTCTGTGCTGATCTGTAAACAGCTATGTATGTTGATGGCACTCTATATGTAAATCATAATAGAAAAGCCTCTTTGAATTGCCTTGGCCTAATCACTAAATAAAGTGGGTATGATGCAGTCAGGTTTTGAAGGACCTTTTTGACTATAACTTTTAAAACACTAGATGGTGCTACAGTGCTGAATCACAAGCAAAATAGTTGTGTAAATCGAAAAGTGATCTGAAAACCATTTTGTAGTATTATTGCAACAGTTTAAAAGAGTTTCCATGATGCATCTTTTTAGAAATGTTATGAAACAATATATATTAGAATTAAAAATATCTGATTTCTAAAATAAACATTAAATAGATATCCTAAAAAACCTGAGGCCTGCCCTAAGTATGAACATAAAACCTGACTAGCAAAGCAGTTTATGCGTATGAGGTGTGCAACACAGCAAGAATGAGTCTCTCAAACAGCTTACAATCTGAAACTTTTTCAGTCTTTTATTATGAACAACCAGCTGTGTAAAGGAGAGTGGCCTGCAGGGTAAAATAAGAACCATGGACAACCTCCCATCTTTCTTCTGGTTCCCAGATACTAGGCTCCCATATATGGTAAATCACTTCTTCCTGCATAGGATAATATGCATACTCCCATGGGGGAGAGAAAAGACAGCTAAATTCTTATCACATCAGATTTTTTAAAATGAAAAATCTTAACTTTCTTCAGCAAACTATGCTCACTTAGATCTAATAATTCTGTTAAAAAATCTTAACTTCATGAGAATAGTTTATGAGGAAGGTAAGACTGAGCTGCTAATATTTTAATTTTAAAAACATTTTTAAATTTAAATTGGTAGGCCAAATGTATCAACAGTATCCACAACAGGCTGGATATCCTGCTCAGCAGCCTCAAGCTCAACCCCAGCAACAATATGGTATGCAGTATCCAGGTAAGAAGGTAGTAGGTACTTCAGAATTACTATATAGAAAAAAATGTGATCAATTAGCCATTTCTTCAATACATCTTTGTAGTTCAAGTTTTCATCTGTAGGCTGCAATCAGATGTAGTACCACTGCGCATATGACCTTAAGACTTTTTCCAAAATATCCAACTTATTACATCCATTTCAGAGCAGTTGAGCTGCTTTTGTGGGAACTGATCCCTGAATAATGTAGAGCTGAATGTATTGCTGTCTTCCACAAAGTTGCATTGTTCATACGAATACAGAATTCAGATGTAGCTCCCAGCTTCATGGGTCAGTCTTATTCAAAAGCTCTTCCCATGTAGTGCTTCTACATCTAAAGAGACTGACATATAAACTATAAATGTTAAAGAATCTGTAGCATTTCCATTTTCCTTGTTCTTTGTGGATAGTTTGGCAAAAGAGCATGATTATAATGGTAGCTAGAATGCATCCTTATTATGTTGGGCAGGGGGGATTGTGTTAACACAAGAAGTATCAGAAGAAAAGCCTGCTGGTGGTTTTGCTTGCTCATTTCCCCCTGGATTGGCCTCCAGAAAGCATCTGGAACTCTTCAGCTACAGTAGAACTAGTCAAATATTCTTTTAAAGTGCTCAATAAATCGAGTGAGCTCCAGAAAAGTTAGGACATTCTTCGTTTGAACAAAACTTGCACCTAAGTATTTATATTGGCCTTAAACATTGATCTATTGCAGTCATTAACATCAATGGCTGTGTAAGTTTTATATCTGCACCAGAACAACTTTTAAAGTGCAACTCCTGCAAGGCACAGTAAATACCAGTAAAGTCTTTGCTGCTGTTAGCAAACTGGTTATTACCAGCAATTGTTTCTTCAAGTGGAAGCTAGTTTTGTGCAACATGCGTATTTTCTGAATGTTGCCCTATTACATAAGCTGTACGGTTTACCTTTTGGTCTTCATATATTAAAAAGGGCTTCTTGTATGTTGATCTCGGGTATTAGGTTTTATTCCTCTCAACTGCCACTTGTCAGGTGTGTGTTGTATAGTTCAGTCTAGCCATACTAAAATTTGCAAGTCTGGTAGTGCTTCTATATTTAAAAGGGTTTTTTCCATAGTAAATTTTGAAATTGCAGGTGAGTTCAAAATTTACTCCAATGCTTTCTTTAGTCCATTCTTTCTATATTCAGGGTCATGCCTTTTTAATAATTGTTATATATCTGGTGTTTAATGCTAACAGGATTCCAGTCAATGGAGAGTTTTCATTGCGAGTAGCTTCAGGTGTGTTTCATGCTAGAGATAAATGGGAGTAACTGGTTTTTGTTCCAGGCCTTTTTGTTCTTATGTTGCCAATATGAAACTGTCTAAAAGCTGTTTTTAATATAGTGGGCTGATAGCAAAGCATAGTGTTAAAAGCACTTAAACTGTTGTTGACATCTTTGTACTTGTGAAAGGAGTATCTGGAAGTATTTTCTGTTTTCCAATCTAGATACAATTGATTAGATTAGCTCTATCAATTAATGGTTTCACACTATGAATAAAGCATAGCCTGAATATGTCTGAATTGGCACATTAAGTTGCAGAGTTACTCAGTGGTGGCATATTTCACTAAAGGAAGATTCTAAAACATAGGGATATTCATTGTTTAAATTATTTCATAAAACTTAAGAATTTTATTTGCATACAAAATGTAGTGGTTTCATATAATGAGGTTGTCTGTTCTTTCTTCCCTCAATTCGACAGAATTAATTTAGAGTTGGTTCACACATATAGACACTCAATTATTCTACAATGGACAAGTGGTTAATGTGTGAATTGACTCTCAGCTAAAATACTAAGCTTTTCAGTGACATCTAGTAACATGAAAACTTTGTGGCTCATTCAGCTATGCAAATCATCCTTTAATGCTGAAGTGAGCAAATAGTCAGCATGCCTGTGTGAGCACTGCTGTTTGAGCATATTCCTCCTTTTCTGCCCTAGGTTTTGTTTAGTGCTCAGACTTTTTAAAACTGTTCATTTTTCCCCCCAGTTGTGCATAATGTATACTTCAACCTTTGCCTGAAATGTCTGTCTTTTTAAGAATATAGTGATGGGTATGTAGGTATTAAACAACCTGTTATGCTACTTTTACTTAAATACGTTGCTGTTTATTTGGCTCTCTCAGCAGGCTACAGCCAACAGACTGCTCCTCAACAGGCACAGCAGTTCCAAGGATACAGTCAGCAGGCATCACAGCCTCCAGCTCCTGGCTTTCCTGGCCAGGCTCAGCAGCTGCCAGCTCAGCCTCCCCAGCAGTACCAGGCAGGCACCTATCCACAAAACTACACAACACAAGCATCCCAGTCTGCTAGTTATAATGTGCCCCCAGCTTCACAACCTGGAATGGCTCCAAGTCAGCCAGGGGCTTATCAGCCAAGACCAGGCTTCACCCCACCACCTGGAACTACTATGACACCTCCTCCAAGTGGCCCTAATCCTTATGCACGCAACCGTCCTCCTTTTGGCCAGGGGTATACCCAGCCAGGTCCTGGCTATCGATAAGGATGTTCTGCTGCTGAAAGGCCCCAGGTAAATCCAAGCAGCTGCTGATGCTTTTCCATCCATATAGACTCCAAGGTTCTTTAACTGATTACAAAAACTAATGAAAGACAGAATATTGTGTGGTATCACTGTTGCTGTTTAATTTGCTGGGATATATGACCAAATGAATCTTGTTTCCTGCTTTAAATTGCATTGGCTCTCTAGTTTAATATTGATTTTTGGAAACACTACCTAAATGTTTGTAAAGTAATGACATTCTAGCTTGCCATATTAAACTGCTAGGTGAAAATCTAGCTCACTTATCTGGCTTGTTTTTACTAATACGATGATGTACTAAATTAGACCCACTTGTTAAAAGAAAAATATGATGTATAAATTGTAACATGCTCTCTGATTGAATAAACAGTCAAACTCAATTGCTGAATGGTGATTACTGCTTAAATTATTTTGTGTCTTGCTATAGCATGCTAATCCCCTTCCTCCCTGCTACACACACTCAATCACTAGTTGGGACTAGTCCAACAGTATTTTTTTCTGTACAAACAGTCTTTACTGTCCTCAGCTATGCATTTACTTTGGCCTAGTATGTCAGCTGAAAGACTTGAAGCAGTTGTTGTGGTAGCTGAAATTGGACTATTATTAACATTGCTGTTGTGCATTACAGAGACCCTTCCAGTGAAGCTGTTATGTATACAGGAACCATCTGTGAACAGTGATGTCCTGGTGTTTGAAACAGATCTCTGCTATGCATCACTTCATTTTTAATTAGCAGTAGGCAAACCAGTCAGTCCTAGAGGAGATCAACCCTGACTGCTCTTTAGAAGGCCAGATACTGAAGATGAAACTCAAATACTTTGGCTACCTAATGAGAAGGAAGGGCTCCCTGGAGAAAGGGCCTAATGCTGGGAACAATGGATGGCAAAAGAAGGGGACGGCAGAGGAATGGCTAGATGGAGTCACTGGGGCAGTGGGTGGACTCCGAGGGATGTTGGAGGACAGGAGAGCCTGGAGGAATGTTGTCCATGGGGTTGTGATGGGTCAGGCACGACTTTGCGACTAAACAACAACACCCATACAGTTGTGTATGTACCTGTTTTACCGTAATGAACTCAAGGGCAATCTTAAATTCTGAAGAATATACACATTTTACTAAAAGTAAAATACTGGATTCAAGCAATCATTCCCAATGCAGGTACAGAGCTCGCATACAGAGGAATTTCCACGGAGCATAACAGACCTGTTTTCTCCTTTCTGTTTGCAAGTGTTTGGAGAGGCTTGGTGTCTAAATGCAAAGCTTAGTGCATAAGATCCCAGGTTCAGCCCCAGCAGCTCCAGCTAGGACTGGAGAACAGCTGCCAATCTATGAAAATGAGCTAAAGATGCAGCAGTGGTTTGATTCTGCATAAGGCAGATTTCTATGTTTCCAGGTGTCCACAGACCTTCCAACCTGTATAATGGGGGACTTGTTAATATAATGAAGTGTGTGTGGGGAGAGAAAAAGCAAGAGGACAAAAAGGGAAAAAGAAGCTGTTCTGGGGGAAGGGAAAAGAATGAGAGAACTGCAAACAAAGGGGCTGGGTTTAAAACCTGTTCATGTATTCCCTGCCTTACTCTGAGCAGTGGAGGGTTGTGTGGGGGAGTGCGCACAATTGAATTGTGCGCACTCCATATACTTGGTTCAAACACCACAGTTTGCTCATCAAGGATTATTTAACTCATGATGAGCCAAGGAGTGCAGCTGAACAACCACTGTCATGCAAATCAAGCTGCTGTTGACAATTCAAGGTTATTACTAACCCTTGATTAGTAGTAGCTTTCCGTGAGGATTATTTTAACCCTCAATCCATGATGACTAGCTTTCCACACCATAATGCAAGCTGATTGCCCTGATAGGTGGTTACATAGTTAAAAGGGAAGCTGCATATACCATAGCTCATCATGAATTATAACTCATTATGAACCCTGATGAGTTAGCCATATCTTGTGAGCTGCCTCATAAAAAAGCCACCTTACTTAATCAGGGAACATGTTATATGCTTTTTTGCTATCAAAAGTAATACAGGAGTGGCTATCAAAAGTCAAAAACTACCAGCTGCATTGTGGTATTGGAAAGGAAGTACAAAAAGTACATTGACATTTCTTCTACCACAGGTGCTTATATAATATTTCAGTGCAACCAAAACTGCAAGCTATGTATGAAATGTCTGTTTAAGACTGTAGAAGAAACAGTCACATGTAATTATTCAATGAAAGACTCAGTTTAAAATACTTGTATTTTTTAAGATGCTCTCAATCATGTGTTAGGGGTTTGTTTTATAGCTAGATTCATTCAATTAATTCACAGGACTATTTTGATGTTTATGCTAATTTGATTCATATGTTCTAAACTGAATGTCCTGATCTTAGAAAACTATAGTCATTATGCGGATAACACTCAGCTTTTCTTCCTCTTTCAGCTTACGCAAGGAGGCTGTGGATTTCTTTAACAATCTAGATGTAGTGAAGGACTGGATGTGGACAAACAAATTAGGTTGAGGCAGGGTGTGATCTTGCCAACTGGCATTGTCAGACAAAAGCATGCCCTCCAAAGCCTATCTTTAACAATTCAAGATGTAAATGAATGTAAATCTATTCTAATAGGTAGTAGAACCCCTTTAAGCAGATCTCAAAATACTTATTTCCAGGCTTCATATCTCTAGAAACTTTCATTTTTTCACTTGTGTGTCTGCTAAGTATACCAGTGGAACAAACATTGATTAAAAATACTTTATTAAGAGTACAGTGTACCTGCAGTGTACTTAAACTTTTTTTTATAAACAACCAATCCACTATTCCTCGTGTTCCTTCTTATATTTTAATACATTGACTAAACAACTTTAAAAAACCTACATCTCTTTATATATAATGTTTAAATGTTCAAGCAATACAAATACAGCAATTTACGTAGCATGAAAGGAATTACCTATTTTCAGAACGAGCCTTAATTTTCTATTCTACAAAGCAGATCACATTACTCTTCAATTTTATATATATAGAAATCAGGTTTTTAAATACAACTAAAATGTAGGTGCTTTTGTATGCTTTGCCAATAATCTATTCTACACACCATTTCATTAACATCTGCATTGATCTACACTTAACTCAGAATGATCATACCAGTCTGTCAAGGATAAGTGTTAACTTGACTTATTCTTAATGTGCCAATCTGTATATTTTGTATACATGAGTACTGCATGCATGTTTCAAAGGCAGCTTTCCCCAGAAGCTGTGAATAATTGAGTCTGCGTCTGTGGAAGGAAAAACCTGTGCTTAAAACTGTCACATGTTCTTAAGTGACATACTGCATGCTCGTATACCCATACCAGAGCACACAGTATTTTGAGGAGGGGAATTATGTTTGTTCCACTTTTATGGTCGTGATCACAGATCTTAAAGTTTGTGCATACAATAGCCTGTCTCTTCTTTGCTGTAGCCAACTGAGAAGTAGTTTCATTCTTTCTTTTGAACCCAGCTAAAATTAATTCATATTAGAGAAGTAAATTTCCCCTGAAGATGTAATAACTTCCACTTAAGTCCAAAAATGAATGCCACAAGAAAATATGTGTGCAACCTCTGCAACTGCCAGCTCCAGGCATGCAAGACTCATGTTGCCACATAATATATTGCCTTTGCTGTGATGAGTCAAAACCCAATTGAGCAATCAAAGTTAGAAACCTGTACAAACTACTCAGGTGAGTGCTCAGCCTGAGGTAGCTTGATTACCTGTATTATCTTGCAGAGTGGTAACAAAGATTTTACCACAGAACTGTATGGTGCATTGGTTACAGGTGTGAACTGTGTCACATGATTTATTTTTGAAATGTTTTAAGACAGACTGAGTGTATTTATGCCACATCATCAGTTTATGATAATATTCAGATGGAGCTGTAGAACTGCATACTTTCCCACAGGGTGTATATATTGACAGAAAGGTTAATTCAGGAGCTCACCTGCCTGAATAATTTATGTCTGTTCAAAACTAAATTGGAGCATGAACTTTGGCAGTAACAATAAAATTCAGAATACATATTTGTTTTTAATCTTTTTCATAAAGGTGCCTCAAAATGACACAACAATGATAAATAATAAACTACATCTTTTAAAATATGTAGATGGTACCATAATAGACTAATAGGGAGCCAGCTTCCCAAGACATCAATTTATAGTATGTTCTAACACTTCCTGGAACAGATCCGTAAATCTGGACAACTATAATTAAGCAGCCAATGCTATTGAACAATGAACACAGTATTGTCATTAGATTTCAGCATGACGTCCATAATACCATGACACATTTCTATGTCTGAGCCCATGATAGTCCTAGCTGGATGCAATTTCTCAATGTTCAGTTCATCTCTTGTTCTACCATTTTCCAGGTATTGTGGTTCCACACTCATACCACTGAACATAGTTAGTATGTGTCTCAGCTCCTATTTTTCCAAAGTGAACAGGTTCCTGTCGAACAGCTCTATAATAACCTGGTTAAAACAAAATAGGGAAAGGCCACAAATTTAACACTAAAGGGTTAAATCATTACATTTGTTTAGATATACCTATTATTTAAAAATATATACTTGAAAATACAACTGTTAAACAAATTTTAATTTGCAAATGTCTATGATGTAAACTCATTAGAGAGCTATGTGATTCTTGAAAAAAGTCCCAAGGATGAAGGTCAGTTATTACTTTACCTTTCAAGCTAGGATGCATAAAAGATAAAGCTGTCAAATATGAAGGACTTGCACATGTGGAAGCAGAGACTGATGGACAGTAATTGAGGCTCCAGCAAATAGCATACTGTGCCTGCACAATACTATCTTAAGCCATTGATTCTCCAAATACCATTTAGAGGGCATACTAATACAATTTTGCATGTGTTTGCTGTCTGTTGATCAATTCCATCCCATATTGGTGTGCTGGCCTTCAAAACAGGCTAACTTACCTTGCTGTTTGGAGATAATAAAAAACCCCTGTTTAGAAATACATATAATGCAGTGCCACCATTACTTTTGTGATCGAAAAAGTGCAAGCTTTTGTGATGGCTAGCTCTCATCATGAGGCTAGAAATTACAAAAAGCAGGTGGCCTGAGAGTGGGGAGGAAAGCTTCATCATGCCTCCAGCAACTGACATCACAAATGTGACAGCTCTGCAGGATAATGAATTCAGTTTTGGAGTTGGAGGAAGAGGCAGTCATTTGGTACTGTAATATTTTCTTGGAAATATTTTCCTTGGTTTAGACAAGCACATAGGTAAGGGTGCAATCCACTGGCTACTAAATATTATCTGAGGAGTCATAAGTAATTGAGATTATCCTGAGGCTACACAGAATGCTACAACCTCAGAAGTGAAAGTCCCTGCTCAAAGCCCTTCAGCCCTAAAGCACATGGCACCACAGAAATCCCTTCGGCAGCATTTCTTCCAGGATTGGTGTCAAGCATCAGATGAGGATGGGAAGGGGAAAAAGGGATTGTGACAGTGTGTGGGAAAGAGTGGAAGGAGAAGCCAATAGGATGCATTGCATCATTTGGACACTCCAGTCCTTTACTGCCTTCGCTTAGGGAGGCTGAGAGGCCCATTCAACTGCACAAATTTCAGAGGAGAACAAAATTCTTCTCTATTGCTCTTTTTGCCTTGTGAGCAGCAGCTCAGCAGGGAATTGGATACTCAGAAGTCTCCAAGATCAGAGCTTTCTGTGTAGCAGTCATAAACCTGATAGGGATGTACTCTAAATTGTGTTTAGGTATACCTAAAACCTTTACAACATACCATCTATGGTAGGTAGTTGATCTGATGGAAGCTGTTGGCCAGTCCTTCCATCTAAATATGAATCCACAAATTGACAGTGATCTTCTCCATGTCCTCTCTGGTCTCCTATATTATAAAATGTACCTGAAAATATTAAAAACATGTTTAAAATTACATAAAATTTAAATAACATTTTAAAAAGGATTAGAGAAAAAAAATCATAAAGTTCCTTAAAATGCTCAGAATTTGAAAACTGATCAGCCCCAAACTGATCACCAGAGTGCATGTAGCCCTCGAGAAGTTGTTTGCCTGAATCCATTTTAGGTGTGCATTTACAACCAACACTAGTGGAACAAGTGTGAGAGCTGTGCAGATGATTCATTCCTACTTCCATGGGTGTATGGCTCCAGTTGCACCCATCTGACCATCTCAGAAGGATTTCTTGCTTGTGACAGTCTCTGTTGAGCTCAAAAAGGCTTTCCTACTCTTTGCTGGCTTAGATAACTGTAGATTTAGCATCCTTTAAGATAAGAACCTTTATTCCAGTTTACAATCAACACAGAAAGAAAGCAACTCTTCAAGTGTCATTTTATGTTTCTTTTGATCTGGCTGAAATTACTGAATTTTTCCTAAAGTTTTGGCGTGGGGGTGGGGGTGGGAATGAAGCATGCAATTTTGCCCAAATACTGTACAATACAACCAAGGGTGCAAACCTTTGCATATTTAGGAAGGAAAAAAGCCCTACAACTTCCAGCATAGCTGGCTGGGGGTTGTACGACTTTTTTTCTATTTGAACATGCAAAGGAGTATGCCTTAAGTAGTTTTTGTATAACTAATACAAATATAGGAAGTGGGTTACAACGCCATGCTTATGTAATAAACGCTTTGGCCCTGCTCTGTGCACACCTAACAGCTTGGTTTCTGTGTATGATGCCATCTCTGAAAGTTTAGCCAAGGAGGACATGAGCTAAAATGAGTCGCTTGCTTGCCTGCAAACCAATAGGTGCCATCATGTCTTTTTGAAGAGGGCTCCATGCAAGTAGCATAAGCAATGTGCACACTCACTGGAGCATGCAGTTCCACCATGGATAAGCATATGGAAGTCTGCTTCCATGTACCCACAGGGCTCTAGATTTATTGGAACTACTGCATGCTGGCTGAATAGTTGTAGATACTTCTCCATGGAATGTAAGAAAAGTGGCAGGGTGGTGACAGATACTTGATCTGGCTACCAATCATGAATGTTAGAAATCAGCCCCAGGACAATTCTGAAAGTGACAAGCATGCTAAGTCACTCCATGACATCACCTCCTAGTTTTTTGTGTGCTTTGGACTACCATTTACATTTTAGGCTGACATTAGGCTCATTGAAGGCATTTAGAATGTTAGGGTTCTTTTCACAATCCTGGAAAGCAACATTGGGCAGTGTTTCTGCACCTGGTTCATTTTTGTTGCCCTCCTCTGGAGCCTTTCTAATTTTTCTGCATTATTTTCTGGGTAGCTGTGTTGAAGTGTAGTGTGTGCTTTTGAAGAAGATAGAATGGCATCCTGTTAAAACAGGATACTGGGAGGTAGCTGCCTCTGTGATGACTGAAGGCTTTTCTGAGCACAGATTGATGATGCTTGACCATCATTCCTGGTCACTGTTCCCGGCCAGACCATTTAATTGCTTTGTGCAACAATATTAAGGAAGCTAGTATATCAGCTTTGACATATCTTGCCCTGCTTGCATGATAAGCTGTCCCAGTTCACTTAACCAGGCATCTGATGTGCTTATGTGGGGGCAGTCCATTGCACCTGCCGTTGCCTTCATACCTGTAAGCGAATCACTGAGATAAATTTTGTATCGGAGTGAGTTGCACACTTGTACACCGACAAATTTCTTGTACCAAGTCCTCTTCACATACTGTTTCCCCTTGCATTCAGAATAGGTATCAGAATTAAATTTGATTTCAGTCCAAATTGCATCTTTTCCCACTGTAAAGGAATAACACATACATTGTTGGTGGTAATGTGCAAGCACAGGTGTGTAATATAAATATTGGAATTAAGTGAAAGTGAGATAAGACCATTTTACCACTTTAAACATTTTATAAATTGTCTACCCTGCTTTTTATTCTGAAACAGTCTGAAGGCAGTTCACATTAATAAAACACAATAAAGCCGAGCACCATAATACAAGAGAAAAACAGTTAAGAGGAAAACACAGATCAAAGCAGCAGTTTAAAGGTGATCAAGAGATTTCATATACCAAGGGAGAGGAAGCCTAGGACACTGGCTTGATCTGGCTAATTGTGCCTTCCTGGATTCCCCCAGGAGGTGGGACTTGGGCTCCAAATCCCGCCTCCTGGAGGAATCCTCACTGCCATCCCTAGTTTGTGATCAGGCTCAGAAATTTGCAGGTGGAGACAGGCACACCTAAGTCCTGTCTTGCCTTTACTTGCCCTAGACCGGGACCGCAAACCCCATTTTTCACAACATTTCAGCTGAGAAGGCCATTTCACACCATTTCAGCTGGGTCCTTCTCTTTGGTAGAAATATTTGTGGTCCCAGTCCCCAGGAGAAAACAGGGCCTGCCAGGTGCTATAAATGCCACCACCACCTCGGCCTTGCTTAGCCTTACAGCAAGAGAACAAGAAAATGGAGGGTCACGGAGAGCAGGGCACCTCAATCTTATTTGCAAGCATTTGAGCAGAAACATATACATGTAGCTAGGGCAGAAACTTGCGGCTGAAGTCTCACGCCCTGCAATGCAGCCCAAATTATCACTCAGATAGTGGCAGATGATTGGGATAACAGTGAAGAGGTCTAACATAAATACCTGAGCCAGCATTGGCATGCTGGGGACCATGGGGATGATGCTATTCCTTGCAGCATCCATTTTTCTTAGATTACACACACACACACACACACACACACACACACACTCTTATGCTCATTTCATTATTTTTACTTTTAAAATCTATTACCATTTCCTGCAACAAAATCTTTCAAATTAAACATATTTAGCATCAGGACAGCAGGACAGCAACTCCATTTTAAAATTAATGTTAGAAAACATGTTTTTGTTTTGCTTTTATTCTAATATATCAGTAACATAGAAGGAGTTGTAAAGCTGGAATCATACTGGATGGATGGAAGAAGAGAAATGCTAATTTTGTGGATCATAATTTTAGAATACTAATAGAGGGTGAACATATGACCAAAATTATCTAGCTATGCCACTGCATGGGTGTCCTCTCCCACTGGGAGGCGTTTGCGGCTGCTGCACCCCCAATTCAGTGGTGGCAAATACATAAAAAAGGAAAATAAAGCTTGAAAACAAGCAAAATGTTGTTCGAGCCTTCTCTTGTGCTCTGTTTGCTACTGTCACAAAATTCACTAGTGTGGCAGTAATGTGGGCCCATAGATGGATTCAATGGAGGAGTTGAGCCCTAGACCCCCTGAAATCTTGTGGGGACATGGGTACACCAGGGAAGATGTCCACATGGCTTGTGAGTCACTGTCGTGCCTGACGGCGTGACAGAGGCGTCTACTCGTGAGGAAGAGGCAGAAGCTACCAGTGAGAGTCAGGCATTGGAACAAGGGGACTTATACTTGGGGTCCAGTGCCCAGACAGCCCCTCTGCAGCCTGACTCTGAGACTTCTGAGCAAGTAACCTCCCCACAGCCTGACCCCTTAGCCCCTGAGCGAATAGCCTCCCCACAGACTGTCGGTGAGGCGTCTGAAAGAGTAGCTTCCCCTCATCCTAGGTCTGAGATACCTGAACAAGTTGCCCCCCCCCCCCCCCCCCCGGCTCCTGACTCTGAGGCTGCTGGACAGAGTCCAGGAGAACAAGAAGACATAACAGTGAATTTGGCAAACGCCCAGCTTAGGAGGAGTTTAAGATGACAAGAGCAATTATGACGACAGGACAGAGGTCTGTCCCACCCATGAACAGAAAGGCGAGACAGGAAGGTCTGATACCACGTGGACTTCTGAGATAGCTCAGAAAGGAGGGAGCAACTGAACTGTTAGGGGCTTGTTGTTAGAGCTTATCAGTCACATCGTAAATCTTGTAGTGAATAGCAATAAAAGTCTTTAGCTTCACTGCCGGCTGCTGTGTGAGTTAATTGGAGACGTAAGTTACAACCTCACAACAGCCACATATTGTCCACACCTGCTGTATGCCACCCAGCTGCTAAGGATAGGGCAGACTGTGCCTGGCACCTTAAAGCAAACAGAGTGAACATTTTTGGGAACAGATTTCCATAGTTTGGGTTCCACCTTAGGCTTCTTGTGCAGCCATCAACCAAATGTCAGAAATTATGGGCATCTACATGCAGGAAAGCATCTGAAGATCACAACTGATGGGTTAGATTCATTGGGGAAAAGTAGCCACTCAGATATCCCAGGATATGAGATACTAGTATGCATATGACCCTTGAAGGTGACTGGGAGAGCAGACTAGTTTGAAACAACCCTAATGGTGAGTTATGCGCATCAATTTCTGAGCAATCTCTTTCATTCAGATTTGGAGAAGCTTCATCTAAGTACAGAGTTAGGTTGGAGTAACCATCCTAAAATGTTTAGCATACTTTGATTCTTACAGAGCATTGATTTGTACATTCATTTACAGTTCCAGGTTTATATAGGTTCCAACTAATGAAGAGTGTTAATGCATTAAAGGAGAGAAAAATGACATGAGAAATATGGAATGAGTGAAAGGGCCTTTTTGGTTGCAGCACCAAGACTGTGGAATTACATATATCAGGAAGTCCAGCAGTCCTCTTTATTGGCTTTTTGTATGGTAAAGACCTTTCTGTTTTGCATTCTGTTAAACTTTCCCACCCCTTCTGATTATCCTGTCTGAGTTTTCTCCTTCCACTCATTTTATTGTTTACGAGTAATTATACAATGATTTTTAACTGCTATAAGTGTCCTTGGAAAGCATTTGGGGTCTGGAAGATGGGGAAAATGTTTTAATAAATGGAATGAATGCTATGGAAAATGTTTTGCTGAAAGAAAATATATGTAACCAACATAAAAAGATAAAGAATTAAATAGCACTTTTTACACAGTCTCCTTAACTGTGTAAAGAAACGTATCCCACTTGACTATGTCAGGTCCACCCCTGCTTTCAAAAGGCCTTATAAGGAACTTATACAAGTTGATGGCAGTTTTTCATTTTTGTCCAACATCAGCAGAAGTTGATGGCGCATTTTCTACAGCACAGTGGCAGAACGCTGCAGTGTGCTCTGTTAAATCACTTATTAAGTGAGAAACAGCCTATTCATTTCACAAGACTGTCTTTTAATTTAATGACAGGGCTGAGAAAATACGAGCTGTGTCTGGCTCGTTGCTGCCCATTGGTCCTGAGCCATTGGAGTGCCACATCACGTTGATTGGGCAGTTCTCAGGTAAACATTTAGACTGGCAGGAATTCTCTGCAAGTGGACAAGTTGAAAAAATAAAATCATGCGCAAAATGCCTTTCTCCTCCAAATCCATTCTGTCATATAGCAGCACATTAACTCACCTCAGAAAAATTTTCTCAACAAAATATACACTATGCAGAAAGGACTTACTTGGAATGGGCTCAGTCACTCTTGGGTCTGCTAAGGAAAAAAAGCAAGCACTGGGTTAGACTGAAAGGAACTTCTAGCATTTTAGAAATAGACTAGAAATGCTTGTTTTCTTTCTGCAGTTGACAGGATTTATAATTACAATGTACAATTAGAAAGTTGTTTGAAATTAGGACAACAGAACTGTTGTGAACTGGCATTTAACTCCTAACATATTTCAGGGTTGTACTTTTTAAAGTGTTATGTATCAGATGCTTCTAGTATATTCAATGTAAACATCTCAATAGCATTTTAGTAGTGGATAGAAAGTTGCTTCTTTTGATAAAAGAAATTCCACAGGGGCACTGTTCCAGTTCATGATGATAAAAAAGATTAATTGCATGTCAACAGCACTTTAAAGTTTCAGTTTAAGAACTTACAGAAGACGTGCAGACCTCTCAATGCATTCAGCTGGATAGCTCTTTGCTGTTTTCCCTTTTAGGGATGGATGCTAAGAACTGCAAAGTACTAGAGAGACTTGTAGCTAATGAATACAGTTTTCGAAATGCTTACCTGATTCTGTTTTAAATGGCTTTGATTCGCTACTTGGACCTTCACCAAGTGGGTTACTTGGTATCACAACAAATTCATAACTAGGAAGAAAATGAGGAAATGCGTTCTATTCTTGGTTATGAATATCAAACATCTCACATAAGCAATAAGACTGGCCTATCTTAAAGGGCTGTTATAAAGATTATTAAGATAATATATGTTAAATGTTTTGAGTACTAAGAGAAAGTCTCATCTAAATATATTTTTCTTTATGTGGTATAGTTTCTGTGTTAGAAATTGGATGCATAAGCATTTTATTTTGCCATGTATGTGTGTTACAGAAATGCACAACGAATAGAGACATTTTGCTCATACACACAGCAAAATAGAGTCACATGACTTGCTCATATATGCATATGTTGGATACAAGCCAATTTCTATGTAAAAGTGATGCTTATCTAGGACATTTGATTTGATTTAAGAAGTCCAGAACGCCTATTTTATGAACAATCAAACATCCTTATCTATGTTTCTTTCATGTTTTGAGAAGGAAATCTCCCATTCCCTCAACCCATCTGTTGGGAGAGTGCTCTGCCCATTTGCTTTTCAGATTGAAACCATTTTCAACTTCATTAGTTTTTCTGTACAGAGGCAGGAGAATCGGACTTCATTTACTATTTTGACAGAAATGCAATCAGCACTGAGGAGCAAGTAGATTACAAGACAATAAATTCACTAGTCAGAATTTACTAAATTGTTTAGGGTCTCCTTTGCCTTTGGCTATTAGAAAAGTTAAACCCAAATAAGCCTAGCAGGCCAACAAAGCAACACATGATAATAAATGCATTTGCACAGATTAAATGAATGTTATTTATATTACAGTAAAGACTTTTTCCATAGGAAATTGCTATCCCATATGGAATCTTGGCAAAAGGAAGGAATTGCACTACTTTCCAGAGCATGAAACAGGACAGAAATGGAAGAGCATAAAAAGAAAAGAAGGGATTAAACTGTCTGTTTAACAAATCCCTAATAAAAAATGTTAGATAATGTTCTAATAGTTGATTTTCCTTTATTGTTAATTGCACAGTATTTATACGGTCCACCAATTACAGTGGGGACTATTAGTTGACACTAACTTGAAGCAAGAAACAAAGCATGTCACTCATTTTCAGATAGATGTTGTTATTTAGTATGTGTTGTATAAAAGGGATGAAGCCAGGTACTTTGGGGTCCTGGATGACAAAATTCTGTAGACACTTATGGCACAATCTGGGCAAAGGTAAACACTTGTATGCCCCACTAATTTCAAAGTGTGTGTGTTTATCTGTGTACATCTGTTGGGAGAGGTTAAAGTTCTCTCACTGACATTCATGGGACCTAAAAATATTTATATTTTCCTGGGTTCTTTTCATATTTCCTCTGCTATTCTGGGACTGAAATTGTCTCCTGAGAACACACCAATCCTTCATACTTAAAACCAGGGGTCCTCAAACTTTTCCACCAGGGGGCCAGTTGAAAGGTGCTGGTGCTGGGCAGGGGCGGTGCCTGTGGGTGTGCGCGCTGAGGCAGGGATGGGGAGCGCAACGAGGCAAGGTGAGGCGAGGTGCAGGCACCAGTGAGGCGAGGCGGGCGCACGAGGCAGTGGCTTGCTTGCTTGGAAATCATTTTCTCCAAGTGAGCAGACTGCTCATTTTCCCCGAGTGAACAAACTGCGTACAGGGTAAGGTGGGCAGCGGCACACGTGCGCATGGGCGTGTGCGGGGTGGGTCCAAATAGGCATGGCAGGCCAGATAAATGGGCATGGTGGGCCGGATCCGCCCCCCGGGCCGTAGTTTGAGGACCCATGCTTAAAACGTTCATACAACAGTAACTTGATATTATGCCCACTCAGTGCAGAGGGAAACATTTCAATTTGTTCCTTACAGCTCAATCCTTTACATACTTGCTCACAAGTAAGTCTTCCTTAGTTCAATGCTACTGCTTCTCAGTTAAGTGAGAAGGCCTACTTGCAAACTGTCTATTTCTGCCATTTTCTTTCCCCTAGCAAAATGTTTATGGACATTCTGTAACATCATCCAAGTATGGTCAACTGGTGCCAGCAGGTTACCCAGGCCATGATAAAAACCCTTACCATGTTACCTGATCATCTGAACCATATAGCCTATTTGCCCCCAGCACCATGTCACTATACATACAGGTAAATAACTGCTTATCCTAGACAGGATAAATAGGTTAGCATTCTGGTCAAGCTTACATTATAGATTTACCCCAGATCAGCAATAATGCCAGACATTTCTGAAGCATTTCTGCTCTACCATGGATCTGCTGTAAATACAACCCACTCCTTCTATCTAGCAGCAATTGTCCACTGACTGTTGGAAACTGTGGAAACGGTTATAGATGTAATGTAGCTTTAATATTGCAGCACTGCATGACACACCACAGCAAATTCAGGCAAATTACCCAACATATGTCAGAGGGCATTTGGATGGAAGTTCTGCCTTACATCAAAGGATTCTTCAGTTTTAGCTGTCACCAAGTGTTTTGATTTCTTTGATTTGAACAAATGGGTAAACTTAGCAACAGGACTTTATTAAAATCAAATGGAATATGCAGTTGTTTGATTCCTGGAATATTTCCACATAGAGAAAACTTTAAAGACAGGTGGGGAGAAAGGCCTGAGCAGTAAAAAAACAAAGCTCTTTATGTGGTCCACTTGCTTGTCAACAAACAGAACACTCTTTCAGGAATTCCAGAAACAGGATATAATCAATGTGTGGGGGCTTTAGGAAAAACCAGGCACTGGGATGCTTGAAGGACAGGTATGTGAGGACCTTGGCCAGAAATATGTGGCCTGACAAATCACCACAGGCAATTGCTGTAGTGTGTTGGGCACAGATTCAGCTGGTAGGAGAAGGGATGGCTATACTGTGGCCCTACAGGACCTTCATTGTATTCCATTAAGTGCACAGGGTGAAAAATGGCAACCTTGCATTTTACAGCCCTACTGTATAAAAATTCTAATACAGATTTATTTATTCAAACTTTCAGCACTACTACAACAAAAATATTCCAATCATGTTATCAGTTAAACTCATGTAACCTTTAGTATTTGGATTCAGAGAAAGTTTTGACTTCATATCTCCCCTTATTTCCATTCAACGTCTACCTGAAATACTTTAATAACTTTTGCCAAATGTGTAGAACAAAAGTTTAACTTTTAATGACATGTGAGTCTGATTCCCCTTAATACAAAATTAAACAGTGAAACATGGAAAGTATGCGTTGTCTGCGTAATTGAGATGGCATCTCACCTAAACCTATGGGTGTTGGCTAAATGAAAAAAGTAGCATAAATTATTGTAAATATACTAATGGAAATCTGATATTGTTATTACTGCTACACCTTTTGGCCAGATTATAGACAGACAAATGTGAAAAGTTAAAGCATAACATTTTAAACTATGGCCCAAAGCAAGCAACTTTCCATCCGGTTTTCTAGTTCAGTGTCAAAGTAGTTCAACAGAGCAGGCATTAAGCAAGACAGATTCCATTGGTATTCCCTTCCTCTTTCAGAGATTAGCAACTTACAGAACTAAGATATCAATGGGACTAATAATTTAACTGTGTAATAATATTACACAGCCTGCAATTTTATTGTCTAAAGAAGGCATGCATGTAGTTTCTTCTAGAATTAAAGGGTAATTATCAAAGAGAGATTTAAAATAATATTTTCTTCAATGTAAGGAAAATTTGAGATCCGTCATGAAAATATAATAGTTCAGAGCTATAAAATCCAAAAGGGTTTCCATGAACAAGAACAAAAATTGAATGTGAACTTCAGGTTTAAACTTGAATGAACTGAAATGAAAAGAGGACAAAATGTTGGGATTTTGCAGTGTGCAAAGAGATTTTTCAGAACAATACATTATAGGAGATGGCACAGCTGGGAATAACCACACACACTGGTCAGTGAGGAGGAGTAGAGGACCAGATCTTGCCCATACTAGTGGTAAAGGATTGGGGACTGAGTCAGCACCATGGAATCATACAGTTCCTAAACAGAGAGCAGTGGACTGTGCAGACATGAGTCACTCATGTCATCAACAGACACTGGGCACTGCTGGTTAGTCAGCAGTCAGAAGCTCCCATGGTGCTGACCAAGTCATCCATGCCTGCATAGTGGCCTGGTGACACCAGTTGATAATTGCCTCCCACCCACATGGATCAATGAATGCTGGTGGTGGCCAGTTACTGTTCTCTGCCCCACTTCACTAGCTACTGTTAATATCCACATCACACAAGGAAGTGAATATGGGACAATTTCTGGCATTGGCCTGCTACAAATAGTTTACTGGCATATAGAATATATAAAAATCTTACATACCACATGTAAAAATCTTACCTGCTGTAATAGTTCTTGCTGGTAAATTCTATGGTTGCTGCTAAACTAAGATAACAATATAATGACCTCCTATTTAATCTGGGTGTGACAGCACCTGATAGTTAAGACTGCATTATCCAGAATGGATTAAACACTACAAAAGGTCCATTCCCATACAAACTCAGACATGCTTAAGTCTACAGTGGAGTGTAGCCAAGAAATATGATTAGCCATGGCTTGTTGGCAGTGCATAAAAATTATTGATGGTCCAACAATTTCTTTAAGCCAGTCAACTGTATCTTACCCTCTCTGAAGATATTATTTATTACTTAAGAATTGCTTCAAGATCCTCAGAAGAAAGAAACTCTTGTAGATCAAGGCTTTTGAATAATGAAGACTGATAATGTGCAATGTTGTTTTGACCAACTATCCAGCCAACTGTTATTCACTACAGCAATAATTAATGATTTGAAGAAAGCTCAGTGAACCAAATTATGGGTAAAATGTTTTGTATTTTTCTAGTTGCTTGCATTTTGCCCAGTTTTAAGATGTTAGTTTTCCTTTGAAACACTGCAAATGTGCTTTTTGATAATTATCCAGCATAAAATGCCAAAACACTCCTCACCTAAGGGGAAAAAATTAACCAATGAAAAATACTGGTTATCAGGCATGTGTTGTTATGAGAGAATGGAACACCTGCATCAGGTTTGTATCCTTAACATGGAATTTTTCAGCAATCCAGCAGTCCAACAGAACTGAAAAGCAAGGAGGTCAGCAAATTTAGAAATTGTTGCAGTCTAAAATGGGCAACATGAACATCCTCTGAGGCACCAGTGAGAAGCAGAAGAACCAGTTCATGGTTCTATGTTTTTAGCTCCACCAGTCCACTTAAAATCCTGACTTCAGGTATGAAAAGAGAATGTTTACCAAGCCGAACTTAGGCGCTGTCACCAGCTCTGACATAATACCCTATTCCCATTTATTCCTCTTACTTCTTTCTAGTAGATTCATCATTCATTTACAATTGTGCCTACATGACACTGTCTCAGAGATGTTTTGCTACGCTGTTCCTGCTGTTAAGGAGCAGCATGTGTTGCTCTATTTATGCCAATCCCCTGACACAAGAGAATACATCTGCACCAATACATTCTTTGGCTACGGCAAGAGCTGGCCTTAGATAGGTGAAACTATACTAGCTCCCATCTTACGCCTGAATCATGAATACCATCCAGACTTCTGCCATAGCCTGTTGATTGCCTCTGACAGTATACAATGAAAACAAGCTAAATATTTGCCATACATTTTCTTTGAAGGAAAACAGGATCAAGAGCAAGAATAAGGCATGCTATGTGATAGCAGTAATAGTGACCGAAGAAAGGATTTATTGCAGCAGCCCACTGGCATACACATACTTGTTAGGGATGCCACACTTCCAAACATGATTTTTCCTGGTTGCTTCCAACACATCCTTGCTGCTCTCTGTCCTCTACCACCTCTTGGAAGAGCTTAGAAGAGTGAGACTGGAAGTAAATTCAGACACTGCAAAGAGCATTGCCAGCAAAATAAACAACTACCTGCATTCCAACATCCACAGCAGAATGCTTTGGCAAATGCAAATGGAAGACAGAATGTACAGCCAAAACATACCCCCTGTATGTCCCTCTTCAGGTCTGGATGTTTCACCAGGCAATTGACTGTGCATTATTTTGGGGACATCTGTTTGCAGCGTCTGCAGGCCAAACGGCATATTGCACAAGAATATGTGATCATTTCTTGCAAGGTTTTTAAGGTTTAAAACAGTTGCAGGGGTTCTGCCTTGAATTTGGGCCATAGCTTAAGAACATTGGGCTGTCCAGGATCAGACCAAGGGTTAATGTACAGTCCAGCATTCCATCCACATCATGGTCAGCCAGCTGCCCATGGGATCCTACAAGTAGGATATGAGTACAATAGCACCCTCCTGATCATGTTTCCTGGCAACTGGTATACATAATTGGAGGCAGTTAATATGCTACCACTAATATTGGAGGCAGCATATAGTTGGTCATGAGGAGTAGCCACTGATGATCTTCTCCTCCATAAAATTGTCCATTTGCCTTTTAAAGCCATCCAAATTGGTGGCATCATTACACTATGGAAGTGAATTTCATGGTTTAACTATGTGCTAAGTGAAGAAACACTTCTATTTATCTGTACAGAAGCTTCCAGCATATTGGGATGACCTCAGATTCTAGGATTATGGGATATATATCCCATTGCTCCAACACACATTACCTTAATCTTTACAGTGAATGGCATTTGCCATTGTGATGCCCTTTCTCCCAGTTTGAAGATATTCTTTTGAAGCTCCTCACAATTCCTATTTTGTTTTAACTACCCTAAATAATTTGGTGTCATCAACAAACCTAGTCATTTCAGAATTTACTCCCAATTCCATACCATTTATGAATAAGTTGAAAAGCACTGGTCCTAATACAGATGTCCATGTGACCCCATGACTTATGTCTCCCCACTGAGATAATCTACCATTTATTCCTGCTTTCTGTTCCTTAACCAGTTACTGATCTATAAGAGGACCGCCCCGCTCCTTATTCTATGACGGCTAAGTTTGCTCAGGAATCTTTGGTGAGCAACTTCATGAAGAGTCTGTTGGAAATCCAAGTAAACAGTGCCTTGCTGTCCACATGTTTACTGACATTCTTAAAGAACTCTAAAAGGTTAGTGAGACAGGAGTTACTTTTGTGGAAGCCTTTTAGATACATTCTTGATAGGACTTGTTTTTCTATATGCCAATGTTATTTTTAATAATGCTTTCAACCAGTTTACCCAGAACACAGATAACTGGCCTGAAATTTCTTGGATTTACCCCCACCCCCATGTTTTTTTTTTTAACCTGTTGTTGGCCATTCTATATTCCTGTGGTACAGAGGTTGATCTTGGGGATATGTTAGATATTTTTATAAGGAGGTCAGAATTTCACACTTGTACAGGATAGATACACAGAGTTTTGTCCTCTTGTAGTACCATTTCCATAATCAAAATCTCTCCACCCCAATCCCTCCCTGTATTGCCAAAGTGCACATTCAGGCTGTGTTCATGTTAACACCTTTTCTGGTTAAGTATGTACCATAGTATAGAGGTTTTTAATTCCACAATAAAAAGTACCCATTAAGTTAACCTAGTGTTAAAAAGCACAAAAAATCAAAATTGGTTAAAATGGAAAATCCTGTACTGGTTTCAGGCATATGAACCAAGTATAAAGTGAAAGCTTCCACTGAAAATATTAGCAGTCATTTCCAACTGCTTGTAAAACTTGATTCCTAAGAAAGGAGTCCTCCCTGCCCCCATTCAAAGAATCATTGTTTCCAACTTAATAGGTAAAAGCCAGAGAAAATCTGCTTTACAATTCCCGCAGGATTGAGAGCCATAAGTACTGAGGCATGGATCATTTGCTTCTAACCAAAGACTCATTTCTCCATCCCAGACTGCTAGTTGCTCCAGCAGCCAGGGCCAGCCTCAGTCGTTTTCCTGCCTTAGGTGAAGGGCAAGATGGAACTCCCCCCACACCCCCACACACATTCCATATACAGAAGCCAGTGGGACCGGCAATTGCATCTTCCACATAGTTCCGCATAGGGAGAGCGGATTGAACAATGTAAGGGGATGCAGAGTGGGCTTCAAACAACACAGAGCTCTTTCCTTCAGCAAGTTGCTGCAGATCTCTGTTGTCTGAGACACTGCCTAACAGTAGGACCGGCCCCTGCCAGCAGCTGAGCACAAGTACTTTTCATCTACAACCTTCTGAAAATGAAATGATCTGCTCTTTTGAATCAGCTGAGGACGGTGTTTGGTCGGGAGTCTGCAATTACTGTTTGGTATGAAGAAAGAACAATAGTGGAACTGACTTGATGAGTGACTGCTTCTGTCTACAGCTTGTTATTGATTTTAGAATTATGTCGTTAATGATTAGGCGAAAATATGCTGTTGAACTGTTTGGATGCAATGGCTCAGTATTACAGCAAGGTTTCTTGGTAATGATTCCAACCTACCTTGTGTTAGGTTTTAGGTTTTCAACAGTAGAATGAGTTTGATTTGTAGTTATAATGGACTTGTCCTTTCCAACAGGGCCTCCATTTTCAGTTGATACAACTTTATACTCTGAAATGAAGAGAAATCTTGTTGAACTATTCTCTGCATCTCCATTAATATGCTTTTAGTGTAAAGTAGTTAAAATCTGGATTAAATAACACATTTGTTAAAAGGAAATATTTTTTACAACTTGATTTGAGGAAGTAATTCTGTCTTTGCTTGGATTTGCCATGTTGAAGAGTCATGGGATAATCTATTTAATATTGCATGTGTAAGTAGAGGAATTTTTATGTTGTGGGGGGCAGTTCTTGGTAATGGTAATGTTAAAAAAAAATCTCCCTAAGGAAATTGTTGTGAATAGGAAATAGTTTTGATGGGGATACTGGGATTTTTATTGCCATCCCCTAGTGGGAATGGATGTTCCGCTTGGGATGTGGAGCATCTGTCACAGCTTTCCCCCTGCTCCTGCAGCTGTGTTGGGTGGCCTCTGGCAAAGGATGGGAAGTGGAGAAGGAGCTGGTCAAATGGGTCCTGCTGAACCTACTACTTCTCAGGAAGGAAAGAACACACGTGCTTTCTTTTGTGAGTACTGTTGTGCAATTTCTTATGATGTTTCAATACCTTATACAATTATACAATCTGTAAGACTGCCCAGACAGAAGTAAAGAGAATGAGAAATAAATGAGTAGAACGCAGCAGGCTAGCACATAATGAAATATAGCTTTTACCCTCAAGACAGTTGCTTAATTATGTCTTGGAATCAAGACTGCTGCTTAACAACAGAGTGAAAATATTCACAGTTATATTTTTCCATCCAAATTAATTCCAAACAGAAGTAGACTGACACATGCATAGACTTAGATTGTTTCCCTGACAATCCCTTCTGAAATAAGACAGCCTAGTTCCCCCTTCACCACTACCTTAGAGTTGGATGCAAGACCTTGCTCTAATCTGAGGAGAGCCATAGCCTATGGCACCAATTCAGTCAGAAAGGGAAGCTGTAGAATCAGCCATGGGGAGCCAGATGCCTGAGAATGCAGTTCATCTAGGCCTGCTGGGAAGGAGGGAAGGACCCTGATGTGGCCTATCTTCTACAGCTGGGAGTCCTGGCTTTGATGGAGGCTCCTGGCTCCAGACCTGGGACATCTGTGGGAACAGGTTTGTAGGAGATGGAAGTCGCTGCAGAGCAGAACTTTCAGGGCAGGGGTTGTCCTAAGGTGCACCATCAACTAGAGAGGTTGGTGTGCAGGTGTCCAGAGACATCCCATAAATGTCTATGAGGCAGGTTTCCCTTCTAGAATCAAGGGTGAGGTACTGATCTTTACTGCTTACCAGAGCCAACCTTCTTCATTTTATTGGAACTGTAAACCTATTTGCTGTATGCTGAAGCCAGGGCTGATTGGATTTTTAGGTAATGCTTACAAATTGATTCTGTTCAATCACTGTAATCTCATATCTGGGTTTTTTTTCTATTACTGGGGCCATAAAGGATTACATAATCACTGGAATTACTTCCAGAAAAAGTTTTACTGAGTAGTGAGGTTCTGACACTCTGAGACCCAGTGGAATAGACATATGGAGTCTGGTGACTTCTCTGTCAGTGGGGTTTCTTATCCATTGCAGCTTTTATAGAATAATCACTGAGGTTATCATGCAGCTACCACCTTGGGCTGTGAATAGAAATTAGGCAGCCATAAACTTTTCACTTAAATTTAAGGAGCTTAAATAAAGTGGTATAAAGAACACCATCAAGTCTCCAGAATAGTAAAGATGTAGGGAAAGGGATTCAGTTTCATAATTCATTCATTCATGTATTTTTGCCAAGTCTGAGATATGATTCTTGGGTCCTTATTGCCAGTCTAGACTAGTTGCTGGGTCCGTGGGTGGGAGGGTGCTCTTGCGCTCATGTCCTGCTTGTAGGATCCTGTGGGCAGCTCCTGTGTGAGCAGAATGCTGGGCCCGAGGGCCCCTTGACCTGATCCAGCATGGCTCTTCTTCCATTCTCTTCTAAGATAACAAAAGTTTGGCTCACCTGTGACAGTTTCATTTTGTGGTTTTTCCCAATCCAGTATGACAAATGATGGACAGCCTTCAACTGTCACCACGGTGAGGTTCGTAGGAGGCTTTTGTGGAGGAGCAGTGGCCCTCTCAGTACTGTCTCCCTCTTCTGTGGGAAAGTGTTGCAGTGTATCCGTGATGGAACATGGCACACTTTCTTCTTTTTTAATGTACTTTACATGGTCACCTAGAGAAACAGCAGCAACATTTACACTGTAAATTCATGGAAACTACAGGTGAGATGGCAAAGCTATCTGATGCATACTGCCTCAGGCAGTGATTTTCATATTGAAATGCTTCCCCAAAGAGATATTCCAACAGTCAACCAGCATGTTGGGGAGAAGAAGCTAAGCTGGAAGCTTTCTCTCTTAATATGTATTTTTTATGAACAGAGATGGTTGTTGTTATGAGTATTATTATGCATACAGTATCATTCAGTTATGAAAGCCAGTTATAAAATGTTAAGAAGGCTCCTCAGATCCTGAAAATGCTTGAACGTGTAGTAAAATAATGTTGAGCTGCTTGCCAAACATTCAAGCTGTCTTCCCTTGTATATATTATGAAATACATTACACTCTGTAAGCATGTTTCAAAACATTATTATTTTTACCCTGGTTAGTAATTCATCCTCCCTCGAACATTTCAGAGTGGTTTAGAGATGACATCATATGCTCAAGAAATGCATAAAGAAGGTTATGGGACTGCAAGGGCTAGCCCCATCTACCAGCGGCCATACTCTTTTTAAGCATGCATGAGAATAAATTTGATGGGTGAGGCAGCATGGCACACTGAGCTTCTTCACACCTTGAGAGATCCTACCCTAGTCAAGGCCTCCTCTCACATAAAGGCACCCTACATATGTACAGTCATATATATGTGGAACTGTCTCACATGTGTGCCAAATAGTGCAGAAATAGTGGAAGTGGGGTGTGGCCACTGGAAGTTTAGGAAGTGAGAGCAGAGCTAGTTCCTGTCACCCTGACTCCATTTGTGCCCTTTTTGAAGACATATGTACAATCATCTAACTCCTCCTTTCTTCATTACTGAAGATTCATTTTCTTGGACATGTTGCTGATAATCAAAAGATTCATGGTTAAATATTATTTCCTCAGTATCAAACAATGACTGCTATTTTACACATACCTCTATACCTTGGCGTGCCTGCAATATCAGTCTCTGTTGTAGGAAGTGAGCTGAACATTGGATTACCTAAGGAGAGGAAAACAACCATAAAATTTTAATAATACTCTGATTTGCAATACTGAAATAACACCTAATATTTCATCTCTCATTTTAGCCTCAGTCTCTTAAATCCTCTACTTGGTGCATGCTTAAAGTCATGTTAACCTTTTTCTTAGCAGTGAGTTGAATTTGGCTGTGATGGAAAATAAAAGTCTCTGCACTGGCAAAATAAAGACAATCATAACCCAAATGACTGAGCTCATTATTGCTCTTGGATTTACTTCATGTATAATATACAAAATCCCCCTTAGCGCTCTAAAAAAGATTCTTTTTCAGTGTCATGGATACTCCAGTCACTTAATTCATTGTCAGTCTCCTCAGGGAACACATTTGTTTTGTACATAGCAGCACTCAAAAATGCTGAAGGCAACTCCAAGCCAATTCAACTTTTTATGCTATACATGTCGTGTAATGGCCAGGGAGACATACATATACACATTTTGCTAGCCAGTGAAAAGATGCCAAGCAAAACTAATTCTAATGACTTTGTACTGGTAGCTATAGTAATAAATGTAAAGGAACACATTCTGAATTAACTAGATATATGGATTTTACAGGAGTAAGCAAGAATGAAAATGAAAATTTTATGACATAACTCTGAAATGCCTTAAAGTAATGTAAGATATTATTACAAAATATTTGAGTCTTTCAATGCAGTCATCTCACTTAGCCTTTTCTAGCCTATGAGCTATTTGTTGGCTGATTCATTTCCTATAATTTGATGTCTGAATTGTCCAAACTGGATTCATATTAAGAAAGTTGTGAAAGTAAACAGGATGTATAGTCATATACCTTAATGCAGGCACAAGATGAAAAGTATACGCTATAAATATCATTCCAGAGCCATGTCATCATTGCTGCATCGTATCAATAAAGGTAGTGATTATATGTGATGGTGTCTCCACTAGAAGCAGAGGATGCTTCTATGATACATTGCAATGATACATCATTGCAAATCCAGTTTTTGGCCATAATTTCCACTATTTGAGTCCTTATTGCTCCCCATCTGTAAAAACTTTTGCTGCTATCAATCAATCAATCTTTATGCTACCCAATAGCATAAAAGGCAGTCTGGGCAGCAAACAAATCAAGGAAGGATAAAAACAGAGAGATATCACAATAAAATAATAAAAACAGACACATTGAAATTGCTAATACAACGATATAACAAGTTGATTGCTGCCATTGTTAAATTGGAACCCTAATATAAAATACAATATCAAAATTAATTTTTAAACTATTTATATCCCTGGAAAATTACAAGGTTTTCACCTGGCACCAGAAAGGAAAAAGGGTAGGTGCCAGGAGTACTTCTTTGGGAAGCTGATTCCATAAATGGGGTGCAACAATCAAGAAGGCCCTTCTCCCACTCACCGCCCTCCTTAGCTCCTATAGAGGGGGCTCTTTAAGAAGGACTCCTGAAGATGATCTTAAGGGCCAGGTAGGTATATATGGGAAGAAGCATTCCTTCAGATATTAATTTATTTGACCTGTATGCCACCATAAGGCTGCTTGGGCAGCTCACAACATATTATTTATTTATTTAAAGTTTTTATATGCCGCCCTTTGCCACATAGCCTCGGGGTGGCTTACAGAAATAAATACAAAATAATAACAATTACAATTAAAACCCGGAAACACACTGGCTGCACAATTAAAATCTATAACTATTAAACATTATTAAAATACTGTTTGAATAAAAAGGTCTTGGCCTGGCACTGAAAAACAAATAACAACGGCACCAGGCGGACCTCTCTGGGGAGCGCATTCCACAGATGGGGCACCACCGCAGAGAAAGCTCTCCTCCGGGTACTCTGCTTCTTGATATGGAAGGCTCCTGGAGGAGAGCCTCTGCTGCCGATCTCAAGAGGCAGGAGGGCAAATATTACACAAAAATAAAAAAAAATGTATTTCATAGTAACCTCCTTGCCTTCCTTGTGGTATATGGCATGTTCAGTTCATTATTTTTAGAAGTACAACAGCTTCCTCCAAAGTTGTCTAACCCATGTTGTAGAGGGATAGGTGTCCTTGTAAATTACTTTCAAACACATATTTGAGGGTGACTGTCACAGGACCAGCTATGCTTTGTTCCATGTATATAGATAGCCCCATTTCTGTTTGCCCTTCCCTTCCAATGACCTTTTCACTACCACTACATAGATGTTTTTATTTCGCTCACTGCATCCACCAAAGAATCTGAAAAACTTTCAGGCCACCTCTAAGCATCTTTAGGAAATCTAGAGTTTGGTAGGCATAAGATAGGTAAAACAAGAAACCACAAAGTTTAAACAACATTTTAAAGTTTACTGAAAAAAGTCTTATTATTAGGGGAAAAGTTTTAACATCTGAATGGTTTAAATACACAAACAAAACCCATAAAAGCAAAAAGGATAAACACATCCAGCTAAGTCCAAGCTGAACTAGGTCCTTATTTTTGTTCAGTTCTCCCCAGAAATATATTACTGTCAAGAGCTCTCAGCATTCCATTTCTTCCCCAACATTCCATTTCCTCCAAACAGCTTTCTGATTTTCTTTCATTCTTCTTTCTTTTCAGGCTTTTTCTAGTCCAAAAACTGGCCTTTTGCCTCAACTTTTTATACAAAAAAGCATTGTATACATCTTGGTGATATCTCAGATGACACATGATAGGTACTTGTGCACAACCAGGTTCTGCACTGAACTTGCAGAGTATCTTCCCCTTAGAAAGGAATATGGTGCAGCCCCTTCAAACTCAAGTTATGCCCTTCATCTCTGTATTTCATAGAAATCAGGCCAATGCCATCACACAGTATCCTTGGACAGCAGCTGAAGCCCAGTCAACCTAACAGGACCCATGGGAGGTGCCTGCCCTCAATTTTCATTAAGGCAACAATGAACCTTTTCTCAGTTCCTTTCTGTAGTCATGATTTTTCCATCCAAAGCTCCAGTAGCGTTGCAGAGGAAAAACACAACCAATATCAGGAGTGGATAATGTTTTTTCTTTCATTTTGATGAAGGAAGTTGTCCATGACTCCCCAAGCACCCCCTGAAAGCACAGCAGGGTCCAGCCCATTAATTAATGAGCTGGCCCTCATAAGGGACAAGAGTTGTAATTCTTAAGCCAAAAGCATCAGCCAACAGGTATGATTGTGTTCACTAGCGATTCACTAGAGACAGCTATTCCATCTCTGCTTCTTCTGCTCTACATGTTTCCTCTCATCCTTGTGTGCTCCCGAGAATCTGTTTCAGGAAGGGAGTCAAGCAGCTGGTGCAAGATGTGTGAGTCACAGCCCCACGGACACTTGGAATGATGAAATATTGCCAGGACTGCTATTATAATTCTAGTGCAGCAGGAATACTAAGTTACAGATTAGGTTGCTAGTCTGATAGAGAACAAACAAACAAACAAACAAACAAGACCCAGAAATGTACAATTAAAATTCTTACTGTAATCTGGAGAAGAAGCTGCTGTAGGTAGCTTTTTTGGTGAGCCTGTTTTTGTGAGAGAAGCTGGCCCAGTAGGCTTTGCTGTAGAAGATGCTGTGGAAAATGAAGAGGCTTGTGGCATCAAGATGTTTCCTATTTTAAAACAAAAGTGAACCTGAATGTCTAGTTGGAACCAATGTATCCTTGATTCTAAATAAAACATTTTATAGGCTATAGGAGAGATTCAGTTTTTAAACCTGCTTTATTTATTCATCCTCTATATAGACTGATTTAGATTCTCACCTGAGCATGAAATAATTAATGATTTAATAAGACATTTCTTTCTGTTCCACATCTATGTAACTTTCTGTTCTTGGTTTATTTTTATGATATGGCATGTGACAAGGCAGTTACAGCAGTCTTCTAGAAGCTGTTTTTCTCCAGATGTTTTGAACTTAGGGATACACTAATTCTAATCCTAACCTGCTCCTTCAAGGGGAGTGTGACCCCATCCAGAACAGGTTGGATTTCTTTTTGTGCTCAGAAGACCCATCCACTAACAGCATCTCAGTCATGTCTGCATTGAACCTCAGTTTGTTAGCTCTTAGTGTTTCAGCCAGGCACTGGGTTAGCACATCTACAGTCCCATTAGTTGACAATGAAACAAGAAATATGTGTCATACACATAATGGTGAGAGCACACTCCAAAACTCTGGATGATCCCATTCAGCAGTTACCATGCAGATGTTAAGCAGCATGGGGGACAAGACCAACCACTGAGAAACCCCATGTTGGATAATCCAAGGGGGTTAGGTATATCCCCCAAGGACCACTTCTGGAGTTGTGTGTCCAAGTAGGAGTGGAAGCACTGCAGTGCAGTGGCCCCTACCCACAACTCAGGCAGTGGCCCCTACCCACAACTCAGGCAGTGGCCCCTACCCACAACTCAGGCAGTGGCCCCTACCCACCCAGGAGGATACCATGATCAGTCTAAAATTCTTGTCTTGCCAATAAAAAAACCCAGACACTGCAGGTATTAATATATTTGATAGCTCACTTTTTATATAGTGTATAAATGATTGATTATTTTTGCATGATTCAGGAAAGAAAAATGAGATGGGTGTGTGTGTGTGTGTGTGTGTGTGTGTGTGTGTGTATTTATATATGAAATTAACTGAACTATATGAAGAAAAAAAAAATCCCCCTACACACAGAAATATATTGAGAGCTAGAATCCAATCTCTTAAGAAAAATAAGTGTTTTTGAGAAATATGGATTCCCCATATTATAGGTTCTCATTTATTTTCCTCTAAAATTTACTACAGCTTCTATCTTGAATCTAAAAAAGAAGTGGGTAAAAATATTAGTTATACTAAATTAGTATGAAATATAATGAAAACAAAAGGGGAAAATAGCCTGGGAAAAACTGAACAAACATTTTATTCCAATACCATTTGGGAGAATAGCTATTAGCCAAGAAACCCTTCCCATACATGGGGACAGGTTCACTGTTGTAACAGTCCTCTGAGCACTATACCAAAGCCAGGTGGATGGAGCAGATTATATGACTCTTTTTCATCCGATCAACACTCTATCCTGGCAGGATAGCAATCACATAGGGAGATTGATGTGATCAGCCTTGCCAATGTACTTGTGGCATTCCTTTTTCTCTCTCTCCATCACCTGCTGTTCACATGGGGTGGGAGACTAAGAGTAAAGATTAACTGTTGGAAGAGGAAAGACTGAATTTAGTGGTTCTCAAATATGGGAATGTTTTCTGAGGGCTCACTGGCTTTCCTTTTTCCTTCTGTGAGCAGAGAATTCATGTGCACAATGGAACATTGACACTGGTGCTTGGGTTCATCTGGCAGAGACAGTTTAAGCACATTGCACTCCTAGCATGCAAAGCATTTCCATGGGTGAATACAGTGCAAAAGAACCCTGACAATATGGATGCTTGTGCAGCATCCAACAGTCATATATGATGCAAAACTGAGAAATATACGAAGGCTGCCTTTTATTAAAAAACAAATTATGAAGGTCCCAGTGAATCTAAGTATCTTCTGAGTACACCTACAGAAAGTTCCCTGGATTTACACTTATAAACTGGAATGGGGTGGTTTTGTTGAGAAGGTGCTATAGCTACAAAGTCAAGCACATTCTCTGCATGTAAAAGCCTGAAGCCCCAGCATCTCCAGGGTACAGCTGGTATAACTCCTACATGAAATCTTGGAGAACCACTGCCAGTGAGCAAAGTGAACCAAGGGTCTGACCCAGTATAAAGTAACTTCCTTTCTTCCTGTTAAAACTGCTTCCTGGGAAGCCAACATACCTGAACGTCCAGGTTTACCAGTCACAGTGTTTGGAGGCAAAGGTTTTCTTTTCATTGGTGTAGGCTTGGCAGGAGCTAAGGGTGGTCGTGGAGAGTCAGGTGGTGTAGCTACTGTATAACGTTACAAGACACCACTGTTAACGAAGGAACCTCACACCACGCAATCAGAAAGAGAAAAATGGCTAATAGCTACACTTCTCAAACAAAATTTAAAGGCATGAGCTTCAGCGATAAGAACTGCAAAAGAACACAAAACATAGACAGGGAAGAGCTGAAAGGAGTTACTTTGAGCATTTGCATTTCCTGCATGAAAATGTGCATGCTTCCAGCCTTAGGCCAAACAGCACAGCAACCAGCACAGCAAAGCGGCTAAGCTAAATCCTCAAAATGTATGCTTCTTGTTCAGAGTTAAGAATCATTTCGTTCAGTTGCATGCCACTATATTGGCAGAAACAAGCATCAGCCATTGTCAATATATGGTGCTCTCTGAGAGACTGAGATCAAAGTGAAAGCAGTGTTAATTGTTTTCTAGGAAGATGCTCATTACTGCAAATGCAAACAATTGTGTACTGGGACATATCAGGGGAATATAACATAATATCTCTCATCCTTCCTAAAAGTACACCTAGGGGAAAAACATCAGTAACTAGTCTGAAGTTATTCCCAAATCAATTTGGGATGATGGAGCAAGTGGAGTAGCAGTAATCTTTTTGCATTTAACATGAATCAATGAGGATCCCCTCATTTAGCCCATAAGTGTCTTAACTGGGAAGTGGATGAAGGCTCCCCTACACTTCCAGGTGATTCATACTCCAGGAAATCAGGAGGTCATGTCAATCACATCAACTCCCTGCATTCTGTTCTTCTTAAATTTAAATATTTTTAAATGACCATGCAAAGCCAACTGATATTCCAAAATGGGAGCAAAGGTCCCTGTGATGTACCCTAGCTGGATATATTTTGGTTTTGGGCATTCAAATAGTGCAGTGAAGGGTACTGTGAAAACTGAATTGAGGCACAAATAAATGTCATGTATTTCTAATTGTTCAAAGTCTTATGGGTTTCTGCTGCAAACCTTTAATTGATAAATATTACAATGGTCCTTCTGACAATTAAATGGGTACTATAATTGCCAAAGTCAGATCTTCTGTGCTCATGTCAATGAATTCCACTCCCATATATGGAGATTAACAGAATTATTTAGTTTATAAATTAAAAGCCTTTCTTTCCATGCATTCTTTGCAAGTTTTAATACTAGATAGAATTAAGTGGGAGAAGCTTTCAAAGCACTTAGTAAAACAAGCTCATGCGTAGCTTCAGAGAGACTATAGTACATGAATGAAAGGCCAGCAAATAGAAATGGCAAAGCAACATTAGGTATTATGGACAGTTGGGATGAATGCAGATTTACATAATGCATATAACATATAATTTAATATTTAATGAGTAATAAATAAATATCATTTATACATTCTTTTCAGCAGAAACACAGATTCCCCACAATATGATTTTCACTCATCTTACTACATACAGAATACAGTGGTGCCTTGGCTCACGAACACCTTGGTTCACAACCAAATCAGGTCACGAACAAAAGTTTCATGAAAATTTTGACTTGGGTCGTGAACTCCGCATTGAGTGGCAACCAAGATAGTGGTCATCTCCCCACCCCCCTGAGTGGGGAGATGGCCACAATCACAGTTGTGTTCGTGCAGGGAAGACACAGAGGAGCTGACAGCAGAACTTGCTGAACTCCAGAGTGAGCAGCAGAAGGCACTTGCTGAGGAGGATTCAGTGATTAGCAGTGATGTGGATGAGGCTAGCAGAGATGTGATACAGTCCATTGTGAAAAAATGGAATTAGTGCCAGGATTTCTTTGAGAAGCACCACCCCAACGTAACTGTAATGAACAGAGTGTTGAATCTGATGAACAATAACGTGGTCTCTCATTTCCGAAGGGTTATCCAGCACAGGAAAATCAAGTGACTATAGACAGATTTTTCACCAAAACTGACCCTGCAGCTAAGAGACAAAGAAGAGAGGAAACCCCTGAAAGAGATCTCCCCAGTGTCCTTATGGAGGGGGACTCTCCCTCAAAACAATAACCTCCCCCACCACCTAGGTTAGTGTTCTCCACTGTACTGTACAGTACTTTGTTACTTTGTTGTTCTTTGTCACTTTGTTCTTTGTTTCAAGTTTTTCTGATTAAAAAATAGTTATAGAATAGATCAACCTTATTTACATTGAAACTTATGGGGAAATTTGCTTTGATATACAAGTGCTTTGGATTACAAGCATGTTTCTGGAACGAATTACAACTAGAGTCGTGAAATGGATTAAGTTCGTGAGCCAATGTACCACTGTATTAATAATTTCAGACTATGCATACTTAGTACAAAGCAAGTCCAATTAAAATTAAAATTAAAATTCTATGCTTCTATGTGAACAAGCATAGAATTAGACTGCAAATTTATAAGCCACACTTTTCTACTAGATTAAAGCAGATTGGATTCTAAAATGTATAAAGCAGTGTTCCACTTGTTTAAATAGTTCTCTTAAGAAGCTGTTTCTGGTGATTGGGAGATTTCTGGAACAAATGCTAGTACAGTGTGTGGAGCTACAATTGCAAGGGAGAAATTCATTCAAGATATGGCATTTCCTCCCCCCCTCCCCCTGTGTAAGCTAAAGTGCCATCTCTTTAAAGTGCTCTTTTGGTTTTAAGCTGAAGAAACGAAGGGACTGGATACAGGCTAGCACATAATCGGCTCTGCTAGTTCTTGTGGAAAGGAGCAGGGTACAATTTTCTCAAATTCCCTCTTTCCCTTGCTGTGCATGCTGTTCCAGACAAATGAAGGATCATCTCAAACAGCATGGACAGTGGTATTCAGTTTGTGGAAAAGAGAATCAGAGAAAAAGGATGGTGCATCACCTTCCTCCAGCGGAAAGCTTCTGCTGGAACCTACAGTAATTGAAGATGCAATTTTATTTGCAGAGAGGCAAGTCTGGATCCAACCCATTTTTGTATATTATTTTTAAATTTATATTTTAGTCATGGTCAAAAATGCAAGGTAATGAATATAACAGTATTATTACAGACATTGAAACTGAGCCTTTTCAAGAATCTATCCATGGAATACATACAATATCTAGCAGAACAAGAACAAGTTCTGCTTATTTCTCTAGTCTGTATTCTGTAGAAAATCACCATAGAAGATAAAGAAGAAAGTTTGTATGCCATTTTCTTTAATTGGTTCTCCACTTAAACTGTGAGATTTCAATTTTTATTTACCTGTTCCATCTGTTCAGTGGGCTAGTAATACTGGTGAACATGTGGTTGATTTTGCTTGTGTATGAGGGTGCATGGGATAACTATTTGACTTTTAAGATCAGGATATTCTTACAGGTCAATAAATACAAATGGAAACAACAATTACTCATGATATCTTTGATATAAAATTGTTTTTAATTTTTCTCTCTCGCTGTTTGTGTTATATATGCATATAATTGTATGTGTATGGTTTCTCTAAGGTAGTTTTAAGGTTTAAATTTTTGAAAAACTGCTTGGAGAACTTTGGCTATTGTACAGTTTAGAAATATAATAAATAAATGAAGTATATTTTAAATATAAGGGTTTAAGTTTATATTTAGACTCTTCCAGGTAAATCATGTTGCTGGAGAAATAGCATCTTTTTACCTATTATTGAAAACTAATCTTACCAGGTTCTGGCTTCTTTCTTGCAACTGCAGAATCCACTGGTGTGTTGTAGCTTATACTAGAACTTGTACTAAGTACCCTGGTAGCATCCCGGTCTGTTAGTTTGTCCCCTGCAAAATCAAAATCAAAATCCTTATGTGTTACGATGCATATCCAAGCAATCACAAAGACAACTTGTCTGCTATATGGACATCTGATAGCCTAAGACTATCAAGAAAGATCAGTTAAATATCACCAATAATCTAATTGTACATACTAGCTAATGCAAATCTACAATTTTAATAGTTCACAAAGTGTGTGAAAGCTTGCTAACAAACTGCATGTTTGGCATTTACTGCCAGCATAGAAAGGATAACAATTTATAGAAATATCAATTCATTTTCAAACAGTATCCAAATGAAATACATATATACAAATATTGGCCAATACATCTTATTTTGATTACTATTTCAATGACCTTTGAAAACACTAGCTATCTGAATTAAATTTTATGGTCCTTACATGAGTTTATTTATAAAGCCCTAACTAATTTATTAGATGTATATCTCACTTTTCCTCCAATGAGTTGAGTGCGGTGTCCACATTTCCCTCACCTATGTTAATCTTTACAACACAACAACTCACTGAGGTAGTCAAGGCTTAGCAATAGTATTTCATCCAGTGTCACGCAGGGAGCTTAGTAGGGATTTGAAAGTGGGCCCCCTCAGTTCTAGGCTGATGCTCTGAGCTCCACACAAGTTTCCTCTACTCAGTTTTTGGCACATGCAGTTTTCCCCACACAGCCAGATTCCACTCCACTCAGGAGGGGCTGCAAACCGTTGGGAGATGCTTTTCAAATCATTCCTGTGGGAATAGCTGTGGGAAAGTCCCCTTCTGGCAACATACTTTGCCATCTCTTCTCTGATCTAAATCCATGATTTCTATAGGGACATCAATATCCTTATCTTCTTGAGGTTTTAATGTGGAGCTTGCTTGAAAAGAACAGCCAAACATGCACAAGGTATAGCATTAATCAAGTGTCAAACGCTCTGATTCAATTGCTTGATACCAGGAAGTCGTATGAGGATTGTGTCTGTGCTGATTCCTTGACTAATCCCTGTAAACCCACACATTAGACTGGTGTCAGGATAAGTAACACAGTCCAATGACAGATTTCCAGGGAATGGTTTACAAAACCTATTGCTTGTCAGAAGAGGCAGATTTCTTTCTCCTGGACTTCCAGTTTAGCGTTGTCTCACAATATTGACCACATGGGATGTTTATATCTTCCTCAAAGCCCATGCAGAAACCAGTCCTGCAGCAATTATTCGTAGTAAACGAAGTTGACATTTCACTGCAGTTTTAGTTGTGCCTTGATTTATGTTGTTTGTATGGCTCTGGAAATATTGTAATCAAACTTTCTCCGGATTATATTACATGTAGAGCAAGTAAGTAACATAGCCTGAAAATTGGACACGTATGTGAACGACCAACCTGAAACTGAAATGATTACACAGACAAGGTTTCAAATACATGGCAGGCAGCGGTACCAGCATCCCGAGCAGTTGCCAGGGCTGGCATCATAGCAGAGCCGGCAGCCAAGCCCTGCTCTGAGTTCTCCTCAATTTATTTTTCTTACATGGCAATCCAAGTAGCATTACGTGGTACCACTCCGGGGCATTGTGTGGTATTTAAAGGATGGCTAGACTAGATGTGGACAAATCTGTTCATTTTTGTTTTTCTCATTTCCTCCCATTTTAAAATCTGGTTATCCTTAACGCTGATTTAAAAAAAAATTGCATGAAAAGTTATAAAAAAAAACTTTGCATGCTTTTCTCCTAATATATGTATATTTGTACACAATTTGTCCTAATATACATTTTAGCAATTTTCTTTATATTGTGCATTTTTGAATGTACTTTCTCCAAACAAGCACATTTTAACATGCATTTTCTGAGCAAAATTCAGAGAAATGCCAAAAACTGGCTTTTTTTTTCTGTTTTAAAGTGTGAAATTGGGTACGTTTGTACTAAAATCTGATCTGAAAAAGTTCCCCCTTCCTTAGGCTAGACCAGTACTTTGATTCTTAGATTGGTGTCCCCCTCAGCCAGGCAAACCGCTAGGCCTCCTAGCGGCCTAGCAGCCTGATAGGGGATTGGGTCCCTCCAGAGGACCTTTTATGCAGAGCCCTCTCAAACCTGGAGCCAGCCCTCTTCACTAGTCAAGGAAAAGATCTTTGTGCTGGGATAGGTTGTCCCTGCAATGGCAAGTGGCAGCCCGAATGGTGGGAAAGCCTGATTTTCAAAAGTTTTCAGTTGATAAACCACTAGAAGAAAGATGTCTTCTGAATATCTATAAAAATATATTTCTATAGTGTACAGAGTTGATCAACATAATTCACTCCAGAAGGGTGGGACTTCCACTCCCAGCATTGGCAGGGATACTAGGAGCTGAGGTCCATCATATCTGACAAACTACTTCCCTTCCATTTCTGCTATATAAGCTATTCTAGTGGAGGGCAGTGCCCAGGCCTTGCACATTAGTGCAGCTAGGAGTATGAAAAAGGTCAGTTGCCTGGATAGATCTCAAGGAAACACTGAATTTTTTATTTTGTATGTATGTGCACACACACACTCCCCTCCACCCCCAGCAGCTCAGGGAGTACACAGAGAACACCAATTTATCCTCACAATGACCCTGTGAGGTACGCTAGGCTGAGCCAGGGTCAAGATAATCCAGAAAGGGGAGGGATGAAACCCAGGACTTCCTAATTAAAGCTTAATACTACATACTGCTACTACATAATATTAGATTTCCTTCATGTGTTTAAGAGCAGTGTGAATAGGCAATATGGGATTTTAAAAAATGAATTTGAAATTAATCGGACAGTCTGTCATTGCAGTGCAGAATGGAAATACCTTTTGATGAGATTATGGCTAGCCATCAGTTCAATATCTATCTGATAGACATTTAAGATAGTTTGCATACCCTAGGACTTGAGGCAAGTGGTTTAAAAGAGAAAATGATTCTATAGCTTTGGTTCTACATAGAATTATGTATTGTCCAGTATAATCTTGTAAATTATTACTTCTAAAAACACATGAACATAAAATCTTCAAGCTTACTTGTAATTTGTATCCTATTAGGCTATAACTTAATTACCACATTGCTTCTGAGTGATTGAACTCTTTGATGCCTTAACTAGTTTTAATAGCTTTGTTCTATTGTACTTGATTTATTGCCTATAAAATATTTTACGGTGGAAATTCTTTTGATCTGGCAAGGATGATTAACAAATGGCCTCTGAATTAAAAAATGCAACATAAAATTTACCAGTCAAATTACTAAGCAGAAATATTTGCTGCATTTCAGAAACTGGAAGAATTTACTCAACACTTAAGCTTTAAAATCCAACTTAACCTGTTTATCTGCATTAATTCTTCACATCTTTTTAAAAGGTACTTTGAATAAGTACAGTATACCATTTTTCTATCTATGTAGCCTAAGATGGCATTTCACTGTTCAGACTTCACTGTATCAGAATTACTAGATTTCCTCCTGCAGTCCAATCTCAAGCACTTTCTTTTGGAGGTAGCCACACATTCAGAATCCCAATACATTTACATTTAAGCCCTAATAATTTCAATCAAACCTCTTTATGGTTTATGACCATAAATTTAATTCACTTTTCCAATAACCGCAAAAAATATCCACCAAGCATTCATTCTCTGTAGCTATTCATCCAGTTCCAAGTGAAGGGACAGGAAGGGAACTCTAGTCACTGGATAATACCCTGTCCAGCTCAAGCACAGAAAAACATTTAAACAATAAAAATAATGTCTAAGTATTACCTCTTGATACTTTACCCCATGTGAATCCACCAGGTGTTTTTGTTCTACCAGGGGCAGGTGTTGTTTTATTTATAACTGAAAATAAGTGCAAAGGACATTAAAAACCGATACAAAGCAATAGTATACTCACATTTATTTTTGTAACTGTTATAGAATATTATATTGTCCACTCCAGAGAGAAGGTGGAAGAGATTTTTATGAGTATATGGATGTGAATTTACCTCTTTCTAGAGAAATCTGCCTGATTTTTAAAATCTCCCTTTCCTGACCCTCTGTGCACAATTTCAGGAGACTGTGACCTAGTTCATACATAATGGCAGTATTTGGTGGCAAATCAAGAGTTGATTAGTTAATTAAGAGTTAATTTGTTAATATGTCCCCAAGATTTGTGGGGACGTATGCCACTTCTAGTTTACACAAAGTCATGGTTTGTTCTCAGGTTAACTCTAGGTTGTTTAACCCACGAATGAACCAAAATGTCAAGGTTCAGACAGCATACCAACAACTTACAAATGGAAGTACCTTGTGTATACCATACATTCCCACAAATCATGTTAATCTTGGGTTAATTGAGCCACAATTTTCCACTGATACCACTGTTATATGCAAAACAGCCCCAAAGGTCCTCTTCCAGGACACTGGAAAAGTTACCTAAGGAGGAGAAGGAATGAGGATGACTGTTACTGTCAGATTTGTGCCTGAATTAGGATCCAGTCCAATACTGGACCAGTCTTTCTCAAGCTGGTGCCTTTACAAGCACTGGATTACAATTCCCATAGTTTGGGAATTATGTGCATTGTAGTCCAACACAGATGGAGGGTATCAGTTTAAGGAAAACTGATCTGAACTATTTCAGAATTAAGTGAAGTCCTATTTTAAGACTCATGTTTCATTCTTTTGCATTGAACTGCTTCTAAACCCTGTCAAAGTAATGAAGCAACTAATACCATATACATGGCAGTGGTGGTTGGGAGATGCAGGCAGGGAAATAAACTGGATGAAGCAGCAAAACATAGACTGGAGTGCAGAGTTCTCAGAAAGGGTCCAGCACAGATGCTGGGGAAAGACTTTAGTTGTGGGGAAAAGTAGAAATGGTCCAAGGCTGTTTATGGTTTCTAGCAAGACATACTAAGGTCTATAAACAGTACTGTCCCCCTAGTGCCAGCATTCAACAGCACTGGAAGAGGCTATAGAAAGCAGGGTTGAAGACTTTGCTGAAAAGAAGTAGGTCAAAGTTTTTTAGCATGTGACTCATTTAACTCCCCTGTAGCTATCCTAATGTTAACAAATCTACTCCTGCTCACCTATATTAAGGAAAATACTGGTCAACTACAAATTATAAATAAAATCAAATTATAAACATTGACTAACTTAAAAAATATCCAAAAAAGAATACTACATTACCAAGCCTGCCATGTGGCTTTTCAGACGTCTTAGGTTTTGCTGTCGTGAGATAGATTTTATGTGGTACTGTTAGAAAGAAAACAAAACTAATTTAGTTTCTAAGGGTAGAACATTGAAATAATATGCAGCATGATATAGGTTTCAAGTACTGCAACAGCAGGAAAAATCAACATCTATCAACTTTGTAGTTTCTAGCATGATACAAGTTTACAAAGCATTTTTTTCTGAAAAAGTAATAATTATCCAGACATCCAATGCATTACTACAAATCTTAGGAGTTTACCTATTGAAGAATTTTGCTAGATATTATAGAGCACACCCCAGGCCACAGAAGTTCACTATTCCTTATCATACTGGCATTCAAGTATGCATCGCATCCTTGCATGCTACTGAAATGCAGTCGTTAGGAAATTGAGTTGTGAAACCCCAGGTAAACTCATGCTTGTGCCACAAACTCTGTGACCCAGGTCTCAGGTCACTGAGAACCCATGGTCTGGATGTTCTTTGTTAGCTGTGGGTTATCAATATGGTGACAGTTATCACTGCATGGATTTGGTGGATAGTGAGTTCATGAGCTGGCAAGATTAATGTACTAGATATACTTGTCATGTACTTCATTATCTTTACAATCTGATAGCCCATGACAACTCTATCATGTGGGAAGTGGAATCCGGTACTTTGGCAGTCTTGTGGAACCTTGCCCAACCACCCACAAAAGATGACTTCCAGTTATTTGCTTCCAACAGGTATTTCCCCTTGATCCAAAGAAATTGGTTTTCATGAGCAAACTCAGAAGAATGCTGCACAGGAAAATCCCTGCCAGATCTTGAGATTGCACACTGAGTGTTGCTTTTCTACCATAGACTTATCAACTAACAGTTGGTCAGTTCTGTCAGCTTTTTCAGAATACCTTATCTGTTACAATTATATAATTAAGAAGTAGTTTAGGGGTTTATTATTGGGCCATAAGAGCAAAATACACTAAGTTCAGCAACTCCCAAGAAATACTCAAATAAATTCAATTAAAACAGTTGCAAATATATTACCAGTTTTCAGACGTGGACTTTCAGTTGTGGCACTGCTGTGGGGCTTGGATGAAACTAAAAGAAAACAATTGAACTAGTTAAGTATACAGAGGGTCTTCTTTATGTGGAATGCTGTGAAATTCAAGCAATAAGGATGACATTTTCAAAGCAGTATAAAAGTTAAAGTGCCCAGTGCTATGAATCAGGCTTGCATGGAGGACGACACCTTTGAGACCAGAATAATATTTAGAATGATCAAGCTAAGATAGAAAGAGCACTTAGGTAGTATTCCAATGAAAATTAGGGCTTGTGCCCTAGCCAAAACAGTGAAGAAATGATCTGGAAACAAGGAATGCAGCCTTATAGTTCAATCAAGACACAAATCAAGCTTTTAAAAAAGTTAATAAACCTGTAGGCTGCTAAATCCTGTAAGAAAGTTACATAGAAAATAAGGCCAGTTCAGCCAACTTCAAGGAAATAAGTAGATAAGTTATTCAAAGTATCTTTGGGACAATTAAGAACATGAATGTGAACGTGAAAGAGCCCAGGTAAGCTGCAATTGGTGCTATGCTCATTTGTCACCTGAGATTAAATGGAGCTCATCTGAGTCAGGTATGAGGTGAGAACAGAAGAAAACTCCTTTCCTATTATTATTACTTATTACATATCACAGAACACTCAGTGCATCTTATTTTGTCAAGGAAAAAAAAACCAAAATCAAACCCAGTTACAAAATATAAAATTTAAAATGATATCATCTAACACTGCAATGTTTAAGCATCAATTTAAAACAGAAGGTTAGGTGTGCAATTTCTGCATGATATAATAAAGAGTGTTCCTGATGAATCTCCACTAAGACTGGCGATTCCAGTTGCAGCATAACTATGGAGAAGGCTCTGTCTCTCATGTTCACTTGTTGGATGGCCAGAGTTGAAGGCATAAAATGCAGGACCTCTGAGAGAGATCTAAAGTCCAGGCAGGTTACAGTGTTGAGGCTTTAATGGCCAACACCAGCAATTTAAATGAGGCTTAGAAAAAAATATCAGCAATGCAGGTCTCTAGATGTGCTATGTCCTTTAGGTTGCAATGCTCTGGTCAGGCTCTTTGTGATTTTAATTTTTACTAAATTTTCTATAAATAGATGCTATATAAACATACAAACACGCCATATAACTGCAAACCATAATTATTGTCTAACTATTATCAGGCTTTCAGAATGAATGTATATGCAGTGTGTGAGAAAGTGTGTGAGAGAGATGAGAATCAAGTACTTCTCTCCATCTGTGTTGCCTATGAGCCATTAGTGAAGGTGATGGGGCAGATTGCATTCAACTATCCCTTTTGGGATCCAGCTGACCATCTCCTCTCAAACAGTAAGAATGTGCTTGAACCTTGCTACAGAGCTCAGAAAGTTCCAGACCAGGAGGCAGCTGCATTTAGCTCTTCATCACAGTGGCTCCTTAAGTACAATATACAAGTAGGCTTTGCCACCTGGCCGAAATACCTGAATTTCAGTAAAAGAAGTGTGAAACAGGAAGAAAAGGGGATGTTCTATTTCTTCCTCATCTCCACCTATTTCCCTCACATCCCGTTATTTTCCCCTCAGATTACTGCGATTGTATGAAGGAAGTAAAAATGGAAGAAGCTTAAAATGTAAAAATGCATCCTTCATCATATGTCAGGAATTGCAAACCTATATTGTGCTTTTGAAATCTCTCTTTCAATATATTTCTATTAGAAATCATTATGTATTGATCAAAAAAGATGCTACCAGTCAACATAAAGATGTGCCTATTAAGATGAAAAGTGCTGTTGCCTTATTTTAAAAACCTGCTAAAACACTACCTACATTAAATATTATAAAAATGCAATTACCAGCTTTAGTCTGGGATACGTCTGATTTGCCAGGTGTTTTAGGTTTTAACTGTGTTCCTTTTGAAGCTGGAAAAAAGGAATGGGATTGTTATTATATTCTTCAGGCTCATGCCATGTTTAGCTCAAATGACAGTGCATGCCTTAAAAGCATTAACTAAAACAGTAATGATTCCGTGTTTTTCTGATAGTGGATTAAAAGGTAAAATCAGAAAAATGTGATGATACACAATGGCTGATAAGGCAAATTGTTCAAGCTTTGAAGACAGCAGCATCTCACTTGTGAAAGAGAGAAAATAAAATGTCAGCAATGGTGTTCTGAGCGCTAGGGAAACCAAGAGATCAGAGCAAAACAAAAGATAAATTGAGCAGCATTCAGCAGACGGATGGGATGTTACAACACAAAATAATGGCAGAAGGTATATTTGATGCTGAAGAGAGAATAAACAGTGTAGTCATTTCGTCAAGGAAGCTTTTACCCATAGTTAACTTTGGTGTTTCAGAAGACATAGTAGGTTTTAGTATAAATGGTTGTGAGGTTGTCTGAAGTACTGCTGCTGGAAGGAAAAAGTGAACATCTTTACAAACCTGAAATAGACTAAATATAAGATGCAATGGAAAAATTAAATGACATTGGGAGTCAGAACGGCTTCCCAGTTTGGGCACATAGTAATTATAGGGGATATTTTCAGTAGATGATGCAGAAGGAAAGGATAAAATAAAATCTCCCCTACATCCCATGGTCTCAGTCAAGTGCAGGGCTTCTGTGAAAGCTATTCAAAATGAACAGATGTACATGCAAATGCAAAGATGCATTTAAACCTATGCATGGTTAGGATAACTTCTTTTCTTGGAATAATGCTGCAAAATAAAAAGAATGCTGAAATGGACATGGTTGTTTGGGGAAAAAGTGCAATTGGTAAGATTTCTCCTGTAACATTTTGTGACCTTTAACATTATAAAGAGATGACAAAAGGTGATAAAGAAGTTTCCGGAAGCTATCAAGACTTTTGTTGTGATCATGTCCATAACTACATTTACGGTTGTAATGTGAACAAATTTCAGCTTTCACATGTGATCTGAGCAATGTGAAAGGAAAACTACACATGTGGCTTTTTAAATATGCAAGAGTTTACCAAGTACCTAGCTGCAAAAACTGGGAGCTGATAATAAAAAGATATCTACATAAGCCTCCATGATATCTACATAATCCTTTATGCATGCTGAAGGAACTGTCTAAAGTCTAAACCATGTAATGCATGCACACGTGCACACACACAGATACATACTGAACCATATGATTATGCAAAATATGTGGGTACAAATATTTGTAGGAAGTCCACAGGGTTAGTAGCGACAGGCCCATGTCATGTTGACTTAGAGCATAATCCAACAAGATCGCCACTCTAGAAGCAGGGTACTGAGATCAGAGTCCTCCGCTTATCTCAAGCCTTGTAGGTACTCGTAAGATGGGTGGAGAGACAGAGGAGAAAATGTCCCTTACTTCTTGTTGGACAGGTTGGGACAAGCAACACAGACACTAGTGAGTCTAGCACATCCACTCTTTTCCTCCTCCCATCTGCCTGGTCCTTTTTTCTCCCTCCCTAATCCTCTTCCATTGGAAGGGGTATGAATGGTGAAATCTTTGCTTGGATTCTACATCCCAGGTCATAGCTTTGTCTATGGGCCTGTGGGTAGAGTGGTGTAATCTGCATTGATTTATGGTTTGTGGATGCCTTCCTATCATGCATAAGATTGCACTGTTAGCTAATTAACTACAGTATACCGGATGTCAGTACCAGTAGAAAGCTTTCATTTGGCACTGCAGGTACTTTAAATTGCTTCAAGTGTTGGCAACTGATGTTTCAAATGCCCTTTAAAAAAAACCCTGTTATTATCTGAGATAAATCTGCTGGCATTTCAGCCTTCTCAAGTTGGGTTTGTTTTTCTTTTTTTGGGTGGGGAGGGGAAGAAGAAAGGCTGTTGCTTTCGATCTGGGAACAATGTAATAGTTTCCACAGAAGACAATGGATGAGGATATTGTGTTTTCCCATTATGAGTGTAGCTACTCAGGCATAAGCAAGAGGAATTTGGCATTTTTCTCTAAAAATACAGAAAGTGAGGTTTGGCTAACAATCTAATTCTGTGAATATATAGAATTACAAAAGTGACTCAATTACCAGGTTTAGTTTCTAGCATTCTTGGCCTGGTGGATGGTTTTGATTTATTAGGAATGAACTGTTCCACTGCTGAAGCTGAAATAAAAATTTAAACCTGGATTATAACTTGCATGAACAGATTTGTTTCTCACCTGAAAGAAATGAAGTATGTGAGAGTGACTGTGGTAACCAACTGCTATTATTCCCAAAAGGGAATTATAATTGTTGTTGTTGTTGGCATTAGCATCTTTATCAATTTTTAATAGCAAATGTTGTCCCAATGTTTTCTTGGTTATAAAAGAGGGGAAGTCAGAGGCCAAGAAATATGAAGTTCAGAACTGCTTCATAGCTTAACTGAAGAAAATTTGTTCAGACAATATAAGCCAAAATCTTAATTACACCAGTTCTCAGGTACCTTTTGAGAATGAGTTCAATAGTACTTGGGTCTATTCACTCAGGCTCAGTTCTTGAACATGATTAATTTAAGAACTGCCTTTATGCCGTGAAGTCTTACTTCATATTTTGGGTGCGTTTCAATGGCTGAATCCTACACAAAGTCCTTTGCATGGAGGTGGTTTCTGACAATGTTTCCGCAAGCTGATACGTCTAGAAGTCTGAACAACTGAACAGTTTTGTTTGTGTTCAGATGGTTGCGAGATCAGGCTTTTAAAATATTATCCTCCCAAATGCTCTCTATGCCTGAATGAAACAATTTCTGTTCAGCATACTTGATGGAAACCATTCCAATTCATTTCAACAAATTTGGGAAGAACAGGTTTGCAGTAAAAATTAAACAATACACAATCAACATATTAGTGTTAAAAGTTACAGCATGCTTTTATGCATAAGGAAACGCAAATTACTGATTGATAATGCACATTTATTTTTCATATCCAAATTATCAACATTTTTATCTTGTGTTTTGCTTCCCTAAATTCCAAACCTTATTTACTTCATACATCTGATAAAGAAGATTCTTGCCTATGGAATATCATGCTCTCATAAGCTGCTTTGGCTAAATTTGAGAGAGAACTGTGTATTTACCCATAGAGCATAATCTGATGTTTTTCACGGCAACAGTTCTCACTACAAGACCTCTCCCACCCTTTTTTTGGAAACTGAATAGAAGCAGTGTTTAGTCAGCAGTGCAGTGCAGAAATGCTACAGGAAAATTTCTGGCTGCATATATCTTGGAGGTTCAGTAAGATAATTTTGTAGCTTATCCTAAATACTCCTAGAAAGGACATTGTATCAAAGTAAGTCCATTTATTGTAAGTCCATTGTATCAAAGTAGGTCCAAGACTGATAATGATAAGTGAATTTTAAAAGAAGGAACTCATATTTTCAAGCATAAATGAAGCTGAAGGAAAGTTAATTTTGCTGTATTTGTAGAACTCAAAGGCTAGGAATTTTGTGTATATGCCACTACTTTAATAGTATCTTCATATGAAGATCAACAGTCTTTGCATATTTTGTGCCAAAGGACAGTTGCATATATGGAAAGAAAGACTGGTTATTAGATGCAATGGTATGACACAAGCTGCTCCTGGGAATTTATTCTCCTGCAAGAATTAAGAGAAAAGCATAGCTGTGGGTAAATATGTTTACCAAGTGTTGGCTTTGCTGTTTCAGTAGCTTGTGGTATCATGGTACTGATAGGATCTTGAGAAAATTGAATAATTTCTGCTGGAAAAAACGGAGATACATCATCAAAGAAGTGGAGCAAATTAATAAAAGTATTTCTTCTGTGCCAGTGTGCCAAATTAATTCCAAAGAGATGTAAGCAGTACTCTCATGTATATAAGACTGCAAAATCTTTTTAGTTGGAGATTTTTAAAAATAATATTTTAAAAACTGTTTGAAAGATGTGAAATGACTGCATTTTCATACAAAAACATTTATCAGTATACTGAAGAAAATGTCCTTGAATTATATTAGGGTGAGAGTCTTTCCACACTTTGTTTTGCTTTTTCTGCTCAGACTGAATCACATTCTGCCTTTTTTGTGAGGAACCAAGGCGGTTTACATAATTCTCCTCAACTCCATTTTGTCCTCACAACAACCACCCTATGAGGCAGGTTGGGCTTCGAGTCCAAAGTTATGTGATTGGCCCAAAGTTATCCAGTAAGTTTCATGGATGAGTGGGGACTGGAGCCTAGATCTCCTGGGTCTCTATCCCCCATTGGCTCTCAACTGCTCCTATGCCCATGCTTTGAATCACATAATGATCCTATTAATTTAACTTCTCTGCTACTTCACCTTCTTCCTAAAGAACAAGTGTGCTTTCAGCAAAGGCTAATGAGCTGGGTCTCTGATGAAGTGACTCTCACCTACCTTGTCACCTTCCTTGTCCTGGTGCCAGTTATGTTTTAGGCAACAGGAAGTTGTTTTTAGTGCTGCTATTGATTTGTATCATCTAGATATATTGTTATCAATAATCATTCTATATAGGCCTTTTTAATGCTTATTAGAGATGAATGCGTGTCCCAAAATCCAGCCCTCAAAGGGTCATACTTGGCGTTCTTTGAGGTGGAAATTGATGTAGATCACCACTTTCCCATTGGATGCTACCCTTGGGAGTGGAGTGGCCTCATCTTTTTACCGGGGCCCTTGGGGTGGGGTGGGGTGGGGGGGCAAAGGAATGGCACAGCAGAGTCCAGTTCAGTCTGATCCTATGTGCAAGTAGCTGAACAAAAGTGCTTGTTCTTGCCAATGCCCCTATTAGATATTTTGCAGCATCTTCATTATTTACGCCAATCTGATTTACAATGTTTTAATGATGTTTATTTGCTGGAGAATGCTGACTTATTTCTTGGTGGGGAAAATGAAAGGGCAGTATATAAATAAGTAATGCAAAAGTCAGCATGGTAGAACATTCTGAGCATTGGATTTGACTCAGAAGTTCTCGGCTCTTCTCCCCACTCAGCCATGAAGGACACCGGCTGACTGGGCCAGTCAATTGTTCTCAGCCTAACCTACCTCACAGAGTGGTTGTGGAGATAAAATGAAAAGGTGGAGGATTATGTAAGCTGCTCTGGGTTCTCTGCTGGGACAAAAGGGAAGCTATAAATAAACGAACATGCTGGATCAGTTGCCCTGGTCTTCTTATGATTATGATTTTGAATGCTATCTGAACAGAGGTAACATGATGCATTAGTAATGCATGTCAGTAAGAATCATGCTATTTGTTCATAACAGCCAAACGCTGTTTAGTATTTGAAATCTGGATTTAATTTCCATCATAGTATTTTGGTACCTGTTTGTCCCTTAGCCTTGTTTCCACAACATCAAAAGCTGCAGTGTTTAAAGACTCTCACATGGGAAATGTATTGAAACAAATGTTTCTTTTTAAGAATTTTCATAAACTGCCTTCTTTAGATGACCATATAGTGGAAAAAGTGACACTATTTAGAATTCCAGTCTTCACAGAATATAAATCAGCTCTACTGTATTTCAACATTGCCTCCCCAGGAAATCTTTTTATTTATAAGAAGCCCTTCTAAAAGACAAATGGGTTAGAAAATTAAATGCTTCAAATAGAAACAAATTCAGTTACATTCCATTCAAATAATCTTCAGCAGAAGAGGAGTGCTGAATTACAACAGCTACACATTATTTTAGTTTAAATGTTGCTCTGAGATCCACTTTTTGTTTTCATTACTTCCATTCATTTCCATCATTTCCACCACATGATTTCTGAAAAACATCAAGCTCCCTTAGAAATATGCTGTGTTCTCAGAGACCACTGTTCTCATTCCAGATGAGACTAAAAATGGTTGGGTGACTTACTGGTTAAGAGAAGGTACTCTGTACATGCTCCAAGGCACCTACTTTTCTTTCTTTTCTTTTTTTTAAACAAGTTCCAGAGGTATACTGTATCACATACTGTAAATAGGGCTGAGCTAGGGATCAAGTGATACTCCAAATTGTAACATATTAGAATGATTCTACAAGTCAGTTCCATAAGGCTATAATAATGCTTGTGTCTAGCCAAAAGAAAAAAAACCGAGCATTTTAAAATTAGAAAAGTGGGGTGGGGGGTGAAACATAATTAAATGCAACCCTGTGTTTATCCAAGAGCAATTGGCATACCTGGCCAGACATACTAGCTATGGTCAAACAGATACGCTGAGGCAAGATCCTCACCCTGAGGGTGCCCTTCTCCGGGAACCCTCTGTGAATGATATTAGGAGGGTGAGTACCTGGAGGAGGGCTTTCTCTGCGGTGGCGCCACACCTATGGAATGAGCTCCCTAGAGAGTTCCGCCTGGCGCCATCATTATTTGTTTTTTGGCGCCAGGCTAAGACCTTTTTATTTAAAACTTATTTTAACTGCTAAATTACTGTATTTATTAGGATTTTAAATTAGCCGAGAATGCACCGGGGGGTTTTACTTTTTTTTTTTTTTTTTGTGAGCCGCCCCGAGACTTTGTGGTGATGGGGGCGGCATAGAAATGTTTTAAATAAATAAATAAATAAGATAAATAATTAGTAGTGATGTGTTACCTGGTTTTGTTTGAGGTACTTTTGGGCTAGGTTTTGAAGAAACTCGGCGGCCGCTTTTTGTACCTGCAACAAAAATACTGGTTAGGTACTGTTACTTCTCAGGACAAGGAGCAATCACTTTGTGTTCCCTCTTAAATCCAATTGGTTCCTATCCCACTTCTCATTTGGATGTCAGAAAGGGCTCTGGGCTAGTGCCTGCTTCACGTGGCAGAAAACAGCGTGCCCTCACAAATGCACCTGCCTGGGGGACAGGGAGTGCTGCAGCCTTTCTGCTGTCATAGGAGGAGCCTACCATAGGCAACTTTGGTCCAGTGGATCCACATCAATCATCATCATCCTCATCCTCATTGTCTTGCACTTACAGCTGCCCTTTTTCTTTTGGCAAGGAACTGAGGGTAGATTATAAGATTCTCATCCTCTCCATTTTTATCACAGCAGCAGCAGCAGCAGCAGCAGCAGCAGCAGCAGCAGCAGCCCTGCATAGTGGGTTAGGCTGAGAGTGAGAGACTGGCCCAAAGCCACCTAGTGAACTTCATGCTCCAGTGGAGACTAGATCTCCTAGATCTCCACTCGAACACTCTAGTCACCACTGGCACACATGGCAGGCATGTGCTATTCAGGACTGCAGCTTCTGGTTCTTTTGCCCAGCCGATCCATTTGCAGAGAGAGGTTGGCATCTTCCAGGCATCTTCCATGCGAAAGAACACTCTAGAAGCATTCCTATCAGCACATCTACACATTTGGGAACAGTATTCACCCTGCTGCTTTGATCTGGCAAAATGCTCTCCTTTTATTTAAATATCCCAAAGAAAAAGTCACAGGTATTATCAATCGATGAGTGATCAAAGATGTAGAAATAGTTTTCTGTAAAATTATTTACAGAGAATGCTCCCAAGGGAAGATGATCTACGGAGCAATTGCTTACAAAGTTTTCTGGGAACAAATAAGCAGTATTAGCTAAAGGCTGGAAAATAAAATTTATTTACCAAGCAGATAAAGAAAAATGAATGTTTTGGATGTTCATAAAAGTCAGCTAGGGTTAGTGGTTGAATCAAAATAAATTGTATTGCACTTAAAGAGATGAACAAGGATATTTCCCCCCATGCAGAAAAGATGGAAAGAAAACAAACACATAACTTAAAACACAGTATGTTCCTTTTAAACTGGTTGAGCACTGCCCTGTTTTAAAGATTTATGACCATAATCCAAATTGTTATTGCAAGTTTGCTTCACCCAAATAGAAACCGGCAATATAGCACAGACTACATCTTAAAAGAAGAAAATGAGTATGTGTACAGAAGAAAATAGAAGCCCTAACACATGCATGGAAATATCTTTTGCATAAGGCATTACACGAAAAATGATTTCCTTTGTTAGCCAAACATGTGCCTAGAAAGGGAAAACATTGCTCTGGTTGCTAAGCAGTGATTCATCTTTTTCTTTTATGTTCAGTTTGCCTGTTTGTTCTACATGCTGAATAGATAAGAAAAAGAAACATCAAAGCTATATCTGGCTGTTATTTTTGACTAATCCTGTATATTACACTGTGCAAATATATTGTCAAGTGTTTATGTTTATGTGTGGTATTTTTATGTTTTTGTAGAGTGTAATTGGCTAATGCTGAAAATAAAAGAAGTTTTAAAAATTACCGAGAAGATCTTTACCCAGTTTTTCATTCTGATAGCAAATTTCTTTACTATATCAGTGTTCTTGCAAACAGTTTCCTGCTTTATGTACCAATGGGCCTCTATAAGCTAAATGAAGAAGTTACACATTGAGTATAGTTCTGCAGAAATGCATGGTACTGGAACACTTACTAGGTTTTGTTGATATTATACCAGGGCTGGGTGATGTTTTTGTTCTGGCAGGAATTTGATGAGATACTTTAGGAGCTGAAAGAAATTGAACAGAAGTTGCAGAGAATACCGGCAAGTGTAAGTTCTACAAAGTAATTAAAAATAGTAAAGATGCAATCTTAACATTGGATGCCATAGGATTCTTCTGAGTCCCAGCTGCGAGATCCCACAAACTTGGAGCTGGAACTCTGAAGGCTGAGTGCACACCCTGTCTCTTTGCAGACAGAATGGAAAGAACCATGCTGGCTGTCCCCCAAGGTCACAAGTGGATCTTGGAAGGAAGGGGAAAAAAAGAAGCATACCAAGGGATGGATAGGAGGACACGGCTGCTCCAGAGTTATATCCATTCCCATTGGTGCCTCAACCTCCTTTCCTTCCCCTCCCTGAAGCTAAACCTAGATGTCTGAAAGTGGCTGTCTAGATAAAGTGATGTCTGTCAAACTATGTTCAGTTTGTGGAGTGCTCACTATCACAGATTACAAGTTGTCATGCTCATTTCCCCCCAAAGATCCTGCTGCTTTCTTGTCATCAACCAGTACATCCCTGTTAGTCAGCATTAAATTCTGTTTAAGTCTCATGGTTCCTTCTTTCAGCCTCTGAGATGCCGAAAGAAACACATAGCAGACTTAGATGTCTGGAAAACGCCAGGATAGTTGGAATCTCATATTTCTACTATGGCTTGCAAAGAACAAGACTGGATTTAGGGTCCCTTTCTCAAACAACAGTCTTTTACTGGGTTGGAGACATCCTTTCTATGACCAGGTCAGGCATTTTGGTAGCAGAACATCATCTTTACTTCCAAGCATTGTGTCCTGTGCCATGATTTCAAAGGAACATGTACTCGGGATGCCCTTCTACACCTCATTTCTGCTCAGTTTTGAAGTATACTGAGTTCTAGTATCATAGCCACCTTTTCTAGGCTTAGCACAACAAGTTGATTTTAGTAATGCTACAGAAGAATCTTAAATTACATGCTAAATTTTATGATAAAGCATGACGATATGGGCCACACAGGACATGCAGTGCTGCAATTCTGACACGCAATATAAAGGAAATAAATATGATAATTAAACTGTTTTTACCTATCGTTGTTTTTGATTTTTCTTTTCCAATTGTAACTGCTTCTATATCTGTCAATAAGATTAATAAATAAAAACAGAAATAATCAGTAAAAATCTTGTCAATCATTATGAAACAAAACATGAAAAACACATTTCGGCTTCATCTGTAGCTAATCCTCAATTAACACACACAATTTATTTGACCAACCTCAAGTAATAAAGTTGAGGTCCAGATACAAGTGTGTCTTCTGGCTACTTTGTAAGATGTTGCTGCATAAAGCAGTGAACATGCACATGGTATCAGATGCTCCCACTACTTCCCCAACAAGGAGGCAGCACATGCTGCCACTGTAGTTTCTGTTTCTTTATTAGGAGAGAATAAAGGAAGGTTAATATATGGTTATGTGTGTTTATTTAAAAATATATGCCTTAACAAGGCAGGATTTGCAGACAGATGATACTATTCCACCCTCCAAAGGAAATAACATCTACCTGGATCCTCTCACAAGGCTCCTTCTCCTAACCAACTTCAATACTCCTGCTGGTTTTAATTCTGGTGGCTACACCGGTAAATCCAAAGGGTTCTCTAAGCTGTACTGTGTAGGCTTAGCTGGGTCTGTGTTTAGGAAGCACCACTGTCAATTCCCAGTGAAGGAACATACATCTTCAAGCCTGTTGTGAGCAGCCCCGAGGCTTCGTTGCGATGGGGGCGGCATAAAAATGTTTTAAATAAATAAATAAGCCATCAGAAGCATCTTCCAGACCTGCATAGCCCAGTATCTTTTGGATGTTCTGGGTTACAACTTCTATCATTCCTGACTATTGGCCATGCTATCTGGGCACGATAGGTATAATCTAAAACATTTGGAAGACACTGGGTTGGCTATTCCTGTTCTGGATCTTCAGTGTTCATTAGCAATTACTTCAAGAGATATCATCTTCATATGACACACTATTATTGCATTTCCATTACAACATTGTAGTTTAAATAATGAATTAAAAATGGATTTGAATCAATTTAAAGTAATAGATTTAAAATAATAGATTTGAATAATGGACTAACTAGAGAAACTATGTATACACTTTCTGCTTTCTTTATTTTAGCTCTTTTAAAAAATCTGTAGTCCGCTTTATTAGAATAAACATAAATGAAGGAATAATGATAGCTTACTTTGGGCTAATAAAATTTTGTTCAGTATCCAGTCACTGAGATATAAACCAGTCAAAACACAGCTTATAAGACACACATCTTCTGAACATGGCATCACATTTTAAGATAATAAATCAAGTGTATCCAAAGTATTCTAAAATATATAAAAATTAAATCTGATGAAAGAAAATGAAGAAGAATTTACCAGGCTTGGTCTGTGGCTCATCAGGGCTGAGCTGAGTCTCATGTCTGAAAGGCTCAGGGTCTTTCTTTTCTGAAAATAAAATAAAGAATGGGAGCTATAAATTACTACCTTGCCCAGAAAATTGAAACTTACATCAGACTCTGTGAACATAGATGCAGTATGCCTCCAGAGTATAAGAGGAGTATAAGAGAAAAGAGTATAAATTCCTATTATAAATTATGAAGGAGAAAAAAAGACATGCCAAGAAAATGAAAAAAGAAACCAGCATTTCAGGCTACCTTGGTGACAGAGATTTGTAACAGAACTCAAGCACAATTCTTACAATTAATGTCTATTATTGCACACAAATCTTCCTATATATGCTATCCCGATGGTTTTCAATGCAGGGGCAGAGGGCCTGCAAGTATAGGGGAGGGGGAATTGGTTAAATTCAGAGACCCCACTCTTGCATAAGTAGAAATGCCTCTAGTTCATGCTAGGGTACCTGTGGAAACAAGCCATGATAGGAGGGCAAAACTGTACCAATACTATTTCATTAGAGCTAAAGACTGACTCTTCAACAGGGGCCCACTGAGACTCCTGGACATGCTGTTTTACTTCAACTTGCAGGTTCATGTGCTTCTTACTTTGGCCCCAAATATGATGGTGGTGAAAAGGGGAACAGTCACTGGCGTGGCCTATTGGTTCTCTGGCTCTCTTGCACACCAAGCAAGTGAATAGGAGCAATGATAACAAAGAGGCTGAAAAGCAGTAGCAAGAAGGTACACTCATGAGGGAAAGGAGTCTTGCCTTAAGGTCCTTAAAAACCTGGACTTGGTGCTGTTTTTTATTGACATACAGTATAAACATAATCAAGATTTTAAAAAATCACACAGATAAAATTTAAATATGAATATTAGAACATTTACCAGGTTTAGGATGTAGCACATGAGGACTAATGGTTGTTTTATGGCTAGGAACATGATGTTTGGCTTTTGGAGCTGAAAGAGAAAAAGGATATTCAAAATTATTAAGATATTTCTAAATGTAGGTCTGGCATTTAAGATTTGAAGGTGAAGGCGAAGAAACAAAATCATGCTGTGGATAAGAAGTATACAATGGCAGCCACACAAAAGATTTCAGAAGAAAGAATTGCCTCAACACACATATAAAGATTAGCATAGGTGGATTATGTAATTTGCAGCAGTTTCTTGACACCAGGTTGAAAAGTAATGTGAATCACAAACACTGAAGACTTGACTGCAGTGTAGTAGGGCTACTTCCAGCTGCTTTCAAAGGTGATAGAACTCTGTGCAAGGAAAGAAAAAGCAGTGCTGTGAAAAAAATAAATGAAATTGTTAAAGTCTTCAATGCTAAATGGTAAACACACCTAGAGAAAGAGTGAATTTTAATGAAAAAAATGTAGGGTGTTAGATGATCTTGCAGAGGGAGAAAATGCAAATAGGTTTCTTAGACAAAAGAGTAAAACAAGAAGTTCAGTCAGTGCACTAGGAAAACAGCATTACCTACTGTCGGGAGTTCATTGCTAAACGTAAAAGGTTCCAAGACTGTACCAGAAAAAAAGGAGTTATTAAAATGAGGAAAACCATTTGGAATGAATGTAACTGCTGCATTAATTGACAAACAGAAGGTAATACAATTATCTTAAAAGCAAGGTTTGCTACAAAATTTAGAACAAGGTCAGCTAACTGGTTAAAAATATAATATATATGACCTACTTGGGTGTTTCTATAACGTCCACTAATATGAAAAGGCCTTTGGATAGTTGGATGGAATAGTGCTGGTTCAAACTGTTTTTGGTCCCTTCTCAGCACCATTCTTACCAGCTGCTTTGGTTGCTGTACATCCACTTTCTCATCCTTACTACCACTTGCTTATTGAAAGACAGAGACTTAATAAAGGCATTGAATACACTACTCCTTCCCACCCACAGTTGTCTGGGCCAGAGTGAGAAGCAAGTGAATAAGCAACCTGAAATGGCAAAGAGGAAACTCCAGGAGGCAGCTGCTGGGGTGTGAGCCCTCGGCAGGTACCCAACCCTTGAGATGGAAGTCTTTTATTTTGCTACTGCTGGCGGTTGATGTTGTCATTCTGTTTTGTAACTATAGGCTTTACACTGTACTTTATTATTTTTGTATTTGTTTCTTAATGTTATGTTTCCCTGACAGTGGAAAAGGCATGCTAGGTATATTTTAAAGAAATACATGAGCACCTAATACCTTCTTCATCCTAATTTTGAAATTAATCTCCTTAGGAGATACCTATTACTTAATCATCTAGATATGAATTGGAGTTGTTCAGTTATTCAATGAAACCGCTCATTTCCATTTTTAAGTACATCTGGAAATGATAACATGGTTGAGTAGTTAAACCATTAACCCTAACTCAGGCATGTGCTTGTTTGAGACCCTTAAACCGTGTTGCTAATGATCCAAAAATATGAAGTTACAGTACTTAGACATAGATTGCTAGGAGTCTAGACAGGAGGTGGACTAGTGCCCAATTAGTAAGATGGTCTCTAAAGAATACCTGGAGGTGTGCCACCAGAGCCTGGATCAGATTATCCCAATTCTATGTTATACATAAGTCCTATTTAAATGTCCAGTTTTTATGTTGAATGAACACATGAGGTATTTATCCAGTGGTCCACCCTGGTCTCTTATTCCCAGAAGGGAAGCTCTCATTGATACCCATGGGAATGCCCCTCGTGAAGCTAATGGCAGCTCCATAGGAACAATTTTCACCAGGACCCTGGTTGGAAAGCAAAGGATTGAATCCTCCTTTCCCATGTGCCAGGAAAATTGCCCCTGAGCCTGCTATGAATTGTTTTCAAAACAGAAAGGGATATGCAGTTACAGGTGATACATTTAATCTAATATCTAGTTTGCTCTGGAGAATTCTTGTTTGTGTATGTAGAAATGTCAAGTGTATATCAGGGTCTCCACAGGGAACTCTGTATGAAGATGATTTCAGTTAGGGGCTCATTGTGTTAATATGCTAGCACTTTTGAAGGGACACTAGTGCAAAGCATTGCTTATGCAATATCATTAGCACTTGCTCATGTGATGGGGAAATTTCTAATGTTTCTAATTTAGAAACATTCTAATTTCTAAACTGCTTTCTATAAAATGTACATCTTTCAGATTTTCACAGTGGCCAGTACATCACTGCATAAATAAATAAATGCAGTCTTTAAAATGTAATGTTTAATGTGAAATCAGCATTCCAAAACAACATCTAGAGACAATTTTATAGAATAGCACAAGTAACTAAAATATATTTTAAAGGTTACTCTACCAGGCTTGCTATCTGGTACTTCTGGCATGCCATGCTTGGATTCTTTAGATTTAGAACGAACAGAGCTTGGTTCATAAGAAGCTGAAAAAAAGCCCCAGTCCAGAAATTAATTCATACTCTATTGACATTGAAATACACACACTTAAATCCTGTATGGTAGTGATACTGCTTTAATAAATAAACTGAAATCAGGAAATGATGAATTTTACATTCTGATACTAAGGAAGGAGATTAAACTGCAGTGCATAAGCTGTGTGTATAAAGGGGAGACAACAGAAATTATAGAATATGATTCACTGTAAATTTTAAGGAAGGGATTAGAGAAATCTGTTAAGGATGAGATAAATACTTCAGGAATAATTCCACTGAGTCCACACTTGGTTCTGTAGAACACAGTCTATAGCAATGCAGAAAGAAATGTGAATGAAAGCAGGAGCTTGTATCTGAATGCTGCAGCAAGAACAGCCTTCCCCCTCCATGATAATTAGCTTTGCTGGCAGTTGTTAATGGGAGCTTTAGTCCAAAACATCTGGCATGTACCAGCTTGACAAAGGCTGTTCTAGATTTTTGGTCCCAGTGGAGCGAGGGGCCTGACTTGGTCATTGTGTCAGGTAGTGTAATAAGGAAATGGATCAAGGTGGCTCTTTTGTGGAAACTGTGCGAGCACAGCTATTGAAATATTTTCAACATTTGCCTATATTCAGGGATGACAAATGTCAGAGAACGCAAACTCTCCTTCAAGGACTGAGCACAACTTACTCTTAGGGCCTAACTAGAATGTTTGGGCAATCACATGTACTTCAAACACGGATGCCCTGTTCATGCCTAAAAGTGGAGGTACCAAGTGGATTCCTTAGGCATAATAACATACAGAGAGGCACGGAGAAACCTTCCCACTCCTGCACATCTGTGTCTTTCAATGCAGGCTCAGGCTGCCTTTCATCTCTTAACTCTGCCCTGCATGTCCTTTCAGTGTGCTGAGCAAACATCAACCTTTCCTGCCATTCTCTTCTTCAGGTTTGCTTCACTGCAGGAATGAAGAGATCCTATTGCTCATGCCAAAAATGAAGCATCTTCTTGGATCTGCCATATTGTGTCAGGTATATAAACACTATTTTGAGGCAGGTTGTCCAGCTTTTTTTGTACTACTAACTGCTGGGGCAAAATGATCCCTTCTACCACCTCCTTTCCTTTAGCTGGGCTCTTCCATCCAAAGAAAAAAACGCCTCTTGATAATCTGACGTAACTGTTTTTAAAGCAAAATGCCTACATTGCAACGCTCACTTACACTTTCTCAGGCACACCATCTGTTTAACCCACATGCCACATCAATTTCTCAGCCAGTCTGGTTTGAGTAACTAGCTGATTCAAGCCATCAATATTTTAATCTACTTATGGAAGATTCCTGGATTCTGGAGCATTATTTTGTGATTGCCTTTTGTCAGTTAAATATTTTAAATTAAAAAAAAACTTGAAGGATACTTATAAATTTAATAGGAAAACACAACTAGAATTGGACAGACTATGTTTAGTTTTTTATTATTTGGAAAAGAAAATTAATATAATGTGTACAACTTACAAACATTCACAATTGATTTACCAGATCCACTTGCTGGCACTGACTGAAAGTATTACAAAAACTAATAGGCTGGAAGGCTTGCAGCTGGGAATATGTATGAAGATGACTGGGGCTGTGGGATTCAGATACTAACTAGTTGTGTCTTCTATAATTACTAGCAGTGACCCAAAGTTAAACCATCAAGTTTTGTTTAAAATGTAATGGTACTCCTTTCCAATACTTTGGTTTGAATTATTCTAAGTAGAAGTTCTTCAACTGGTTAAGGTGTAAAAATGCACACTTTTTTGGCAGGATACCAATAGATGAAGTATAACAATGGACATAACACCATTCTAGTGCACCATTAGAGTATGCCAAGTGGGGCTGCCTGGCATGGCTTTGCGTACAGTCTATTGAGGTGGCAAGGAAGTAGCAATGCATTGCTGAAGAGACATGGGCTCTCTTGTTTCTATTTCAGCGAGCCATAAATGTTTGCACTATGTCACTTGTAAGATCGGTTGTGTAGGTGCTACTCATGCTTTAGTGTTCGTAAGGGATAATAAATTAGACATGTGAAAGAGTTCTTGCAGATGTTAATGGAAGACATGTGAATAGTAATGCTTGGCAAGCATTTCATTGAACACATATTGCTACAACAACAATAAAACGTAAAGAAAAAAACAGTACTAGACCAATTCCATCATTTAAAACACTATTAAACACTATTAAAATTTTAATGATGAATGTAGTGGCAAGGAATGCCCTTGTAGAAGGTGAAAGGTCCTTTGTATGAACTAGAAGAAATTGAAAGAAGAACCAGGATGATGACAATTAACTGAAGTAAAAGGTATTACCCATTGTTGTGACTGGATGTCCAACAGTGTGAGAAACCTTAGTTGTGGTTGGCACTGGAATCAATTTGCTGGTAACTGCTGGAGTAAAGGATATTATCTTGAGACAGAGAAAGGAAAATCAGAGAGTTCAGGATTTTAGAACTAGTGTTCTAGGAAAGTATTGTATGTTCTATTTTAATGGCATATCTTTTCTGTACTGTTCATCCAATCTGAAACATAATCAGTTAGTATAATGTCACTATGGTATTGTAATTGCAGTTGAAATGGGGAGACATGGGTTCAAATGCTTGCTCAGCTAACTCAGTGAGTTTAGGCAATCCGGCATATCTCAGCATATTAAGCTTGCTATGAATATACAATAGTTTAATCTGGTGTCTATACTTGTATACAAGTAGGGTGAAAAAAATACAGTGGGGCTTGTTCCAAAGGGGATGAAGGTACAAGCATATTGGCCGACAATTTCCTAATTAATTGCATCTGGAGTAGAAGATGTACTTCTCTAAAACCAGATTAGACTACACTGTGATTGAATTATACTGCAAAAAATGAAAAGCAGAAGGTGTTGTCTTTTATAGTTGGAATCATGCACATTGATCTCAAAAGGTTTACTATGGTGCATACAATATGAAGAAAATGAAGCTTGCATCAGCTAAGAACCTTACAAAAAACAGCCAAACACTGCATTCCATAGAATAAATGGGGCATTCTGAAAGTTTTAAAAGGGAAAAACAATGCAACTATGCAGGGTGGGAAAATGAATTTGGAAGTTAGCTAAATAGCAATATTGGTGTGATATATTTAGCACACCACATTTCTTAACTATTGAAGGAAGTGAAAGAAAATACTTCAGCTGTCAACATCTGTTCCAAGACATAGACCCTGTCAGTCTGACACATTTTAGCTTCTTGAATGCTTAATGCAAGCTGTACACAGGGGAACAGTATCACTGGCTTAAAGTGCAACTGCTTTTGACTCCCCGAAGCTAATGTATCAAGTTTGTATTTACAACTGGGTCTATTGGAGAGAAGCCACCTTTTAGGAGACTCCTTCCTCATAAACAAAAATAGATGCCTGGCATTTAATTAAGTGGAATGTATCACATCAATTTTAAGCTCATATTCTTATCCTGACCTCTCGAACCCACTGAAATTCTATAGCATTTTCCAACTCTAGGAAAGTATGAGGAGGCTAAACAATATTACCACATTTGTTTAGAATGAAGTAGACACATATGTTGCCTCTCAATTAAATATCCTGATTAAACTTTATAGAGGATGGCCATGAGGCCCTACTGATGTACAGAGCGTACTCAATGAAAGTCCATGTATAATTGATTTGGAACTGTATTTTCCATTTCAGTTCCTACTTGATGAGAATGGCACTTTCCACCTTCTACCAACTAATAGCCTGTCTCTGCTTCTGTCCTTTTATGAAGCCTTGGAACTGTTTCTGAAAGTGCTGATTTTTCACTGCATTGTTTACTTACTGAAAACTGAAGAGATGCTTAACTCTAACCCTGCCATACACCTTCCTTCTCTAGCCTGAAGAGATGACTGGAGGGCCATGGCCTTCCAGTCACTTACTCTTTTCAAACGGGTAATCAATAGTGTCAAAACTGATTGCACCAAAACAGTTCAGCACTACTGGTGGGTTTCTGAGTCAATAGTCTAAAACAAATTGAAGAAGTGATGGAGGTCAAGTCCCAGGAGAACTTGTACTGTATATGCTATTCCCAATCCAGTAGTGAATATGCACAAGACACATACCTCTCTAATGGGACAAGTGTTCCAGATGGCCTTCCCCTCTTTCATATGCCCCCTACCCTTTCCCACAAATTTTTGATCTGTACTCAAAAATACTTTGAGCAGGTCCTTTGTTTTCATTTTAAAGCATGGATAGACAATTTGGTAGCCCTTGGGCTGCACCTAGCACCTGATCAAAAATTCTCTCTATCTTCCTATTCAATGTTAGTAGTTTATCCCAGTATTATTTACTGCTACCTGTGACTGACATATGCCATCAAATGCATTTAACTTTATTCTCAAACTTGAGTTAAATTTAAAGCAAATTCGATTAACTAAACTTAGCTTAGTTTGAGTTGATAAAATGCTAGAAACATGAGCTTTGATAGGACAGTGAAATCTTATGATGCTAATTTTAATCATAGAAGTTTAACTTCAAAAGGTTATGTGTGACTATGTATATCACACTACATGATATAAGATTATGAAAGGTTTACCACCAAGAAAGCCTTGACTATTTGGCAGTCTAAAAATGAAATAAATAAGTAAATACAAGAAAAGTAATACATGTGAATAACATGTGTTCTGTTTTTATGACATTCTTGTCCAAAACAGTTAAAAGAAAGTTTGATCCATGCTGTGGAACAAAACAGTTATAGGAAAGTACATGGCAATTACCCGGTACAGTCTTTGGCTCTTCCAGATGGGGAAGGATTTGGGGCTTGGAAACAGGGATTTTTGTTTTACTGGGAGCTAGAAGGAATAAAAATGAAAATGTAATTCCTGCTTGTTTAAGAAAACATTAGTTGGTACCAGACAAGCACAAATAGCACAGCCCACAGAGAATTGCTCCTTAAAATGCATTGGAAGACTTCAGTGGACACATCTATGTCCAAAATTGCATAAAAGTATCCCAAATTGACAATAAACAGTGATGGATTTTTTTAAAGCTGTCATATGACAGACCTGTAGCATTTTTGTTCCTTTTACTATGTCAGGTCCTCAAAAGCTGTGTTGCAAACTACTTTAGCAATTCCTGTGAGATTCAAAAGCGATTTGCCAAAGGCTGTTGCTTGAGAAGAACAATTTTGTAATGGGATTTTGTGCAAACTCAACTAACTTCAGTGAACCTAGTTTCACTTGGGCAGTGATTGAATGACCATGAAAAACCTTTTTGCTCACAGAGCTAGTCCTGCGGTTCTTTAGAACCTGGCCTAAATATGAATATAATAATAAATTCTAGGACCCTTACAATTAAACTTGAATGTCTATCCATGTCAATTGTGGTACATTTTTAATTAAAGGAAAGTAAATAAATAAAGTTTTATCCATTGTCCTGCCCTCTCTTTCCTTTTTAAAACAATGCCATTATTTTAGCATTATTTATGATGGCACAGGATTCCAACAAAAGAATCACAAAGTAGGACATCAAAGAACAGTCCAAAGTCAGAGATCTGTGGAGTGTCTGAATTTTCTTGGCTTACTCAGTGCTGCCTGTCCAATAGATTGTCAGCACAGTCGCCTTTGACAATGCCTTTTCCCCAGTTTTCAGGTATGCGGGCCTGTCCAAACATTAACTTCCCTCTTCTTTCATGATTGGATGTACCTGAGTGTACTTTTTCTGTCCTCTAAACCTTGAGATATTCAGGTCCATGGGAACTGAAGTGCTATTTTATGTTTTACAATATGAGTCATGAGTGCAATTCTAAGAAATACAAGATCATGTGTAGCATCCTTCCTGCATTCATCAAGGGATGCACATGCAAAAATCTGCTTCCTCCCTGGTGGTATTCAAATAATTAGCATTCAAATTCCTAAAATGGAACAAAAGCACCCCTACAAACAGTTTTGCAATCCTGTTTGTAGGTTCTCTTCTCTGGAAGGTGAGGGCAAAGTGTTCTCACCCAGCCCATCTTATTTGTGCCATGACACTTCTCTTTCTCCAAAAACAATACAAAGTCAGAGCAGTGCTTGCCCTACCCTCACTCTAAATTGGTTTCGCAATGCCGTGCCATCACAAAGCCAATTCAGAATAAAAGATCAGTACATGATCCCCAGTAGCCCATTCACTCTCACTTAAGAGAAGAATGTGGGGTGTTAACAATGAGAAGCTACCAAGACCACCATTAAACAAGAGCACACAGATGCAATGAAAGGGGGTGGGTGGCAGGGAACATTTCAAGCTTCCCATTCATGCTAAAAATATTCAATTATACTATATTCAATTAGGAATAAAAGTGATATCCCCAATTATTAGTCTCAAAGAAAAATGATAGAATACTTTAAAAGCAGGAGTAAACTATGAGTCACATACAAGACCCTCTTTCATGCATGGTACAGTATATACTAGATTTCTTTTCTAGATTCCTGAGCAGGGGAGCAGGCACGGGATCAGCGCAAGAGAATCAGACAGAAGTAAAACTTAAGCCTCTAACTGTAGTGAGACTCAGAGGTCTCTAACTCATATTTAATTGTGCCACAAATCCTTCACTGCCAGTGCTATATCACCCATTAGCCCCACTTCATCCATTTATGGCACAACGAAGACAAATTCATTGATATTTAACCACTATGATTGCTCCCCTGTAACATCATGTAAGCTCGGTTGGCCATTACCCAGTGTTGTTCTTGGCAATTCAGGGGTTTTATAAATGCTAGTAGTAGTGCTTTCCCACTGAGGTTCTTTTTCTGTTGGTGAAAAAGGGAAAAAACAGCAGTAAATCATGTAGGAATTAAATGCTTCTAAATAAAAGATTTTTAAAATGAGACAGATTTTCCACTGCCTAGGACAGCATATGAATGCATCCAACAGAAAAGGATATAAAATAATTTCTTTCTGATCCTTAATATGCTTGTATTATTAACAGTGTTTTCATTGAAAGATTTTATGAATCTTTGAGATAAAGCACAAGACTCAAAGTCACACAGTCAACAAACACAGTTTTGTATTTTCTGAGGAAAAAGAACACAGTTTCTTTTATACAGGCTAACTTCATGGATTAAAAAGAAAGTTCATTATAATTAATGGCACAAAATATAATTACCATATTTAAGTTCTGGTGTTTCGGGTCGGGCAAAAGGTTTAGGTGTAGAAGGAACAAATTTTGTTTCCAGAGGAGCTGAAAGACACAGGCTGTATTATAGATACTTTGTTTGTTTGCTTGCTTCTTACTGTCTTTTTTCTTCCTAGGAAATTAGAGTTATATGAGCTAAAGTGGAGGGGGAAAAGATTTTACCCACTTTTATAGAAGTTGTAGAATTAGTTGTTGAAAAAGTCTCATCCAACAGAAAAATCATACTTATCTATTCTTTGCCATTAACTTATTAGGTGACTCCTGTTCTTGTCTGCATAGGTAATAACATTGACCTATCTTACAAATGTGCTTTAAGAATTACTAATGTATGTGAAATGCTTTGAATCTCAGAAATGCTGTATAAACTGTTACTAGTAATAGAAAAATCTCTTATATTTTAATCAGTCATGCAATGGTTGATAGTATTCATTTCACATTGTCAGTTGGAACATTTTGCTTTTATAAGAATATTGTTTTTCTAACCCAGAAAGATTTGTTCAAAGAAAATTTTCAGAATTCAGTTATAGAATTTTAAATCCTAATATGCAGTCATAGGTACTATGCTTTTTTTTTTGCAAGCAGTTTTCTTAAACCAGGCTTGTACATTCCTTCTAGGCACTGATAACCCAGGTTGCAAAATTCACCCTGGCTGCTTGAAAATTCAGGCATCCTGTAGCTCTGTACTAATTTATGGAGAAGGACTACTCTGTTATTTTTCTCCTGGAAATGGATGTGTGAATGTAATTGTCCTATTCTAATTATTGTTTGCACACTTTTTCCTTTTTAAAATGGTCCATATTTCATTAACCTTTTGTATGTTTTCAAATGTTTTTGTTTAAAATTGTTTTGTACTTTTGTTGCATTTTGTTTTCTGCTTATCTGGATTTGTGGTGGTCTGTGGCTATAACCAATACAGATTGACTAACATTGCAATTCAGTGGGCAGTTTAACTTAACAAAAACATTTCCAAAATTGAAGAATTAATATTGTAGCTGTAGCCTGAACAACAATTTGAAATCACACCCTTGGTTAAATACATGTTAAAAAAAGGTAAAGGTAAAGGTTTCCCCATGACATTAAAGTTCAGTCATGTCTGACTCTAGTGGGAGGTGCTCATCTCTGTTTCCTAGCCTAGGGAGCCAGCATTTGTCCACAGAGAGTTTCCGTGGTCATGTGGCCAGCATGACTAAACACCAAGGTGCACAGAATGCTGTTACCTTCCCACTGAAGTGGTACCTTTTTATCTACTTGCATTTGCACGCTTTCGAACTGCAAGGTTGACAGGAACAGGGGCAGAGTATGGGAGCTCACCAAGTCTGCAGATTCAAAATGTCCACCTTTCGATCAACCAGTGGTTTAACCCACTGCACCACCTCTAAATATATCCGAGTGGTTATTAAACAGCATGGCAAGCTTTACTCTTTCTTTCTGCACCTTTCTGTACTACCCTAGTGCTCTGCAGTATTTCTGAACCCTTTGGGGCATTTTGAGGTTATAAGTGTGGTTTTGGGAATTTCACTAATGCAATGACTCCACTGAATCCAATCAACTATTTCTATTATTTGCAGAATAAAATACATTCCCAGGGATCAGTTAGATTGGAATTTTATTGGCACTTCGGAAAGCTAAATAATTTTTGCAGGAGATGATTGTTACCTGGGGTAGATTTTAATTGTTCAGTAATCCTGGAAATTTTAGGTGTATCCTGCTTCAAAGGTGGTAGACTGGGGACTAGAAAAATAAAAGAATTTGAACACTGAACAACAACAATAAAGATAACTGCAAGTTACCATTCTGAGAAATGAAACATTTCCTACCTGTTGATAAAATTTAAACATCTAACATAAAGATTGAATTGTGAAAAAAACACACAAGATAGAAGGTCCATAGTCACTAATTACTCTGGAGATAGAAGCTCTTTGCATAATGTCTCATATATGAAGTGGACATTGGCATCCCTTCCTTCTGACAAAAAATATAAGAAGGAACGAAAGACATATCCACATACTATCCTTTGCATGGTTGCATAGATCCAATAATATAGAATGGGCTGGTGGTCCTTTTGTAACAAATCTATATTGTATAAAAGATAAATTCTTCATTACTGAGCTCCTGAAAGCAGAAACAGCTAGAAATGAATTGACTCAGTTAAGGTTATACAAGCCTATTCTCCTCATCATAATCAATTTAAATGAAACAAAGTGATTCACATGTTTGTGCTTTAGACAAGTGATCTGCATTTTAGTACCAAATGTTTGTTTTGCTGCTTTTGATAAAAATATAATGAAAAGTTTTACATGTGAAAGAAGTACTCCCACTGATTACAGAAAGCTGTTATTTCATGGCTGATTGCAGAAGAATTTTCTCAGTGCTGTCTGTATTCATAAATTATTTAATTACCAGGTTTCAAATGCCTTCCTTCTGGGGTGGCAGAAGGTTCCCATTTAAAAGGAATAAATGGAGTTTCGGATGGAGCTGAAAAGAGCAACAAATTAAGTTTAAAATCCTTCAGAATTCATTCAAGACATTATAATTAAATACACAGCACATGCAAAAAGCTTGCAATTATGAAGAAAAGGTTCAAAATGGAATGGACCAGCCAGCGAATGAAAGTGATGCACTGATCTTAAACAGATCTCAGTATTCCAAAGACAAATGACAATTTTCTATACAGACAGCTGTAGATAAATGTTGGTGAACAGGGAAGGATAACACAAAGATGATCCATGCAACTTTCTTAACTGAAATTAAAAATATGAATATAAATATTTAGAGACTTTGGAGAAAGCAGAAGTTTGATGAAGGTCAGTACTGAAAGGATGGTAATTATATCCTGGAAGAAATGAATTCACATGGAATGAAAATGTTTCTGTTGAAACATAAAATATAGCATGATCATTCACAGCGAAAAACATTACCCAGAGTTGCCCTTGGCTGGTCAAGAGCTTTAGATGTTTTAGGTGTGAGAGCTTCCAGGGGTTCATTGGTTACTGCTAGAAAAAATGTTGACAAGTATAAGAAACAAACAAAGCTATCCTAAAAGAAAAAAAAAAAAGTGTTTCCTTCACTTTGGTTTTTGTTTTAGTTTACCAGTTTAGTAGGTGTTATAGAAGCTATTTAAATAACATATTATTAAGGATTCCCTTCCTGCTACCATACGTGAACATGTATGTGATCATTTATTTATCTTTTCCCTTCCCCTGTACCATTAGTTTTGAATTAAACCCTGCTATCTGAATAATCATTGCCACATGTACAATGTATATAGAATTTTAGAATTTAGAGACAACTCTGCAAAAATTGTATCATTCAAATGAAATAGTAAAGAGATTAAGATTGTTAGCAGAAAGAGATTTTACTGCACATCCTCCTAATACTGAGAACAAATTGGTCACTTAGAGTTCTATTGGTTTCAACATGTTTAGTGTTATGACTATCACCACCACATCATTAGCCTACATGGAATTTTAGGCAAAAAAAGAGACTAGACTCTATACCAAAGAATTTACACTCTGAAAGAGAGAAAGAGAGAGAGAGGGAATGAGAGAGAGAGGGAGGGAGAGATAGGGAGGGAGAGGTACAGGAGAGGACAACAGAAATGAATGTCTTTTCTGGATGTTAGGTAAATACAGTTCTTAAGATGTTGCTAAACAGGAAATTGGGATTAAGGTGATAAAACAAAGGCCAGGTAGAAAAAGTAGCATTTGAGAAGGTGTTTAAAGGAAAGGAGAGAGGTAGAAAATATACATGATCATGACATCAATGGCATGTTCATTGGCACCATTGGAGCTTAAAGATGCTTAGCATTGACTGGATCATGCCCATAATCCTTGGCTAAAATAAAGTGGCAAATCCAAGTCATTAATACAGTTATAGAGAATCAAACAAAGGCTTTACTCTCATCTCATCTGATCTCATCTCAACCTTCTCTACTGTCTTAAAACATTAGGTTGCATCACCTTTAGACAATTTCAAATGAACAACAAAATAATTCTAAACACCCCCTTTTAAAGCTGTATTCAACATCTCATGTAGAATATTAAGAAGCACACAACACTCCATGCCATGAGCTATTCTTTCTTTATATAGCATAGGACAGAGCTATTTGGATGAAGCAGACTATCATTTTCTTATTTATTACATTTCTATATTGCCCAATCACTGAAGTTTTCTGAGCAGTTCACAGGGCTAGAATTTCTATCTATATGTTTTGATTATCTGTTTCAGACACAATCCAGTCCCCAGAAGGTTCTGTCAGCACATATTCTATTGAAGTTAAAGAGACAAGTACAGCTCTCAGAGTCTTAACTAAACCATCTTAGTGAATTCAATGTGAAATTACTCTGGGGTATACAGAGAATAGGCTGCACATATAAGATGACAGCAGTATACCTGGTTTGGAGTCTGACAGATCAATCTCATCAGAAGCTGTGGCACGTGAAAAAGCAGGCTGTGGTTTGCTGTAAACTAAAAATAATGAATTGATAGAAAGTGCAATTATGATTATTTCTTTTAAAACTATTTTTATTTTCTGAAGGAAGTAGTATAAACTGTATCAATAACTAAGACTGATAAAGTTTTGATTAGGTTAGTTTTTAACTTGCAAATTGTTTGACTGGTCCAATGCATTTGCAAATTACAACTTTTCAGTGAATATATCTTTGGGGATTTTAAACTAGGAGACTAGAGTAGCATTTATTTAATGAAAGAAAAACTACTATAGTCACTTCTCACTGCTTTTTCTTCAAACTGGGTCTCATAGGACATTTCTAATTCTTCAGAAACTCATTCAAGCCCAATAAGCCTCTATTGTTAAAATGAAAAATAAAAATAAAAATACATACTGAGTGGAATCCAACTAGTGTCTCTTGGTCAACAAAAGGTTTCCATCAGCAGAACAGGGAAGAGTCATTTTTAAGCAATACCCTGTTCTCTCTGTATCCTCCTTTGCTCCTGGTCTGCTCCAACAGGGAATCACTGAAACACCTTCCTGTTTTGCTGATGGAAGCCTTCTGGCAATGGAGGAAAATGTCTTAGATTCCATTCACTGATATTAATTTCAGGTGGGTAAATTGCCTTGACTTCCCAGCATATACTTACAGAACATTTCCTTTATGTTGAAACTACTCTACCAAAAATAGCAACAAGAGAAATAAGAGGCCAGCAGGCAGAAGTGGACACTGGACAGGAGTAAGAAGCCGTTCTGTACAAAACCAGTTGTGCAGTTCTTTGAATTTCAGCCAAATGTTTTTCTAATTTTCTGCACACATTCTCTTCTACTGCCAACCAGACTCCCCTTTTGCCAGGTCAAGTTATGCAAGCTAGGACATGGAGAGGAACAGTTAAATGTGGTATTGCCTGTGCACACAGACTTCCCATCCTCTGGATTGCCCTGGTGTACAACTTGCATCTGTGCTGAGAGGAAGAGCTGGTTAAAATTTGGACACTGCTTCAGTATGAGTAAGAATTGTATATTCTTGTGAATTGTAAGAAACCATGCCATTTACAAGATTGATGGAACTAGAAAAACCAAATATAATTCCAATGTATTTCCATTCCCCACACCCCCAAATGCATTGTGTACACATGTTTGAGTACTCTCATTAAGATAATGCCACCTCTGTAATTTTATAGAAATTGGTTCAGTGAGGTGCTCATTGATAGAATAACATCCAGAAATGTGAAAGGCACTGGTTAACTATTTTCCTATCAACTCCTTGAATTCTTTTGTCCCATTATAACTCTGAAGAAATAATTCAGTATTTATGAAAAGGAAATGTACCACATTTACTACTTCAAATATTGCTGGCCAGATTTCAGTAGCATAGTCCAATTCTTAATTATTATTTTTTAATTAAGCCACCTGTATAGACCCACATAATTTCTTGTTGAAAACTTATTCCTACTTTTCATTTTATACAGTTGTTTATGCAGTTCGTTGGCTGGCCTTATTGCAATCAACACCTAAGGCGGAACACAAACAAGTCACATATGTAAAGCCTTAGATGTAAAACCATCCAAAAACATCAGAGTACAACAAAAAGGTCTTTGTATCTCAAAGCTAAGAAGTAGTTCATTTCAAGGACAAGGTAGAGAATTAATGAAATAAATGAATAATGCTTGAAGAGGAAATATATTGTATGAATAGGTTTCATTTGCTTGAAATGAACAAGGAAAAAGGATCTATCCTTGTCAATTATCTAAAAAAGAAGCTGTAAGTGAAACAGTTGACAGTCACTAGTTCCATAACAGATAAGTTTTATAATTATCTAGCATTTAGGGCCAGTCACTGCTACATTACTGCACACTGGCTACTGATAAACCCAGGCATGCAAGCCGATTAATGTGTGTTAATTAGATCATAATACAGAATATAAAGAGACTCTCCCATGAAGACTCTCATACTGAATGTAATAAAACAGTCTGGCCAGCTGTACTGGGATACTGGGGGGACTGTTGTATTGATCCCTAGGGCAGAGTTAAGTCTGAGTGAGTTAGAATATGGAGATCCAGATCCTTCAGGAAAAAGGATGCCCTGGTAAGAGATGTTATTAGAGGCAAGACACATGTGGAGATAGGCCTTTCCTAAGAAGAGAATAAAATCAAACAAGTATATAAAGTTCAAGATTTGGTTTCTATCAATGTAACATTGTTCTTGTTATTACAAAGTATTAACTTACTGCTAAATGTGTATTTACTTTTACAGAATCTATTGAAACAACAGATGAATGTAAGAAGAAGCTGTGAAGTATTACATTCAGACAGAGAGAAAAGCCTATTGGAAAGCTATAGAAAATAGCACTCTAATTGTGATTCAAATATATTTGATGGCTTCCATTTTCCTTGTTCTGATTCCTTCTATATTCTTCCTCTAATTTCCATTCTAGTTTGTTTGCTTTTGTTTAATTTTGGTTTTTGAAAATGGGATGCATGTTCCAATAGGACACAACAACAGTGTCCAGCTTATTAGATTTATAGTTCTTAAAGTGCTGGATGTTATTACCGTTATTGATTGAATTTATATCCCACCTATTCTCTGGAGAGTTCAGGGCAACATATACTGCATTCACAGGCAACCTCCTACACAGCCACTCTTCAAAGCCATGTTTGTTTAACTTCAGCAAGAAAAATGTCTAAATGAACAATGAATGTCAGCAATGAGGTACTATTAATTTTAAATAGCAGTCTGTTTAAAACTCTGGAGAACTTTGCGGTTCCTCAGAAACTTATCAGAGGGTTAGCAGAAAGAACATTAGTAGCTGACAAGCATATCTAATCATGTCCTGCAAATTGGATTTGCTAAATAGAGATAGTGAGACCCAAGATACTTAACCAGTTCCCTGCATCAACACTGCAGGTCACACCCAGAGTCCTTGTAACACAAAATAGTTCCATGACAGTTGCTCAGGGTTCCCTCAAGGTTTTATGAAGGCAGAATAATTGAAAATGACTACTTTATTTCAAACTACAAATGTTGTCTAACCATACAAAAGAATGTTCTAACTCTCCACTTCTACTATACCATTTACTGCAGAGTAGTAGTAAACTACAGCATATACAATTGAATTAAAGGGTAATGAAGTCATTGGAAATAGGATTCTGCAATTTTCAAATTGACTCTGTGGTCATCCTCAGGCTTGAATCTGTATTTCATGCAATGACAAGAGAAAATATAGGCCAAGTGTTCTGAGACCTTGAGATGGATTTTTGGCATTTTACTATCAAGTTCCCTAACCATTACTCAGAGTTATATTGTTGACTGAGGTACCACAGAAACTGTGTCTTCCAGATTCTTGATCACACTTAACTTGCCTTCCCATGCTTCGGTTCCAGTTGTTACTCCAGACAGTACAATGCTTCCAGAATGCTTGGCCCATCTTTAATGACCACAGGTACCTATGAGTATTTACCTCTTTTATTAACACATCAAGTTGAAGGCTTTGATTCATATTGTCCTCTGCATTTTATCCTGTCTATTGTTTTGTCTTAGAATCTAACCAGATCCATCTTCTGGTTTAGTGGCAGCATTCACATTATTTCTTACCATACTTCTACATCTAAGCAAGCTACAAGTACTCATGTTTTTTAAAAGTTTTGATTTGTCCTGTGACATAGCAGGAGTTGTCCTGCTTTCATCTTATCAGTCACTGGGAGTCACCAAGTTCAGGACAGCTGTACAAAAATGAACACACTTTTTAAAAGCAAGAGGAGAGATTTTGAAGAATCAAGTGAAACTAGATGAAATATTCAAGGGTCATTTTTTTAAAGAAACTATATTGTTCACCAAGTGCAGACAGTGCAGATATAGAAAATCAGAAAATTATGCACAGCATTAGAATCACACAGTATGTGTGCAGTCTGTAACCTGGAACAGAAAAATTAATATGAAAATATCATAATGGGTTCCATACAAAAGCAAAGGAAGCTTAAGAAAACATTTTGAGAAGATATTGTGAGATAGAAGAATGTAGACCTAATGTTGAAGTTATAAAAATGGAACAAGGCACCACAAAAATATAATCTGCTTTACTTACTTCTGGATCAAGCAGTTTCAGGTATTTAAATATTTACTGAAAAAATATTAATTTGAGAGTATTCAGAACATGTGCCTTGGTTCCCTATTACTGTCTCTTTAAGGAGAATTCTGTGTAGCTATATACACATATCATCTTGTATGGCTGAATATTCTCACAGAAAAAAGGAACCCCTCCCCCCCCCCCTTCCCCTATGCTGTTGGATCATGCCTACTAAACTTTGAAAATAGTCTCTGGGCAAAGTTTAGACCCATTAATTTCACTCCTGGGAGTAGCCTACAACTTATTCGCATGACTAGTATTAGAATAGGGGATAGGTAACTGAATGCCTTCCAGTGTTGTTTTGGACTACAACTACCATGATCCCTAACCACTGGCCATGTCAGCTAGGACTTACAAGAATTGTGGTCCAAAACATCTGGAGAGCACTAGATTGCCCATCCCTGGACAGATACCTGGGTCTAATCATTAAATCAGAGTGAGATCAACATATCACACTCTGCATAGCTAGAAATCCTTCTGAAATAACGTTCATCGTTAGAATGACCTGGATGGGAATAAATCCTACACAGTAAGTAAAACAGGGAACTAATTCTTACTTCCATGCAATTTTAGGTTTACTTTTTAATTTAGAAGAAAGGGGGATGAAAACATTATCACTTAGAAGATAAGCTAAAAATGTAAGAAAAAGTGAACCACTTTCATTTTTCATGTAGTGTAAGGAAAATGTACTCTTTCTACAAAGCATATTCATTTATACTAACTGAAGTGAAGGATTTGTTTGTAGTCTTGTAAAAATGATTCACTGCCAGCAGAAAGAACACAAGCAATTTTTAGAAAGAAAAAAATGTATGATTCAGAGTTCTTGGATGAAGGAACTGCATTCATACTATTTACATAGATTCAGAGGTATCAGCATCTATGAAAAATATAATAAATAATAAAATAAAACAACAAAGGCATCTTTTTAGAAACTTAAAGTTCACCATAAACTGGCCACCCAGAATGTTTATAAATAAAAATAAATGTCTCCCTCTGGGATAGCAGAAATGCTTAAAAATATTTCAGAGGAAATCTGGGGTAAAATCCCTGAAACCTCCCAAGAGAATTCAGTGAAAATAGTAACAGAAATGGCAGGTAAATAGTAGCATCTGATGGGCCTGACTCTAGATATCATAGAGTATTTGTGGAAATTTGAAAAGACTGAAGATAAAATAATGCAGATTCCTGTTATTAAGTTAAAAATACTTTTAGAATAAATGTTTCTATTTATATACAAAATATACATTCAAAATAAGATGCTATTTTGATGCTGAGTGATAAAATCTATCACTCAGGAATGGGTGACGCCAAGCAAGAGATGCCTGACAGTCCTATACTTGGCAGTGACAGCCACCTCTCTGGGGAAGAACATCCTGGGCACCCCTGCTGTGGTTGTTGTAGAGCACGGCATGCCAGGAAGGGTTTGCAGATGTTTTTCCCTGATATCACAGCCTTCATGAAATCCGCCCATTCTCAAGTTGCTCCCCCAGCGGAAATTGTATGAATTACAATGGTCCTCCCATTGCAAATAGGAAATAGTTGTGTGCTTGTGTGTGTGTGTGTGGGGGGGGGGTCATAGCATGGGAGAAAAGGGTTCATTCCCTTCCTGTGATCCATGGTCCCAATCATGGATCTACCCTGACTGATATTTACAGTAAAAGAAAATCAAGACATGTGCAGTTTGGTTACATTTTCCTAAACTAAGTCTCTATCTTCTCCAGCCTGCCCTTTAGCCTTACTCCTTTTTCTTTTAAGAAAAAAAAATCAGCTACTAATACTGCAATGGGATCTTTTTGACAGCAGTAACAGCCTCTTGATAGTTTCTTTGCAAGCCCAGAATGGAAGGCAACAGGTGTCCCAAATAGGAGACTCTCAAAGCTCCTTATTGCCCACAGGCCAGCCAGCAAGCTGAGAGAACGCTTGGCTTAATCTTGGTTGGTCTGCAGCTCCACCATGCATACGACTAGCAAGTGGACTACCATGTACAAACCAGCAGCATCAGGCGCCCAGTGGAGCCAAGAATGGCCCATCTAGTGGTACACCACTGCTGACTTTGACCTGATCACTCAGCCTGAAGACCTTGGTACATGGTACAAGTTGGGCTTTTACACACTGCCCTGAAATCCAGCCTTAGTCTACTGAAATCATGCTCTCTCTTCCTGACACATTGCCTATAATGTGAAGACTATGTCAAAACTGGCACCATCCCTCCACCACTCCTCAAGGAAACAGTGACCCAGTTCCCATGATTCTGGCATGAACCCTGTCATGCATGCTTGCTGTGTGTGGATGGAATTGCCCTAATTATAATAGCTGACAGGCTTGTCATGCCATCCAAATCTTGAACAACCCTCCAATACCCCATGGGATGTCATGCAAACTGGCTCAGCTGAATGAGTATAGAGGATAGCTGCTTCATATTCTGTGTCGATATAATGCTTCTCTGCATGCATATATATTTGTGGGATGTAGGCTAGTTGTTCAGAGCATGAAACTATTTTGTTGTAAAACTGCATTGATCAAATGCAACTTTGGGTGTGGGGAATAATTACCTGGCTTTGTCTGTGTGGTTTTTGGAGCAGGCGTTTGGGGTACTGAGGGAACTGGTTGCATTTCACTCGAAGCTATAGTAAAAGAAATGACCATGTTTTATAGAGGTAATTAGTATAGAGCTCATCTTGAAAGAAAAGTATAATTATCAAGTTCATTGGTACAATGGATCTTCTGGGATATAATTTTGCAAATAATGTAAATATATTTGAATGAAATCGGCTGAACCATAAATTACTTAATCATATGAAGAACTAGAACAAAAGCAAACACCACCATGATGTCACAATGTAGCTTTTATGTTATCATGCTCATGCTCTAAGAATGCAAACCCTTTCCAAGAAAATTTAATGTAAAACTGAAATGAAAAGAACACTTTAAAAAACACCATTACCCAATATTTCCGTGGGTATTTGGAGTGGAGGAGTTGTTTTAGTTTTAGGAAATTCTGGAAAATGGCGTGGAGCTAAAAGTTGAAAGATAGAAAAGAAGAAATGTCCAACATATTAATATACAATATCCTGAAAAATAAATATTTACAACCTTTACTTTTAGATGGAAAGTAAGGACGTAGCCATTATATTCTAGAAGATTTTTGTGAGTACAGATGATGAGGTGTTTGCTATCAGATAAATCCTTTCATATTGAGAACTTTAAAATCTGCTGCATTAATACTGTGCTTTGGGGTTTGCATGCTTTTCAATGACTTAATGGTGTCCCTAATTGTCATTTCTTCTTCATAAAAAGTAGCACTGAATTCCTGTATCTTCTTGAGTCATCTGTATTTCCTGCACTTATTCCTGTTCATCCATGGAATTTAGGCATGGAATGCTTTCTGCTTTTAGCATGCTATAAGATGCCAGATGTTCATTAGGTGTCTAGTGTTGGGTGTGAGCAGCTGAATTTTACCACCCTTCCTATGTCAAGTGTACAACTGTGAAAGCTATAGCACAACTTTAGCTGGCTTTGCAGAATTCACAGTAAGATGCAAAATAGTGCTGGTCCTACATGAATAACATTCCAGCTTGACTGGACCTGTGACATAATTATCTTTGTACAAGCACCAAGGGAAAAAGAAGTTCCTTGCTCACTACTTAGTAAGCAATGGCTCCTCTTATTCCCTTTCAATAGCACAGATTAGGAAACTCCTTCATGATGCTGGGAGCTGGAAGATGAAAAAGAACCTGTCAATAGCTTTTAATGGAAATAATGTTTGTTTTGTTTAATGCAATTCAAAAAGCACTTGATTAAGATGATTTATTTCAATGAAATTAAGTGTGCATTAAGTGTCTGTTGGACTGTGGCCACCTTGTCTCAGTTCCTATGAGGAAACCCTTCTATCTTTTCTTATAATCAGAGTGATACTTAAGATGGTAAGTAAAAACGCCCATAAAAGGAAGATATGGTGAACAGTGCTTCATACTTGCTTAGTGACACTATGCATTATTAGGATAACAAAATAATGGTTCAAGGAAATCAAGAGGTTTTATTTTGAGTGCTCATCATGTCAGATTTGCAGCTTTCTATAATGTGCAAAGCCCAATGCCCAGGCCCTTTAACCTTAGGAAATGTTTTTTTTTGAAATGATAAACCACAATGTGGCTAAAAGTAAGGTGTGATTCCTCACTTTTAATTCAATGACAAGAAGTTCTTGTTCATTTACTAATTTTATTTCCTAGAAATACCATGTTTAAACCAGTCAGTAAGAGAGATATTTTATGTATAGTGCAAATGTTGCAGTAGTCAGGTTTTGTGGAAGAGGTCATAATTAACCATTATAAACTACTAGCATGGCAGTGACCTCTTGCTAATCTTACATGGCAGTGACACCACCAGGAATACAAGAATGTGAATGTTCAGGTTTGGTTTGGTTTTTTCTAGAGCATGCATGCATTGACACAAACAGTGTTAGGCTTAATTTCGCCGTGGAAACACCATAAAGTATTTACCCAGTGTGGAAAGTGGCAATTCAACCATGGGTGTTATGCTAGGTTTCGAAGACTCAAGGTCACTTTCAGTGTGAACTAAAAAAGAGAGAGAATTAATATCCTTTCTTTAGGCAGTCAATACACTGTGGCCATATGCAAAGAGTGCTTCAGCATTTACGATGACAACAAAGTCACAAAGATAATATTTTGCTTTCTAGTCTTACTACTCCAATAGCTATGATATATTTTGATGAAGAAACTGTAGTCAACAATACAAAAATGCATTATGCATTACATAACTGTCCCAGCAACTATGCAAATTTTCAAAAACCTCATAATTAAATGCTAACTTGAAATAATTCCCACTGAACACAACAGTGTAGGCTCAGGACTGAATTGTTAGCAATTATATTCCAGCAGTACTTTATAATCACTTCACAAATGCATGAAGCACAAACTTATACAGCAGTAATTGCTAGATTTCAAACGTACGCAGGAGTTGTTAGGACTGGAAGTTTCCAGTTCACTTTCAGAGTAGTAAAATAAAGTTATAATCCTTTCTTTATCAGAACTATAACCTCAGATTCTGTCAGTATAACAGCTATATTTCTATCAACATGACTCTAAAGTATTGCTATTTATTGAATAAATGTATTAACAAAGCGATTTATCTAAATGATGCATGATGCAAAAGAAAGCAGTAGTACAAAACAGAACAGTCAGTTATTGGTCAGTGTAAAAAAGTGTGGGGGGGGGGAGTTATGGTGAACTCCAGTACTTTACCTCTCCCTAAGGCACTTGGTTTGTCCACAAGGAACCATAAAGTTGACCTATATTTATTTTATTAGAAATAGATTATACATCAGGAACTAAACATTCTGAAGAATCCCAGCAGCATCATTCCAGCGGTACCTAAATAAATGCAGTTATGTTATTTGCTGTCCAGGATAACTTCAAATTAAGACACAGGAAGGTATCTCTTTACCTGGAGAGCTTTCTGATTCTTCTGAGACACTAGGAGCTGTAGGTTGACTTCTTTCCCAGTCTAGTACAGTCATAGCTGCAAAGTTTTTTGAAAAAGTTAATATAATGTTAACATAAAACACATTAGCATAACTTGGTAGAGAACAACTTAGTATTAAATTTAGCATAATGTTAAGTCAGTGACATTAAGCTACTTTGAACAGAAAAAATGGTTTCAGGATATAAAGCATTTACTAGATATAGTAACCCTTTAATGGCAAAAGCTAAAAATGTCATGCATAATTCCTATAAAATACAGTACCTTGTGCTAAAGTAATTTATCCTTGAACATACACAGTGGTGTAGTTAACACTGGCGTTAGGGTTAGTTTCCCTACTCCCATGGCAGGATCCCGATGTGGATTGTGGGGGCCACATTGGAAACCTCTGAAATAAGCTTGTATTCAAAGGTAAAACAATCGATGAATGTGTCATTTGGTCCTCAATGAACTCAGTCAGTTGTTCCTTGGGCTATATTTGAATAGTATTCATTTAAACTGAAAAAATATTTGGATGACTGTAGCCAAACCATTTCTAATTCTCCTCTCAAGAAGAGGGTTTGCCACCCATGGGAGCTAGAAGCACGACATTCTGTACATCCCATCTGTATGTCCCATAGCCATTCTGGATTTAGGAGCATTCCCAAGTAGCAGATACAATTCTAATTAACACAATTATGTGAAAAATCAGCCAGTGTTTTCTTATGCTACTGGTAGCCAGTGTTAAAGTTTTAATTTGGCAGCATTACTCTCTAGTCCATAGAAAAAAAATTCTTGAGCACAGGCTGCTTCAACATCTACCACTTAATATCATATTCAATGCATTTTTACTTGGGTTTGGAGAACTTAGTTCTATCAAGATACATGTGGATGGAATTGCAGCCTATATGTCTGGTGGACTGCACTACTGTGATTCTCTGTACCCTGTTCTACCTAGCTTGAGAATTTACAGTCCACATATTTCACTCTTCTGGAATAATCTCCTCATCTGTAAAACTGAAGTCAGGATTGGGGCATAATGCCAGAGGTCATGGAAATATGTCAATAATATTATAGACAACTCATCATGACAGTCCTCATAGCCAAACCTTCAACGGGAGGCTAAAAACCTCAAGCAACTGTGTTGATCTCTATCAACAGGCCAATTCTAGCAGTTTTCATCTCAGCAGGTCTTTTACAAAGCTGCTGGGGGTTACTTGTCCATTCAAGACAAGTCTGCCCTGAAATACTTGGTGTTACAACTGCATACCATTACTGTGAACATTCATTATTTTCCTTCCTTCCACAACTACTGCGAGGACTGGACCTAAGCCGAGAAGGAACAGAATTCTGAGGGGGGAGGCAGATGACATCAGCACCCCGCTAATTGAAAAGTGCTGTCTCCATGCCCCTGACATCTCCAGCTAGGACACTGAATGGGCAGCTCAAGAGGGAAGAGGAAAACAGCTGTATCAGAGTCAAATTGTATTGCTTTAGAACAGCTGTAGAAGACTCTTGCGAGTCCCTTGGACTGCAAGGAGATCAAATGAGTCAGTCTTAGAGGAGATCAACCCTGACTGCTCTTTAGAAGGCCAGATACTGAAGATGAAACTCAATACTTTGGCCACCTAATGAGAGGGAAGGACTCCCTGGAGAAGAGCCTAATGCTGGGAACAACAGATGGCAAAAGAAGAAGGGGACGGCCGAGAATGAGGTGGCTAGATGGAGTCACTGAAGCAGTAGGTGTGAGCTTAAGTGGACTCCGGGGTATGGTGGAGGACCGAAAGCCCTGGAGGAATGTTGCCCATGGGGTCACGATGGGCTGGACACGATTTTGCAACTAACAACAACAACAAGAAGAACAGCACATACAGCAGGGCAGTGAGAAAGGTATGATGATTATTTGGTATGACGGATTTAAAAACTATCCTAAAGATACTTCAGCTATCATGAAGTCTCTTCCCTGATAAATGCACTCACATAATATAAAACTGTGGAAATATAAGAATGTGAGTTCAATTGGCATATACTAAGGACTGAAAATTACAAAACACAAATATAATATTAATTGGTGGCCTGATGCATTCAGTTATGAACTTTCAAATTGGAAATTTTCATGCTCCTGATATATACTACATATAGATATCTCATATAGATATCTGTTAAGCAGAATAGAAAGTTTGAACAAACAGGAAAATGCATATTTCAATATATTTTACAAAATTAGTGTAGTTTTCTCACTTATTTTAGGCCAAGAGAACAAATGGTCTAAGTAAAATACGCACAATTCTATTTTGACAGATCAAGAGAAAAAGAAATATAATCACCAGGATAGGATTGTGGAGAAATTTCTTGAACTTCTGCTGTCTTGGATTCTGAAGGCCATTCTTGACTTTCATTCTGAGCTATGTAAGGCAAAAAGTAGGATTTAATAAACATATGGTCCTCGCATTATAAAATAAAATGCAAATAACTGACCATGCTGCCTGCAAAGAATCTGACAAGAATTTAAATGAATGGAAATACAGTCTCATTTCTTCCTTTTCCCCCAGTAATGAAGCATCTAGAATCACCACTCTAAATATTGTTGTATCTTCCATGGCACCTAGTGTCAGAAATGGAGACAACTGCACTCCCTTTTCTAACCAGAGTGACTCTGCAGATAATACACCTAAAACAAATGCATGTTTTGTACGAGCTAGTCAGAGACCTTGCTACATCTTCTTGCAGCAATGTGGAAAATAAAGGTTAAAAAACACACAAGCACAGAATGTTTAATTGTGCAGGAAAAGTATTAACAAAAGGAGTTGAAACTCCACACAAAACCACAAATTTCAGTTAAATGGACTTCATCTGCCAATCTGTTATTTCTAAATTCCTTATTTAGGGGCAACTCATCAGTTCTGGAGCCTGAGCAGAAAAGGTAGTCTTTCCACATAATGTCAAAACAAGTTTTGAAATGTAGAGTAATTAAATAGCAGATTTGCAGGTCTGCCTTCTGTTTTGAAAAGCATTCTGCTGGACAAGTTTGAAGCAAATATTTCATTCAGATGGGCATATTCCAGTCCAGACCAGTCCAATATGGGCATGATCCAGCTCATGATGGGTACAGCATCCAGGACTTCATAGGCTCCTCAGAGCCCCATTTTCTACCCTCCTTTTAGCTATGGCCACTCATGAAACAATGAGGGGCCATCACAATGAATGGGACATCTAAGTACACCTTCCAGATCAGTTCAAGTGACTTGCTCCCTAGAGCAACTTGTACCAAGATGAAAGCGCAGCTGGATGAAGATCTGGAGAGGTTTCACATGCCTACTAATGCCTTGTCTGACTCTGTGGATGTGCATGTTTAGCTTATCAGTGCAGAATTTAAGAGAGAGCTATTTACATTTTGTCAGGATGGTGAAGACAGATGATAATGGGCCCTCAGAGGCTGGACTCCCTGGTTTCCATTTTCAGTACATTAAGCAGAAGCTTGAGCGGTTGGACGGAGAGAAAATGTCCCTTTACAGCACAGCTGGGCCTCAAAGTAGAGATGCAGACATGTTCAATTGTATTTAGTTCTAGGGAGAGAAGAATGATTCTTTTCTCCCTAGAACTAAAAGGAAAGCCTAAGGACTTTCCTTGCTGGAGAAGACTCCAGCAAGTCCCTTGGACAGCAAGGCGATCAAACTGGTCAGTCCTAGAGGAGATCAACCCTGACTGCTCTTTAGAAGGCCAGATACTGAAGATGAAACTCAATACTTATGCCACCTAAGGAGAAGGAAGGACTCACTGGATAAGAGCCTAATGCTGGGAACAATTGATGGCAAAAGAAGAGGGGACGGCAGAGAATGAGGTGGCTAGATGGAGTCACTGAAGCAGTTGGTGTGAGCTTGAGTGGACTCCGGGGGATGGTGGAGGACAGGAAGCCCTGGAGGAATGTTGTCCATGGGGTTGCAATGGGTCAGACATGACTTCACGGCAAACAACAACAACAACAAAGGGCTTTCCTACCTCATGCACTTGGACAGAACTTGGATGTGCACATCCTTTGGTTTTTGTAGGAACCCACTAGATACTAGCTCAAGTTTATTAGATGGGTGGATCAAGAGCCCCTGATCTTTCTCTCTTTAGCTGTCTGTGATGGTATCAGGGGTATTTCTATACTCACTGCTTGCTTGGTGCTGCTAATTATAGGTTCTATCAAACATGTGCCAGTCCATAATACATGGCTAATGGATTGCTTAGCTTCTGAGAAGCTTGGCAAGTCTGATCTACATAATCCACCTGAAATCTCACCACTTACAATGTAGCCTTGTTTCTGCTTACCCAGTGTTTTCTTTGGTGTTTCAGATATATCCAATCTCACGGGAGAAGGCAGTTTCTGTTGAGTTCCACTTAAATCTGGAATGATAATGTGCACTACACACAGAGGTAAATGAAACATGCATTAAGGGCTCATTCCAGCTGGGGCGCCTGTAACTCTCCAAACTCAGGACATTGCAGGCATCCTGCGCAGGGTGGGAGCAGTGCAGAGCAAATGTCATCTCTGTGCTCCTCCTGCCCTGCAAAACACTTAGATGGTTACTTTGGGATGTTTAAGTAGAATGAAGGAAGGAGGATGAGGCACTTCCAACAAGCTTCCCATTATGGTAATATCTGTTTTCTCTCCCTGTCCTTCTGCAACACAATTTTTTTCTGAATTCCTATTTATGAACTTGAAGAAAACAGCCAGTGCTGTTATTTCACCTTGATAGCAAGGTATGGGGAGGTACTCTAATCTGTTTCCAGGGCTGGAGCTGAAACTCCAAATATCCTATGGCTATCTAGTCACAGTCTAGTAGCCATAGGGTCAAGCTGTTGTAATTATTTTTCTAATGAAGATTTTCTTTCTCTTGGAAGCATGGAAAATTCAGTATTTACCTAAAAGCAGTATTTATTATTTTAATTATTAAAAGCTTTTCCTAACCCGTTCACCACCAGCATCTCGGGAAGGCTTATAATAAAATATATATATTTACATATTTATGTATATATAACAGGCCTCTTTGCGAGCTCCAACCAGATTTCATTAACAGAAAGTATTTTTACTTATTTGCAGATGTGAGCATCTCAAACAGAAAGTTTGTGCATACTTAGTAGTAGTAGTAGTAATGTCATAGGATTTTATTTTTGCCTGTTTATAATTTTTTATTTTTTTAAAAAAATCCTGTGTGCCAGTTTGAAGGGCTTTTACTCTTAAAAGTGATTTATAATAATAACAAAATAACAAGAGTAAGAGTAATGGGGGGCAGGTTACCCATAAGATTGCTAATTTTTTTTACAGATTTACAGATCACTTTTTAATTTTTTTTACATTTACAGATCATTTTATCTATAAGGCTAGATCTTTCCCCGTCTCACTAGGTTTGGGTACAATATTAGTAAAATCCAAAGCAACTTATATCCATTGAAAGGAAGAGAACTACAAAAGAAAAGGCTGAAAGTGAATGATAAAACATCTGTTAGAAATAAGGAGCTTCTTAGTCACCTTGTATTGGTCCTGATACAGGGAACTTCTCTGGGCTTTTAGACTGTGCCCGATGTGTGATATTTTGAAGTACTGTGGAAATAAGCATGGAACTTTTAGAAATCATTTGACCCTTTGTCATGTAATAAGTATGTATATGGGAGCAACTGCATTTGAAATGACTGTTCTTCAACAGTCTGATTAGCTGCAAAATTGCAAATTAAGTTTTCTTTCATGTGATCATTATTTTTAACAACATATAGCCTGCAATAATCAGGACTAATGGGAGGTATTATTGTTATTACAGTACCATGAGTTGAAAAGCAAAGTTGTGTTGGTAAATAAAACTGGATGGATGAGACTCTGAAAATATTTCATGATGGGATTGCTGTCTAATTGCAGCAAAGACATTTTGGGTGTGGTGGACATGTAGGGGCTGTAATAAGTCAGAACAATTGCGTAAAATTCCTTAATGAATAGCCAAGTTGCTAGAAATCTATTTTCTCTGAGAAATTACAGGTAAATGGCCCACAGTGACTAGGAAAAGGCTGGAAATACCTCTGTAACATGATTTACTGGAAGAGGATAACAAGTCTGAATGTAAGATATTCTCATCAAATTCTTCTTAAAGAAGATGCATAATAGCTCTGTTTTGCATGCATCTGAGCAGCCAAAGGACATAAATTGGGATGTTTCTGCCTATGGGATACTGGCATGAGCTCCTTTTCTACTGCTGAAGCATGGAGAGCAGAGGAGAGGAGAGGAGAGGAGAAGAGAGCAGAGGAGAGCAGAGGAGAGGAGAAGAGAGCAGAGGAGAAGAGAGCAGAGGAGAGGAGAAGAGAGGAGAGGAGAGTTAATTCAGTTCAAGATTTACTCTTGCCTTTTCTACAGGTATGAGAAGCTCTGTTATATGACTTGTTCAGACATGTTTAATCATGCATGTGTGAGGCATTAACAGATACTAGTGAGTTTGCTTAAGGAGGGGAGATTTGAGGAGTTTTCCGCCATTCATAACATAAGCATATCCTTTTGTCCCATCCTCATCCTCAAAGCTAGCAAAACTATATGCACATGTTCTTTTCATGCACAAAGAAATGCTATCCATTCTCTATATGTCAAGCATAAAAATCATGCAGATTACCTTGTTTGATTATTGTAATGGGAATTCGAGCTTTTGAATCTACTGGTATAAACTGAAGGGAAGAAACCAATATATAAAGACAGTGATCTGTTATTATTTATTATTACATGATATTACTTCTTTTTTGATAACACAAAAATATAGTTGTGAATGTCTACAACTGAAAGAAAGATCAGAATATCTCTGATATGAAATTCCACAATTGTAGTGCTATTATTCCATTGCATTAGCTTGCATAAAACGAGTAAGAATGTTCAGATAAAACCAGTAAGAATGTACAGAATGTACAGGAAAATCTGTGTTTTATGGATTGTCTGATGCCTTTTGTTCCATTAGTTGCTCACTGACAGAACCCATGAGCAGATGACAGTCAATTCACATTAACAGAACTTAGATGGAATGGAACAGAACTTGCATTTGTGAGCCAATTAATTAATGCCAATCGGTGAAATCCTTTGAAGACAAGAAGAACCATGTGGGATCAGACCAATGTTTATCACACCTCTATCACTTCTTCCCTTACTCACTTTTTCAACTGGGTCTGAACAGACCCAGTTGTGGTAGCTGCTTCTTACAGAGGAGTTGCTCCATCCCCCTGATCATTTTTGTTGCCCTTCTCTGTACTTTTCCCAATTCAATAATGTCCTTTTTCAGATGAGGCAACCAGACCTGAACAGAATATACTAAGTGTGGTCATACCAAGAATTTGTATAATGGGAGTAAGATTTTGGCAGTTCTATTTGATTTGCACTAGTACACTATAACACTAATTTGAACTTATGCACGCATGCTAATCTGCATGAGTTACTTCTAATTAGTACAGCCCCCTTCCTTTCACCAAAAAGTGAAATACCAGTATGCAGTTCTGTATGACTGGAAAGGTGCTGGTCTGCTGTGGAATCTACAGCTGTGATCCATAGAAATCTGTACTCATTTGACTATGTTACAGATTTCAGCAACATCCCTATCACCAGACTAAAATCCATTGAAAGTGGTTTCTGTAACTTCATAACACTGAAAATAATGCCAGTAAAGAACAGTAAGAGATGTTTGTGGTGGGAAGGCATATCTCATCCATCTAAAGACAGATAGAACTACCAGGCTTAGTTCTAGAAATATCAGATTTTCTAATCTAATTTAAACAAGTTGAGGATAGTATACTCATGCTACAACATGTTGACTAGAGTTGCCTGTTGCCACAGAACTTGGCAGTAATTTTATAAAAATCTTAAGTAATTATTTGGCATTGACAAACATATGAACAGAGGTAATTCATCTGATCTTTTGGAATTTCAGTTACTTTTGTTGAGGTCAAACGTACATTTAAAAAAGCTAACTAGTCATGGCATGAACTAGTTAGTCCAATAACAAATTAGCAAATGATTAAAGGAAAGGGTATAATTTATGCCACAGCCTCATCCACCCAATAAAGTGAGATGTGCATAGTTGCAGCAGAAAATAAGTTTATATATTAACCAAACATCTCCCAAAAGAAACCACAGTCCTAGGACTGTTTGCATTACCTCTTCCATAACTCCCAGCTGTTGGCTAAATATATCTTTCAGGAGTCTCAGTATAAAATACAGAAAAGGGGAGAAAACTGCTCTCCTTTTTAGTTTGCTTATCTAATTTCCTCCCAAAGGATCAGCCAGTTCTTCTGACTTGCCTGTCCTGAGATTGGTGCACCAGCCTAGCTTTAGCTGACTTAATTCTGGAACTGATTGTGTTCATCCCTAAGCTAGAAGTTATGTTGTGTAATCCAGTCTAGCTGCAATACATGGTACAATCAAATCACGATCTACCTGATTTTCATAAAAATCATATAAATGGTACAATCATGATTTGACTGCTTGGACACTGAAAATAAAATAAAGATGATTAACTCTCAAAACAGGATTGTGGAATTAAGCATTGCATTTTGGCTTTCACATGTGATTGCTGCATTGTCATGTAGGTATCAGTTTTTATTTATCCATAGTATGCTGTCTCTTTTTTATTTATGTTATTGCTGCCCTGAGACACTGTGAAGGATGGAATACAAAATTTAAAAATAGATAAATAAATAGTAATAGATTTTAGGAGGAGGAGTGCTGGTGGGTTCCAACCAGGCTGTGAGCTATGGAGAATTAGAGGTCTCAGTAATCAGACTTAAGCACTTCTGCAAACTGGTGAAGCCCAGTCAGCATCCTGTGGATAACAGCTTGAAATGCCATGTAGAGAAGTATGAGAATTCCATTTCAGGGGTATAAACTTGATGAATTTCTCCAGCCTGGCCCTGAAGATTCTGTTCTGTTTCCCTCTCACTGGCATCAGCCCAATCTGTAGTGAGTTCAGACAGGATGCAGTTTCTCCTTCTTCTGTAATTTTTTAAATGGAGGAAATGTGGGCAGTTTAGGTCATCTTGAAATTTGCACATATGGTGTGCCTTTTTTAACCTTTCAAAGAGGTCCTCTTGTGCAAGTGAACATAATTGCAAGTCTGTCTGTTCGATATGTAGCCCCATAGAAGGATATTTCCCTCTTGTAAATATCTTTTCATCTTCACTGCAAAGGAAGATCTTTAGCCCAGCAGAATAAAGAAATTGTCAATTTCATGTTCCACTTCAATACTGGGGTGAACAAATGGCTGGGTTGGAGATGGAAAGAACTGAGAGGCTCTTTGAAAAATAAAGGGTATGGGCTAAGTGAAGTAGTACTGGGCTAAGCCAGGTAGTGTGAGGACAGGAACCTGTCAAGGATATTTACAAGAGGGGGAAATGTCTCTGTCTGGCTATATAATAGACAGGCAGATTAGCAAGCATGCATGCTCAGGTAAGTCTGCAAAAATAGATCAGTAGATTGATGTATCAATACAGTTATGGCACCATTTGCACAAACATCAGGACCACACCCCTCTGGAACCAACAAAAACAATCCATTTCATTCTGCTGCTGGAATACATATGGAGATGCAGTGATGAAATTTTCAGTGTTGCACATCCCTTGTTGTCACATTTTGTGGAATAACAAGCAGTCTTGTGACCAGCTCACCCAGGGCGATTACACCATTAACAATAAGACAACTTACTGAGTTGTCGCTCACATCTAAATATCTATGTGGTAATTCAGTAATGGAACTTCTGGTTAGAAAGTGGACCTAGAAGCAGCCTCAGATGGAGTTTTCAGGAAGGGCTTCATTATTCATTATGCTATCTACAAGAATAATAGTTGAATAGTCTAAGATGCTATTAGTGGGAAATGCCCACTAATAATTTCAATACTGAATTAAAATTATTCCTGGATTGTAATCAGTTTCAGTCTAGATTGAAGCCTGGCAAAGAAAATAACAGAGGATCTTTTATCACCAAGTTTTCTGTAAGATGCAGTCCCAATGCATCTTCTTCCAATAAAGTCAGACATAATCTTACAGTGAATAAAGGTCTCCTACTCTGAGAGAATAATATTCATGTAACAAATGAGCAAGGATAAAACAATTATAAACCAGGTGTTTCACCTCTGAAAATATTATTGTTCCTTGCCCTGAACTCACATCTGTTGTAGATTTGATATTCAAATGTAAATAGGTCAATTATATCCAGTTTTTCTTGAAATTGTTATAGACTAGGTACTTTTTTGATTTTGAGAAAGAACACCCAGTCTTCCTTGATACAGTTTAGTAACATTGTTTGCATATTAACCAAATGTTGTTTGTTTTTTAAACCAAAAGGAAATTCTACTATATGCATATTAGATGTATTCATTCTATATAAATCGTACCAGTCAATACAAATAAATTGAAATGCATACCGTTGGAATTTTAGATAATTTGATATTGTTCTGGAGTTGTCCATTTTCTTTGCTTTTGCCTAACATAAAAATACAGCAAAATTATTCTCTTCTCTAATACAAAGAAAAAATAATTGCTCTCAAATGTATGATATTTTTAAATTGTTTTCCAATTGTTATGACAGTTTGCTATCAACCAATTATGAATTTATTTTCCCATCCCTCTGCTTAAATTTAAACCTCAGTCTTCCCAATTACTTTGCAGACTACATGCACACATAATTAGCGGATGTAATAGCCACATGTGGATCTCATGTCTTGACTAACTGAAGATGTAATCGTTATTCAGCTTCTAGCATGCGTGTTGCTGTTTCTTCATTAATTCCTTTTTGTCACTTGTTTTCCATCCTAAAGCTAGCAATGTATAATAAGGAAGATCACCATATGCCCACAGCAGGGGTTGCCAAAGCTCTTGTTGAAGATGCCTCACTTTTCAGGCTATGACCTCTTGCGGCCAGGAGGAAGCATAACTGTGCCATGGTTAACAGACACTGGGAAAGAGCAGGTTATATTGGGTGCTCGAAGCCTCTTGATACCAGGAAAGGAAACAGTTGCCAGGGCTGGAACTGCTTGAGAAGGGTGTGAAGAGAAATGAAAATGCTGTCAACAAGATTACATACTGTTCTGGTAGGCCGCTTAGAGGTACCATGGCATCAGAGAGGGTTTCTTACTTCTCACCTGCATGCTCTTTCCTGTATAAAAAATAGACCTTGTCCCCATGTCTGCATAAGTCCTGAGGGCCACTGTGGTAGTGCAGTGGGACTTGGGCGATCCGGGCTCTAGCTCTCATTCAGCGCACTGGGGGACTTTCAGCCAGTCACTGACTCCCAGACTTACCTGCCTCAGAAGATTGTTGTGAGGAGGAAATGGAAAGAAGGAGCAGGAGGGTTATGTAAACTGCCTGCCCCTTTCAGGAAAAAAAAAAAGGCTAGGAAAAAAATAGAATCAAACAGGCATGCCTGCCCCATTGCATCTATCTTGGCCCTTTAAACTGTAAAATCTGGAAACTGCTTCATGTTACTTACCAGGAACAGCCATCTTGTGACTGAAACTCTTGCTCCAGATCCCATTATCAGTATTGTCTTTCACTCCAAATTCATACACTGTGTTAGGTTTCAGATTGTCCACCACTGTTTCTGTAGTTGGGCAAAGCTGAAGAACCCACTTCTTATTCTTGTCCTTTTCTCTGTAGCGAACTGTATAAAATCTAGTCAATAAAAAACAAATGTTTAATTTTAATTGAAGAAAAGAAAGATGATTTAACAATGCAGAACTGTCATGCCTTTTCATTTAAACAACACGTATGAAGTCATGTATTTCTTGGTTTTAAACAAAAACCACACTGAAATTTATTTCAGGAATTCTACATAAATATTTGATTCTCTCTTACTTTCACAGTCTTTTGAGTTATCAGACATTGACTATCTAAAAGAGGTGAAATGATAACCCAATTATTGTCACTATATTAAATCCAATATTACAAATTAGTTGACATAATAAAGCAGTATATCACAGATTCAACTTTTTTAAAAAATAAAAATGAATTCCTCATGCTATATTAAAAATGTCTAATTAGAATCTTCTGAAAAAGTTTAAGAATCTATTTAATGTATCCAATTGCTAAATTCAGTATTTTCTAGTCTTCAAAACAATAGCTATTTGAATTATTGCATGAAAATAATTTGCTGGACAATCATGTTCTCTTAAGAACATAAGAAAAGCCATGCTGGATCAGACCAAAGGTCCATCTGGTCCAACACTCCATGCATACACATAGTGGCATGGTCCCACAAGATCCCTCAAACAGGATAGATGCAAGTCCTTCTCCTGCCCAAGCTTCTTTGCAACTGATGTATGCAGGTATGCCACCTCTCTCCATGCACACATCCCTGCCAACCAACCTTAAGAACACCTGCCTCCAAAAATGGGAGTGGTTCACCCTTTCCACTTTCCTGAATGCTTAGTGTCAGAGGAAAGTATACAAAAGTGGGGATTCCTCAGAGAAGCCAGATCCAACCCCGCAACCACCTCCTACCAACTGATAGCTGGACTTGACCACCTGATTTTGCTATTAGTATATAGGATATATACTTATTTCCTGGGTGCTAGCATAGAATAGTGGCTAAGAGAGTGAGCTGTGACATTTGAAGTTTCATAAGCATATTATCATAATGATGTTTATAAGAAAGCAATAAGGCAGTTCAGTAATATGAATATCTTTTCCTGATTCTGAACAGAGAGTTACCATCTTGTGTAAGGAAACACATTAAGTTCAAAGCAGAGGTAGCATTTGAATTAGGGATTTACTGTCTTAGCTACTACACTATTACAGCTCTCAGAAATTCTGTATCAGGAAGATAGTTGCTCAAATCTTGTTTTTATGTTTCAACTATCTCCTCTCTTTAGAATTTCCTACTTTAAAAATATGAACTAGAACTAATGTAGTCAACATATATTTAATGAAAGATGTTCAGTTTAATTGTTACCACTTAATGTTAGTAAATGATTGGCCTCCAGATAGAAAAACATGAAGACATCTTAAAAGTCTTTACAAGTTATGCCAATTCCTCCACTTAATTCAGCCATTCCTATTATTTGTACTTATGAGACTAAAGCAAAACAAAACAAAACAAAGCAAAACAACAGATGCCAGAGCATAATGAAACCTTATGGAATAGATCCTGAAATAACAATATAACTGCATGAGCATATGAACAGCTACCTAATTAGAAGCATACAAAACTTCACATAATAAATTCAATTATGATTGATAAAAAAGAATATCTTGGGTAGGAAAAGCCTAAAATACAGAACAGTTCTATTGATGATGCCCAAACTACGATGGTGGTTAATATTTCTTATGACATAAAATACCATATTTGCCACAGCTTGTCAAATGATTTAAAAAATACTTTTCAAATATTCCTATTTTTGCCACTGAGCACGTTTGTTAGCATAGCCAGTATTTCTCATTAGAGTTATCCCCCACCCCCCATTTTTGATCTCAGAACCTCCATTCTCTCACATGAATCTGTTTGCCAATGGTGGTTAATGGAGATCTGAGCATCTGTAATGTCATCATGTCAGAAACAGCATTGAGACATCTGTCCGCATCATGTGGGTCACCATAGCAATAGTGTTAAACGGCATTGTGGGCCAATGAGGACTGAAATGGCAAAAAAGTTTATATTCAAAGTGGAATGGCAGTGAAATAGTACACATGGGTGGAATCCAAAGTTGCACAGCTGGACATTGGCTTGTTTGCTGGCACTAGCTCCTTCTCCCCACATGCTCCAGGCAGTTCCCCAGTCGTCCAGAGGGATTTTGAGAGTGCACAAGAGCTGGGAAATAGAATCCCCACGGTTTGGCAATTCCATCAGTGGAACTACTTCATTGGATTTCTCCCAGGTTTTTTCTGAAGCAACGTGCCAAATAATGCTGAAAGTAGCAAGGGGGTGTTGGCACTCATCTAAGGAACATGACAAAAGGTAATAATTTCCAGATGGGTAGCCCTGTCTTGTGGCACCTCAATGACTAAAATATGTATGCATCTGATGACGTGGACAGTGTCCATGAACACTTATGCCAGAATAAGTTTCTTAGTCCTTAAAGTGCCATAAGAATCTTTGCTGTTTTGACAAAAGGTAAGTAGTTTTGACTTAGCCTGAGGCCAGACTATTAGGATTCATCATGTCACTGTCCCATCTCATGAATATAAAGGCTTCATGTCTAAGCATATCTTTGGAGCTTACATTTATGGAAAGAGCATTGCACTGCTCTTCAAGTTAATCTCTCATCTCATGAATGTAAACTCTTCATTCATAAAGCAAAATCTTAGGATTCAAGCCAAACAGGAAAAGATTCATTCATAATCTTCACAAGGTAATTTACTGTCTTTATTAATTTACAGATTCAGAACATCTTTAGTTGATTACCTGCCGTTTGCACAGTTATTCATTGTTGTCCAGTCATGCTTTGGGTTGACTAGGACTCCCCATGACAAGAAGGCAGAAGTTGGAGTTAAAGTGCCTATAACCAACTGAAGGGGTTTTAGTTTGTTCATTTTACCTGTTTAAGAAAGGCACAGACAATTCAATGTTTATACATTTATATATTTGAAGATGCAGCTCAAGTGTACAACTCATCATACCAGCCAGGTATTGCAGTTGACCTGAATTCATCATAACTCAACTTTGTGTTTTTCTCCTGCCTGAAATGGCCTAAATATGGATGTTCTGAGGTATCTACCAAGCCACAGTTAATGGCAGGTGGGCTGCTTTCAGCTAATACAAACAAAGTCTGACTCAAAGGCAATATCTATTGTGTTTCAAGGCAATAGAAACTAAGGGCAGATATTCATGGCGTATAATCACATTTGTAATGGTGCAGAATGGAGTCTTGAGCAGTCTGACAATCATCAAAACCAAGATACATTGTTCAGTTCATCCACCTATTTTTTGTATAGCACTAAAAAATTCAGGGCACAATCCAATAGTGCAATTATGTGGACACCCCATATCTCAATCCTGCCCTCCCATTCATCTTGATACAAATGACTAATGCTGTTATCAGCATGCACAGATCTCTTACTCATCTTACCACCATCATTAGGCCATATGCTAGCTGAGCTGATAAAAAGGCTTCATTTAGCCTTCTGGACATTGTCTGTAAGTGGGCACTACAGCCACAGTGGACGGGTTCATTCTCCAAGTAATTTACAAAGCAAAACAAAAGTTTCTACTTACTTTGGTTTATGATCTGGAAAGAATTTCTTCATAAACTAGAAGCAAGTTACTGTTTTGAACCTCATTTTCTGAGCAGTCAGATAGTTTGTGAATGTTTCAAAGTATCCCAGCAGTAAACTGGCTATTATCTTTCTCTGAAAAGGCTATACCTCCCTTAAGAATGGGTAAATAAATCTGGAAAGTAATTGAACTTTAAACATGTATTTTTAAAAAAGTTTAAAATGCAAAGTCTTAGTCCTCTAAGGACACTAAATTAGTTGAATTATTATAATTTGTTCAGCCATTGCTCAAATGTGGGATCTGTCATCTCAGCTGAAAAATGTTTGTGTCTCCTGACTGTTTATGGAAAATTGTTTAGTATTGCTACATTACCTGAACAGGGTTTCTTGTAATTTGGAACAGGTGCTGGCCTCACTGCAATCAAGTATCTTGGCTCTGCATCTGGAAAATGTTAGAATGACCCAATTGTAAAACTTGATGAGTTAAAAAAGTACATTAACAATGAAGAGCATATACCACAACTTATGACAGTCTATGGTATGATTCCTCTGAATTATTTCAATAAGTTTTCAAAATATACCAGGACTATGCCAAAATACATTCACTCATGAAAAGCAGCTTCCTCCTCAACTCAGAATTCTGGCAATCCTCGTCTAATATTTCATCAAAAACCTGGCATTATATTTCTAGAAACCCTGTGTGATCTGGTGACTAGAGTATAGAATTGAGACTGTGAGACCCACATTCAAAGCTCCACCCTGCCCTGAGCCTCACTAGATATCTTCAGGCCAGCTCCACCCTACCCCGAGCCTCACTAGATATCTTCAGGCCAGCTCCATGCTGCCCCGAACCTCACTAGATATCTTCAGGGGGTTGTTGAGAGGCTACAGTGAGGTAGGGGAGGATCATACAGGCTACCTTGGACTTCATGTTGAGAATGTGAGAGCCAGTGTGGTGTAGTGGTTAAGAGCATGGGACTGGAACTCAGACGATCTGGGTTCGAGTCCCCACTCGGCCATGGAGCCAACTGGGTGACTTTGGGCCAGTCACAGACTCTCAGCCCAACCTACCTCACAGGGTTGTTGTTGTGGGGATAAGATGGAGGAGGAGAATGATGTAAGCTGCCTTGAGCCCTTTGTAGGAAAAAGGCAGAATATAAATCGAAAAATAAATAAATAAATAAATAAATAAATAAATAAATAAATGTAACAGATATAAGCAAGCAAGCAAGGATCTATATTTATGAATATGATCTTTGAATTGTAAACAAACATGACACACAAATTTCTTTAAAGGGTAGAATTATAGTGTGTTCACTGTTCCATCTTCTCAATCAGTCTGCAGTCTTATAGTGCCATTAGAATTGTTGCACTAGCCTCCTACTATTTGGGAAATATTAGAGATTTATAGGAATGCTCAGCTATCATGGAGGCTTGGAGTGGTGTGTTCATTAATGCACCTTTGTCTGAAAAGCTTCAGTGGAACATGACCCCCCCCATATATCCCTAACTGAACCCTTAAAAGGCTGTTGTCTAAGGAAATGGGTGACCCCTTTCTCGACCCCCCCCCCCACTATGGGTAGTGATGGGTAGCACTGGCCAAAGAGTGAAGCTAGAGATTCATAAGGCTTCATTAAGCCCACATTGCAGGATGAGATGAAAGCGTTGGTCACCCTAAGATAAATGGAAGTACTTCTTTATACAGTGCAAAGTTAAACCATGGAATTCACTGATTGCCACCAGTTTTGATGGCTTTAAAGGGGGATTGGAATAATCCATGAAGGAGAAGGCTATCAGTGGCTAGTGTCAGAGGCAATATGCATACATACACCTGTTACATGAAACATGGGCAGAAGGATGCTGTTGCACTCATGTCTTGCTTGTGAATTTCCCATAGGCAGGTGGTTAGTCACTGCCTGAACAGAATGCAGACCAGATGAACCTTGGTCTGCTCCAGCATGGCTTTTCTTATATGAGCCATTCAGTTCTTGTGCAGGAAGTTCCAAATGGAGAGGAATGCTGAGCACATTGCCACCTACCTGCCCATTCATTGACTGTGCTAGAAACATTAGTCACCTCATTCAGTGGGAATTGCCACACTTGGCCCAAATTGGCCAGGGAAATAGGGTAGCTGTTGCTAACTCAATGCTGTTATAAGATTTGGTGGTAGACCTGCAAGGCTGATTTTGCTAATATATGCAATACCATCCATCCATTCATCCATACATGCATCTACACACTATATGCAGGTAAAAGGGAATTATAGGAACAAGGACAGTGGAAAGCAACCTGGGGCATCTGTTGGTTGATGTAAGGAACTTGTCATCCAGCCCACAAACCTTTTTCCCAGGAAGTGTGCCTCTTTCAGTAGGGATAACACCTTTATCACTTATCACTTGCTTGCTATATAAAGAGAAAGATGTCTTTTCTCAGCACTAAGTAGAAAAACTCTTATCTATCATCAGGTCTCTGCCAGAATGAACATAATTATGCGAGAAAAGTGGTCAGGCTCCAGGGATAAAGTTGCTGAATGTCTTAAGTGTTCCTTACTCCTGCAGCTTGTCTTGCAGTGGCTTGTCCTACTTACTTCTGAATAGACATGTAGATGCTTGCCTTGTTTATGTGTGAGATCATGCCTCTCATGCTTGTTTTTGAGTAGATATGCTTGATTCTTTTGAGTAAGCTTAATAAACTGAGTAACCTGCCTTTGCTATAGTCACTTTGCCTTTGGCTCTTCCCACAGTTGGAATATATCCCTTGAGACTTTTGCTAGATTGGAGTTTGGCTGAAGAGCTGACAGAGATTCCTTATCCCTGCCCTTGGTCAGCTTCTCAAGACCACTGAGTTTCAAATGAAAGGAATCTGGACTGCTTGAGGATTGCCTTCCTTTAGGACTGCAAGGCTCAGCGAGTGGTGATAGGGACATGACTGCCTCACAACACCTTAACAGGAGTGACTCTAGCAGTGCAGGGCACTGCTTTAAATGTTGGTTGTGGCTGACCCCCCTTCATGGATCACTGCCTTGTCGTAGCAAAGGGGCTTGTGTGGCTCAATGAAGCTATGAGCTATGCTGTGCAGGGGCACCCAAGACGGACAGGTCATAGCAGAGAGATCTGACAAAAGGTGATCCACTGGAGAAGGAAATGGCAGCCCACTCCAGTATCCTTGCCGTGAAAACCCCATGGGCAGTACCAAAAGGCAAAAAGATACAACACTGGAAGAAAATGCATCCTGCCACAAAATAGTCATCTGTACTGGGAGCTGGGAGTCAGTGTCCACTAGCAATAGTTAATCTCTTCCAGATTTTATTTAAACCAACAAACAATCCAGCTTCTTTATCACTGGGTCTAAGACAAACATATTACTAGAGGTATGCCAGAGATTTCTGATTCTCCCTCAGTACCAAAAGAAAACTTATTATATAAGTAGGCAATTTAGCTGTGGAAAGCACCTTTTCAATAAAGATTATACAACAAATCAGATAGTTAATCATTCTCTAAAGAGCTGAAAATGTCTTGGATCACATGGGAATGTACACATGTGCAACTCAAATCTGTTACACTAATAGTAATTTACATAAAGGTTGTTGCTACAAACAGGAGTGCACAAGTTTTGATCAAAATAAATTGCTGGCTAGGAGCATTGACTGAGAACAAGTTTGCATGTTCTTCACAAATCTTGTTCATATTTGGAAACAATGAAATGAAGCAAACCAAAGCCAAACATGCTGATATTTTTACTCACAAGCTAACACATTCTTAGTACATTCGATATGTTTTGGAAGAACACATGCTTATGTGGTAAGAGGCCACAAGTTCATGGTTATGTTTCTAGTGAAAACCAGCTAACTGCATCCAAGTGTTGATCAAAATAAACTGATTAAAACAATGCTTAGGAAAGAAAAAAGATTTTACTGCAAAGAGGCAAAACATTTTTGGTGTGTGGGTATGTGTGTGTTTACATACATTTCTCCCATAGATCAGAATCAGGGTTTCAACCTTTCCATTTTTTTCAAATATTCAGACAATTTAGGATCCACTTGGCACTCCATCTCAGCTCATTCATATTGTAATGGGGAATAACATGATGAAATAGCCTAGCTACCTGAATCTCTTATTAAGAGCCCATGACAATTAGATATGCGGATTAAATATAACTAGAGGATAATCAGAAATGAACCCCAAATTATAAATATTTTAATAAAGAAAATGTTGTTGAAAATAAAGAAAAATATAAATTTGACCACTGAATTTCAAGGATATACGGAGGGAGCATTGATTTAACTATCGGGTTTCTTTACATTAGGTATTTATTGAGCTTATGGACCCTCATCTATGGACATTTGCAGGTCTTTTTCACAGCCTTGTCAGCCTCCAGGGCTTCTCTCAAGTTTTCCAGCCAAGTTTTCTGAGATGGTGCCAATATTTGCTACAGAAACCTAACATATTTTTCCAGTTCTGCTCTATAGTACAGTGCCCCCTTGTATTGCGTAATGGAACATGAAGGAATACATAGGAAGGCAGAGAGGGAAAAACCTTGTGTGAAAGATGCTGTAATCTCACGAAGAAAACAAGAGGAGCCTTAGTAAAGCACTAAGTTATATACCTCATGTAGAGAAGTCCAGTAGTTACTATTTTAGAGCCAAGTATTCTGGGTTACAATCAGGCATCTGTGCACAAGCAAGGCACATGGAGCAGTGCCTTATCTCAGCTCATCTTACAAGGACTGCTAGTTTTGCTGCCAGCTACCTTTTAGCTTCTGCTGATTAAAAAATGGATTTCTTGTGCTGCTTTTAATGTTGACCTTATGTGTGGGGATTTTTTTTGTTTTATTTTTATATGAATTTTTCTAAGTTGTCCTGAGAACCTTTAATTGTAGGATATAGACACATATTAGGGAAAAAAGAGCTTCTCAGTGAAATTGTTCCTCCCTTAATAGGTGATTAGTGCTACATGGGTTCTAACTGCATTTGCGACTTGTAGGAGATAAACACATAGAGAGATTCTTGCATGCAAGAACATGTATGTAATTCAATGTTACACATAAAAACATGAATTGTTCAGTTCTTTCCCTCACCAAAAACACGAGGACTTTATTTACACAGCAAACTGGGAATCTGGTTAACACCTGGGAATCACAGACATAATTTGGATTGTGCACACACCATATCACTGAGGGGGTGTGTTAGAATTCTAACAATGAGTCCTTTAAAGACAGCATTTTAAGAGCAAAGTTTCCTAATTCGTTGTTTGGTTAAACAGAGCAACATTGGAAGAGACACACAATATCTGCCTGAGTTTTGTCCAAACTGATATAAATCATAACCCTTCCCATCAGTATTGTATGTGGAAACTCAGTGGACTCCAGCAATGTTGAGAGTTGGCAAGAAACAACATGTCCTCAATTTTGTTACATTCTCTTCTCTGAGATTCCTGCACATTT